AGATAAATAATTTTTATAAAAATGATCTTTTTGCCGCAACAAAAGCAATTGTTGGACGAATTGGGATCTTTACTTTATTAAGACAAACTACTTTTTTTTAAAAACATTTCTGAATGTATATACAGGGGGGGAAATAAGAATGTATTACAATTAAGGTTCTCACCCTGTATAATAATAATATTAATTAAAATACACTTTTTCGAACCATATCAATTAAATTTTATTTCAGAATAAAAAATATTGAAATATATTTTTGTAATGCTTATAAAACAAACAAGGAAATGTTTTATCTTTGGATTTTTTGTTTTAAAAATTTCACGCAATTAAAACTGTTTATATAATTAATTGCCCAACAACCACATGTTGAACATGTTTATTACTATTCCAGATACTACTAAATTGTAGTAATTTTTTAAACACCGACTGATGAGACCATAAAATTGTTTTATGTTATTTTGAATAGTTGTGTAGAAATAAATTTTAATTGTTTTTGGTGTATTCCAGGAAACGAAGGTTGTAGAAGGAAAACTCGATGGTAGTCGGGTTTTATTTTTTTATGTAGACTCAGGGGTGCTGTTAATGAATCAAGGATATTCCCCAAAAATTTCTTTCCGCGCCCCCTAATTTCATCCCCCGAAAGGGGAGTTTTTTTGCTTTTTGGCTCATAACTCGCTAATTGTGGATTTTTTTAGAATTTGACCTCTAATACTTTTGATTATGTAATGTACTAAATAAGGCACACGTTAAACCCCATTGCGCACCTATATGATGTGTCCTTTTGCTATGCGCAGTGTGCAAAGTTGAGCGTTGCTTTCAAAATCACTTTTTTGTTTTTTTTTTCTTTGTTTCCTGGACTAGTAGGTACCTAACAATAAATTAAGTCAAAATAAAAAAACTATCTTTGAATGTTAAACTAACATTTTTATCAGCAAGCTGTGTGACATTTTTATTAGATGCCTACACCTTTTTGAGTTGATGTTGGTAATTAACTTTACCAGCCGATAGAATCCATTGCAAAAAAAGTTGTTTATATTCCCCATTTCTCGGACTTAATACAGGATGTTAAAATTCTGTGCGTGAACTGAATTTATAAATATGTCAACTTGTTAAATATTTAAATAAAAGTAGTTATACCTTGTTCAATAAACCATGGTGATAAATTTCGAAATACGTATAAAACCAATAAATTAGTTATCGTTCTTGAAGTTGCAATAAAATTAATTGATGTTGGAAATCAAAAATAATTGGTTTTAAAAGAACTATAAGGGTGAGTAGTATATTACAAAAGATCCAAGTTTTTTTAACTTGTGCACCCAATTTTAATGTATTTTTTCAAAAGCACGTTTGTAGAAAAACATAATAAATATTCAAAACATCAGTACCTATATTCAATTTATCTAAAATTTTTCAATTTCACTACAAACTATAAAACATTAAATAATATATTTTTCATATTTTACCATACATTCGAATAATAGCAATTTATAAAAAAATGATAATCTTTGTACTCACTTTTACCCGTCAGTTCTGTGTCCAATGTTAAAATTCAAAATTCCTACGAAATATTGAAGTTTAAACGTCAAGTCCTCGTTTTAACTCAAGTGTTGGTAAAAAATTACCTACAGAGCCCGCCCTTTGCACGACAGTCATCTTGAAAACAATGCAAGCGCCGAAGTTGTGGTGAATGCACGTATAGTTCCAGTCAAAATTTCAGTACTGTGGTGAGTAGTTATTTTCATACGTATATATATTTCATTGTAATTCATATAAGGCTACATGTGATTTGTTGATAGGTAGCATCTACTAATAAAAAATATCAGTAAAATACTTAATTCCAAATTATAATCTCAAATTTGTATCCCATTCATCAGTACCGTGTCGTCAGTTCCATGTTCGATGTTTCTGTTATCTTTTTTTGCAAACTTCAATTTAAATTCTGCTTGAGAAAACTTATATTTTCCAATAAATTATGTATTTAATTAGAATCCTGGTATACTCGTCACTTCCCTTGCATTCAAATTTAGAAAACACAGATATTTCAGAAACTGCTTGAAAAAGTGACTGGCCCGGTCTGGAATAGTATATTTATTATATTATCTATGTATGTTCTCATAACAAAATACTGTTTAATTTTCTCCGAAAACTATATAAACAAAATGAGGTCAAAAGTTGCCCAACTTTCGTAGAATCACCCATAACACTATTCTTGTTCTTCTATTTTCAAAATATCGATAATAATAATAAATTTCTTTGATTGCCATGCAAAATGAAAACATTTTAACTTTTCCATTCGTTAATGGCAACCATGTTTGTTACAATTTTAGAACTAAAGATCCCTTTCAAAGCCACTCGAAAAAGACATTTGTTTACATTCTTCATGGCTTTTACATGGAAATGATAAATTCTTGTATTGTCTTCGAGGGTAGCGAAGGCTATAAATACGCAGTAAATTGTCAAAGACACTAAAGATTAGAAACCGGTGATGCGGGAAAAAAGATCGTTAAGAAACCGTAAAATTTGAACATTAACATCCGCTGATTGAAATATTTTTTTAAGTATTCTTAGATAAAATAAAAATGTCACAAAATATCGGTGGTAAAAAAACGAATTTGAAAATTAATACACAAAAAAATGCACATGCACTGATAATGAAACTAATTTTGTAAGCGATTAATAAAATAATATTATTTAACTTAAATTTAAAATTGTAATGGCTATAAAAAATTTACCACCTAAGGTACCTTTTTTATTAAATTTTCAGTGTCTTATTGGGACAAAAACATACGATTTGTCAAAGTAATGAGATTATTTTTATTTACAGAATAAACTTTTTTTACTGTTAATAAAATTCTCATTTACTATAATGAAGCAGCAATGTTGAGCTTTTATAAAAAAATATTCATCCAACAAAGTAATAGTTGTTATCATATTGCCATGGCAATAATAAATACTTTATGTTTATATTAAATCTTTGTCGAACTTAAAAATGTTCTTGTTAAATCTATAGTTGTGTGTGAATTGCGCTTACATAAAGTAATGCGCAGTTGTTATAGTAAAATTTGTTCATTTTACTATGGCATATTTGTCTTTTTTAAATAACTATCGTTGTAATTCAAATTAATTTTATTTCTGTTAAAAAATCTTTGTTAATAGCTTACGGTTAGAACAATAACAAAAATATTTTATTGATATAAAAAGACTTTTTTAATATCTACCATTGTTTAGCAATGGTAACAAAATTTTTGTTATTTCCCTTAAAAATAGGGGGAAAGGGCCATCGCTCTCCTTGGTGAACATAACTTTATAATCCACAGTCTGTGTTATAATCTTATTGATTTCACTTGTGCGAGTGAAGTGTGGTAAAATCTAGCATGATAAAAATATCAAAAAGATCACTATGAAAATTAAAATTTCGACGTTTTCTAAAAGAAATATTTAAGGTCTATTCTATAAACGAAGCAGACTTGTTGTTTAAAAAGTGAGTTCATATTTTTTTTACTTTGTACTTCATATAATATGAGTTATTTTTTTGTTATAATAAATAATTTGTTTTATAATGCCTTTCAATTATTTAAAAAAACAGTAGGTTGAAAATGTGATCATTGTTATAATGAAAATTGTTTATAATAATAACTATATTTATCAATACGTTTGTGCATCTGGAAGAGTGTTATTTTTATAAACATAACGTAAATTTAGTTTATAATTAATGCAAATAATATTACTGAAACCAGCGTTTGTAGAAAAATAATTTTTATAAAAGTGATCTTTTTGCCGTAACAAAAGCAATTGTTGGACGAATCGGGATCTTTACTTTATTAAGACAAACTACTTTTTTTGTTATATTTATTAAAAAAAATTTTGAGTGTATTCACATCATTTTTAATCAACATAGACTTGGACAACACTTAAGTGAGTGACACTTGGTGCAATAAAATTATTACACGTTCGACATTGATTGTTATTGTCTGCAAATTATACAAGTACAAATAATATTTATTAAATATATTCAAGAACAATAAAATCGAGTTCTGTGACTTCTGTGGTCGATAAATATTAATAGATGTTGAGTGTTTTATGGCGCTAAACGCCTATTTTGATTTAACACTTACTAGAAAGATAAATTTGGAGATATACATTTATAACTATAACCAATCATTTATAGGACATTTATTTAGATTGCAGTACCCAGTAAACATTTAAATTGCTATTAGGTTATCGAAACGTTTTTTAATCTTAAGTTTTCAAAACGTAGCAAATAGTATATTATGTATCAAGTTTGATAGACGCAATTTTCATGTATTTTTGTATTAAGATAATAAAATAATTTTCACATTATTTTTTCAAGAAGGCACTTTATTTTAACGATTGTATGACATTTGACAACTGTCAACTAAATTAAAACTAACTTCAGCCCGTGACTAAAAACCTGTTGCTAACTTCAGCCCATAACTAAAGCGCCATAAAGCCACTTGTCAATGTGTATTTAAAAGGTAACTGTACGATAATGGGCGTTTTAAAGGTGTGACTAAAAATAAATAATAACAAATTACATGTCCCTGATGGCGGGAGATTTCAATTCAGCTACGAAAAATACGAAATAAATAAAACATTGAATTCCACGAGTTGGCCAATCAAACCATGAAGGCTGTATATAATTTTTAATCAAATTCATCTATGATTAATTATTTGGAGCTGAATTCGGTGACAGTTAACTGTATTTTACAAACCAGCCGGCCTGCTACAATAAAAATTCAAATTTAGAAATATATTTATAAACCTACAGTATCTAATCTAATATTATTTTAGTAGCATACAGAAAATAGAAGAAAAAACTGTTGTTGTTGATAATATTATAAGTCAGTTTTTGATTAATGTGAATGTAATTTAATTTTTCTTTTTTTTTCTTTTAGATTCGACAATGCAGGGATAAGTGAACAAAAAGTACAAACAGGAAATATACGAATTTTGATAATAGTGTTAATTAGCTAAAATATAAAATGCATTTTCAGTATTCATACTTAATGTTGGTGACATTTTTTATTAAATATTCTTCAGGTAAGTCACAAATTTAAGTAATATAACTACAATATACAGGGTGTTTCGCATTCGTGGTTATTTAGAAGTTTCTGGGGAACGGAAAAATGAAATAACAAAAAAGTTGTAGGCTATTTTTGATTGACGCGCATTTATTAAATTTTAACGAAAAAAATTAATAACTCGAAAAATATTCACTTTAGGTATATGATATGGTATAATAATTTTACTCAGTTTTATGAAGAATTTAAATTTTTTTAAGTTTTAATTTGTTTTAAGTTTTCAGTGAAATTAAATAAACACAGCTTAAACATTCCAAACTACCTATTTTTTAAATAAAAATCCAAACAAATTGAAATTAGATACCTACCTATTTATTAAACAATTAATTGAATTCAATGTAAAATGTCACTTCGGTTTAAAGCGGAAGTTGCATTTTTTTCAAAATAATTTAGGAAAATAGACTTAAATAGACTTAAAATAGGCCATTTGAAGCATACGGACTGGACAAATCACAAAACTGTTTTTATAAAAAAAAATTGTAGGTAATTTACTATACGAGGTGTGTTCAGAAAATATCGGGAATTTTCGTTTTTTGAAACAAATATTTATTTATTCGTCTACATTAATGTTGTCGCCTTCAAAATGGTCCCCATTGGATATTATGCACATGTGCCAGCTCTTCTTCCAAACACTTCTAAAACTCGATCTTTGGGATAGCCTTTAGTTCTTTCAGCGATGCGCTTTTAATGTCATATATGCTTGCAAAACGACGGCACTTTAAGGTTCTCTTTATTTTTGGGAATAGAAAAAAGTCAGACAGAGGCATGTCTGGCGAATATGGAGGCTGGGGAATCATTACAGTATTGTTTTTGGCCAAAAATGTTGTTCAAAATTTAACAATTTCAGAACAAGTTTTGCTGCCACGCGTTTCATACCCAAAACATTCGAAAAAATTTCATGGGATGAGCCAATCGATATACCAACATCAGCGACTTCTCTGATGGTTTATAACCATTTCTTCCACTTTTTCCATGTTTTTATCGGTTGTTAATGTGCTTGTGCGTTCGGGGCGTTCGTCATCTTCAACGTCTTCACGGCCATCTTGGAAACTCGTATACCACTTGTAAACTCTTATCTTACTTATAGCAGACTTTGTTAACATTTCACAGAATTTATTTTATTTTTTAAGCAAAATTGGATACAAATTCTTTGATCCATTTCTTTTAACGAACGAAAAATCGCCGATCTGATAAAACACGCTTAACCTTAGCGGCTGTCACAGACAAAGTAAACAATGAAAACAGCTAAAGTTTTTATCATACTTCGGGAGCATGTATACCAACATAATAAAGAAAATTTTATGACAACCGGACCCTCCAAACCCGCGAAATTTAACAATTCCCGTTATTTTCTGAACACACCTCGTATATTGTTTTTGCATCAAAATTGTCAAATATATTCTTCTTTTAATAGGCTATACATAAAAAAACGCAAGAAATATTTTATAAAAGTAGAGATAATTTTAATAATTGACAGGTGTAAATCTTTTTTTGTCCCGTCCACACCTTTTAATTATCTCTAGTTTTATAAAATATTTCTTACGTTTTTTTTTATTTTAATGTATAGCCTAATAAAAGAAGATAATTTTTGACAATTTTGATGCCAAAATATTATATAATAAATTATCTACAATTTTTTTATAAAAACAATTTTGTAATTTGTGCGTTTCGCTCGCTTTAAATAGCCGTTAAATGGAATATAAATGCTTTTATAATTTTAAATCGACATCTGTTTCCGTTCACAAAAAACTTTTAATGGACCACGAATCTTTCTTTCAATTTAAAAACAATTATGGAATTTGTTTTAAGTCGTTTAACCCTGCATAAATAATTATACTTTTTGTGAGAAAAAAATCTGTCCAACAAATAAACATACAATACAGAAGACATATTCTTGTAGAAAATGTTACGCACTTAACTTGGGAAATAACCGCACCAATATATTATTTTTTTGTTGTTTTTAGGATCTGGACTTCATGGCCAATGTGATTTTGATGAAGATTGCGGAACCATAGATACACACTGCCATAGCGGAATTTGTTCGTGCAAACCAAACTTTATTGTTTTGTTCGACAGCTGCATACAAGGTAACATAAGAGACTATTTTTTTAACGATTTTTATCCCACTTCTGATTATAAATTTGGTGCACATTTATAAACCCGATGACTCAGCAAATAATGGCACGGTAAAGTGACATTTTATAGCTTTTCTTGTAGAATCAATTGCACAAAGTTTCCGTTTATTTAAAAATACGCATTTCTAATGTTAACAAGTTTGCATTTGCTGCGCTTAATTAGGATGTGACAATTAACACTGCATTCTTCATATGGTGGAGTGGACCTCCAATAATAAATAATTCACAAGTTCTTGACAAGTGCGGGAAACACAAAAGCCCAATAATCTAAATCATTATCCGACAATTGACAGGTTTGATCTAGTACTGGAAGCTGTCTGAAATGGGGTGAAAATAACAAATCCCAATTAGGTAGAAAAATGGTGCCCCTTTTTTTCCATGAAACGAATTTTGAAGCTACAATTATAACAAAAAAAGTTGAATAGTTACCTATATAAATTTTAAATGTTTTTGGTGGGTACCTACTGGGCAAATAAAAAACTTGAAATTTTGCTAAAATTTATTTATTTATTTTTGTTTGTTTTAGTGTTATTACCCTTTACATTAAAAAAACTGGTCAATCTTTTATGTTCTATAAAAATATAAATATTTATTTACACTTAGCATTAACAACAATTAATTGCCACTTTAATGACAATTACTTTCTTGTATTCGACTGATTATTTAATTGCAACAAGCTGATAATATTCATTTATTGAATTGTTAATTTATTTATTTATTGTTCTTATGAACCCAATTTAACATTATACGCAAAAATGCGAAAAAAATATGAGTATACATTACAAAAAAAAATTATCAAAGATTTAATTACAAAATGTTGCCAGCTGTAAAATATACAGTGTGAGTTATTTAATTTGAATCTTTGAAATATCTCAGTTGGTATCATACCAATGCCTATGCATTTTACAAAAAAAAATTAAAATAAAAAAATTTTCTATAAAATATCACTTCTTTTGGTAATAATTATCTTATTAAATTAAATCTGATTTTACCCACGATGTTTTAACTAATATTTAAGTTTCCTTTGGTTTAAGTTTTATACATTATTTCATTCGGTGATAATTATCAATTGCGCACCATGGTCACTTTTTACCTGCCAGCATTAAATCCTTTAATTTAAAGGATTATTGTACTATTTTTAATAAAAATACTTAATTTAAGTTAAAAAAAACATTATTTTGTCAATTAATTAATTTAATCCTAATTAAGGTATAAAAAATTATATTTAGTTATAAATAATAATTATTATTGAGGTATAAAGAAACCATTTATACATAGTTTAGCATTATTTAATCAGTTTAGTTCGAAGATTAATTTGCAAACCTAACCTAACGGCCTCGTGAGCAACTTAAACACTCGCATGAAAAAGTCGCTTTTCAACACTTGTAAAACAAATAACTATTTCACTTTAGTCAAATGTTTGAAATCACTAGGGTCGTAAGCAGAAACGTTTATTAATCAACGTAAATACCTATATTTTTATCAACTGATTTAGCATATCAGTGGATTTTTGCACGACATGGCAAAGCAGTAATTTTCTTTAAAAACAGTTATTTTATAAAATAAATTGGGTAATTATAATTATCTTTAAAACGTTTATATTATCCCTAAAGAGTTAATTTTTACACATTAACATGTTGAATTAAAAATAAAACAATTAAAATTGTATCAAGATATATTTAATATCTAATGACTAATAGACATTTGTGACATTTGCTTTTAACCATAGAAGATAATTCATAATTATTTAATTTAAATTATTCGGATAATATGATAATTGTAATGGGTATCGTTTAAATTGTTAGTTTATAGCCTAATAACAATTTTAAAACAAAAAATTATCCGATGCCGCTTAAGCTAGTTGTGCTGTATGCATACGATCAGAAAATTTTAATTTTTGTATACTTATTAAGGACATGACAATACAATTATCCTTAAAATTTGAAGTCGATTGACCGTCTATAACCTTAGATAAATTCAATTAAAAATTGGATAATTAACATGGATTGTATACGCTTTCTGTAGTTCTGTACCAGTTTCTTAGTTATAAAAAAAAACTAACTGTCAGAAGCTTTCTAAAAACTAACAGTCTTTTAATGGATTTTTGCTGAGTTAAAAAAAATAATAAAACATTTTTGACCGTCCTATTGTTTATAAATAACCGTTTAAAGTTCAACAATTTGTAAAAAAGTATACATACTAGTGAGTCAGATAAAAACAACTTGGCAACGCTGTACGCCAGTATAGATATTATTTGCGCAGTAAATTCAAACAGACTGATTCCGTCTCCAATATATCTATTGGTTGCGCAAAAGCGACGTTGCCAAATTAAAACTTATGAAAATACGGTTCATTTTTTTAAATCTGGACTTTTTTGTTAGGTTGGTGGCTTATGCCAGTTTGACTTAGTACTTTTAGTATTTAATAATGGTACTTCTGCTAAAGAATTTAATTAAATACTTTGACACTGTCAAATTGACAATAATATTTATTATTGACTATTCCACTCATTACTTTTTGGACCAATCAGATTTCAGAAAACGAGTGGTTTTTTTCAGTTTTGCAGCGATAAAACTACTATTCAGGTGAAAAAACCACTCGTTTATGGGGCAAAATTTGCCAAGTGTACCAGGTGAAAAAATTTTTGTCACCGATTTTGTTTAAACTTTACTTATTTGTTGTTCTTATAACGAAGAACCATAGCATAATTTGTTTTTGCTCTAGGATTGTTCATTCAAGAGTTATGGATTATTGAAATTTATCGATTTTTTACTTTTTGGTGAAATCGCTTTTTATTTAAAAATTCATAACTTCTGTTCATCTCTTTATTAAATATTTTAATTTAACCACTTTAAATAATTTTTTCCGTACTTTTCAATGGGCTATACCGTTTTGCAAAAAAATAAAAATTGGAATTTTTTTTTGAAATTTTGCAAAATTTTACATTTTTTGAAACAATGTGTATTTTTTAATTTTTTTTAAAGTAGCATAAAATCAAAGTTTATTATGTTACCTTTGAATTAAAAAAAAATTTAGAGTGGGCCCGACATGTAGAAGGGAAGTTTTTCATATTTGAATGCAGCACGGTCTAGCTATCGAATAGCTATAGTAGTATACTACACTGACGTATGCGTTTATACCTAGTAGATGCGAGTAAACGAATACAAAATGATAATTTAAAATGTAAAATTATGTTTGAGTAGTCAATGATGTATTTTAAATATTTACACTGCCGCACGATATAGTTTTTTTTATTGTGTATTAGTTCTTCGGAGGGGACTTTAAGCCCGCGGTCCGTTCTTACCCCTAACCCGAACAAGCCATTCAGTTGGCTTATGGGACTTCTTAAGAAGTAAGGGTGGAACTAAAAGAGCACTTTTGTATATAAACTGAATTTTTTTTGCACAAATTGTTTAAGCATGGGTCTACATAGATTTCGCAAGGAGAGTCGATGATATTAAATAAAAAAAGTATTGTTATAACCGTAAAGGCTTATAGGCAAGCCGTTACGGTTATAACAATAAATTTTTTATTTAATATCATCGATCCTCCTTGCGAAATATATGTAGACCCATGCTTAAACAATTTGTGCAAAAAATACAGTTAAAAAACTATATCGTGCGGCAGTGTAAATATTTAAAATACATCAATGACTACTCAAACATAATTTTACATTTTAAATTATCATTTTATATTTGTTTACTCGCATCTACTAGGTATAAACGCATACGGCAGTGTAGTAGCTATTTGATGGCTAGACCGTGCGGCATTCAAATATGAAAAACTTCCCTTCTACATGTCGGGCCCACTCTAAATTTTTTTTTTATTCAAAGGTAACATAATAAACTTGGATTTTATGCTATTTTAAAAAAAATTAAAAAATACACATTGTTTCAAAAAATGCAAAATTTTGCAAAATTTCAAAAAAAATTGCAATTTTTATTTTTTTGCAAAAACGGTATAGCCCATTGAAAAGTACGGAAAAAATCATTTAAGGTGGTTAAATTTAAATATTTAATAAAGAGATGAACAGAAGTTATGAATTTTTAAATAAAAAGCGATTTCACCAAAAAGTAAAAAATCGATAAATTTCAATAATCCATAACTCTTGAATGAACAATCCTAAAGCAAAAAAAATTTATGCTATGATTCTTCGTTATAAGAACAACAAATAAGTAAAGTTTAAACAAAATCGGTGACAAAAATTTTTTCACCTGGTACACTTGGCAAATTTTGCCCCTTATACGAGTTGCATAACAACCAATTGGTTGCTATGATAAAAATAATTGTCACTGTTAACGTTTTTAATTTTAAAATTAAAATGTTAAAAAATATGCGTTTTGGTCCAAAAAATCATACAGAAATTGAATCAGCAGTTAAAAATATTCGTGAAATAGTCTTGCCGAATACCACTCGTGATAAAATTTTCCCTGAAAAAATTTTTGATTTTTATTTACTCAAGATTTTTCCTTGGAAATTTCGCTCGTGGCATTAACTTCAAACCACTCGCCTAGCGGCTCGTGGTCTTAAAAATTAATGCCACTTGCGAAATTTCCAAGAAAAAAACATTCGTATAAAAATCAAAAATTTTATCGGTAAAATTTTACCACTAGTGGTATTATATACGATAATTTACTTGTCAATTATAAATAAAAAGATAATTATGCCAAAAATAATAGCAACGAATTCGAATGTAAAAGCCCTTTTGAGTGCAAAACTTCATTTTGATGAAATTATGCCAAATGCCACAATGGAAGAAAAAGTACATCGCCTTATGGACATTTTTGGAGTAAAAAAGTAACGAATTTGGTTTTATAAATATTACATCACATATTATTTTTACATTATTCACCATTGGACAACATTTACGTTCACAAAAAAATTTAATTTCTTTTATATAAATTCTTTTCAAAGCGAAGATTATTATCCGCTAGGAATACTTTCTCTTCTGGGCCGTAAAGCAACCTATATTTAACTACTTTTTTATAAGATTTTACTCATCCAAGCACCACCAAAGCCAAATTAATTGCATTTTTAACTACGAATTTCGACAACTGCACAATGTAACCTACAATAATTTATACATAACCACAATTAGATTTATAACTAGCTTAGTTTGTTTTAATCAATGCGACCAACTTGACAACTGTATTTACCAACCAAAACCCTAAATTTGCAACGTTGCCGTAGTCCAGATAAAAAAAAGAACTCCAAGGGTACAGTCTTGCGAAAAAATTATGAATCACTCTTAGCTACAAGCTCGTAAACTTTTACGGTGCGTATAATCTAAAAAATTTGGACAATATTGTACCACAACTACCTTAACCCTGCCTAAACGACGATATTTTTCCCATTCTACATAAATTTAACTTAAGTTTACGTGTCCGAGCGTTTTTCATAAAAATATTTTCTCATCGAATAACGAATTTTATTCCATAAGTGAGAACCACACTGTATACCTACTTAGCAAGAATAACAAACACAATGTCTAAATTTAAATAATCACGGAAGCAGTAAGTATTGTATGAGCGATTGTTTAAGAATTGCCATTGTATCGTTGCACAAGTTAAAAAAAATTAAAAAGTCATTTCAATGCAATGTTGTCATTTTTGTTTATTTGCAGTGACTACTCCACCAATTCACTGTAGAAGAAAAGAAGAATGTCATCGGGCATTGGGATCAAGAAGTTTGTGTTCAAAAAACAATATTTGTGCTTGTAGAGCTTTTCATCATTTACACAACGGCCAGTGTGTAAAAAATAGAGGTTGGTACTAGTTATTTACGTGTCAAGCTTTGAAAATTAATCTTTATGGGCGACGCAGGAGCGAACCCCATGCATAATCCAGTGAGCCTAGTAAAGATTAATTGCAAAGTGCGACACGTACAAACTTTTTTCTCACCTTCATATGTCGATTTTCAAAGTAAAAATTTAATTTTCCACATTTTTAGTCAATTAAATTTTATAGGTTAATTTTGTTGTTTTTGTAACCAAGTAAACGATAAATTATGGAATCAGACCTGTAATTTACTTTATCTCCACGCGGTCTATAATTTAAACTTTATTGTTGTCAACATTCGATAAAGAAATACCTTGTTATGGCCTAGGCCGATAAAATTTTTTATGAGGCAAGTAATTAGTTCGATTTTTTCTCGCTAGGGGTATTGTTTTGACAAATTAATCCTTTTCTAAGAAATTAACGTACTTCACTGGTTTAATTTATTTATAATAAGCACTAATTTGTTTGTTTTACTGTTAATGTTTAATATTTTTCATTAAATTATTTAAAATTAATTATGAATAATAAAACAAAAATTGAGGTTAGGCAACTAAGAAAACGCACGATTCTTTTTATACAATTTAAATTATCTTTATTTAATTTGCTTTAAGTTTTCAGTGAAATTAAATGTTAAACACACCTTAAACATTCCAAACTACCTATTTATTAAACAATTAATTGAATTCAATGTAATAGCAAAATCCATTTCTACTTAAATCATGTTGCTAGGTATTGTCAAACTATTACTGCATCTAAAAGCAATAATAATTATTGTACATTTAATGTTATCTTTAGCTAATAAATAAATGAGATTCTAAAAAAGTGAGGTAAGGCCGCTTTGATGTTGAATTAAATTGACCTATAATATAGGTCATTTTATTTCAACATCAAAGCGGCCTAACCTCACTTTATATTATAAAGTGCTTTGAAGATAAAATGTTGTATGCCATTCGGCCAAGAAGTGCCTTTTTGTGCTTCGCTCAATTGTAGGCCTTCAAACCTTGAGCTTAGCACAAAAAGCCTTACTTCTTAAGCTAATGACATAAATAACTATTTCTACAAGCCTGTTAAATTTGACAGGTCTTTTTTACAATCCCGTAAAAAATTACAGGTCTGTTCCCATATTTTATGGTTAACTTGCTTACAAAAATAACCTATAAATGTCACCCCCACCCAACAAATTAGGTATTAGATCTTCTTGAATCTAACTAACGTGGCACCAAATACTATAAAAATAATTAAAATTATAGTAAATTTAACAGGAAACAACGTACACTAGGGTGGAGTGAATTTTTTTAAATTTATTAATTGATTTTTCCTATATTATTAATTGTTGACTAAAGGCGTAACATGAATAAATATCGAAAAAATATTCCAATTTTTTAATATCTTAAGGTGGCGCATCAGTCTCGAAGTTTTGAAAATTCTAAAAAAATATTACTTCAATCAAAGTAATAAAAATAGCATTATTTATAAATAAAAAGTTTATTTTAGTAAAATTAACGTGAAACGTAAACATATTTAATAGTAAATCATAAGCTTTAAGTAACTTCAGGAGTGTTTATTGGTAGAAATGAGATCTTCTTTTTCGCGAAAATACTGACATTTGGTATCAAAATTTGGTAATTATTTTCTGACTTTAATTATTGTTCTGATGAAACCATCTCTTGCTTTCGATCCACAAACCGAGACTGAAGATTCAGTATACTGGTTATAACCAGTTTTACACAGCGTTCCACTGCTTGGGTGTGACACGAAAATTTTTGAAAGTATAGGAAATGGTCACCCGAAGAAATCATATCGGTAATTTCTGTCATCGTATTTCATAGTCATAGGTGGTTCAGTCACCTTTTCTGTCGCCCAGTGAATTAACTCGTACAAATGTAATGCTTCAGTATTTAGTTGTGGAAGCTTTAATTCCCGTAATATCGAACATTTTGATTCTTTTCTCGCCTTTAATATTTTAGGCAATGCTAGTTCTCTGATCGATAGATATATTGTAGGTAACATAGCAAGTAATAGGTTTTCGGGATAAATATTAGCTATAGCTAACAAAGATCCAGGAAAGATAGCTGAATATTCTTTATAACTATAGTTATAAGGCCTTCAAGTTTTTCTGGAGGTGCAATGCTCTTTTAGTCATATTAAATATGTGAATAGGACCATGTTTGCACGTAGGCTTGGTGTTGATGTAAAACCACGTTGGGGCATACACTTTCATGATAAAAGTAGCCAATTCTTTTAGGTTTTCCGATGGATTTGCTGTCCACACATATAAACGAATAATCCTATTAGCACACGGCAGCCTGGATCTTTGTTAGCTATAGCTAATATTTATCCCGAAAACCTATTACTTGCTATGTTACCTACAATATATCTATCGATCAGAGAACTAGCATTGCCTAAAATATTAAAGGCGAGAAAAGAATCAAAATGTTCGATATTACGGGAATTAAAGCTTCCACAACTAAATACTGAAGCATTACATTTGTACGAGTTAATTCACTGGGCGACAGAAAATGTGACTGAACCACCTATGACTATGAAATACGATGACAGAAATTACCGATATGATTTCTTCGGGTGACCATTTCCTATACTTCCAAAAATTTTCGTGTCACACCCAAGCAGTGGAACGCTGTGTGAAACTGGTTATAACCAGTATACTGAATCTTCAGTCTCGGTTTGTGGATCGAAAGCAAGAGATGGTTTCATCAGAACAATAATTAAAGTAAGAAAATAATTACCAAATTTTGATACCAAATGTCAGTATTTTCGCGAAAAAGAAGATCTCATTTCTACCAATAAACACTCCTGAAGTTACTTAAAGCTTATGATTTACTATTAAATATGTTTACGTTTCACGTTAATTTTACTAAAATAAACTTTTTATTTATAAATAATGCTATTTTTATTACTTTAATGGAAGTAATATTTTTTTAGAATTTTCAAAACTTCGAGACTGATGCGCCACCTCAAGATATTAAAAAATTGAAATATTTTTTCGATATTTATTCATTTTACGCCTTTAGTCAACAATTAATAATATAGGAAAAATCAATTAATAAATTTAAAAAAATTCACTCCACCCTAACGTACACGTCATCAATCAGCTGATCGGGCACGGTTGTCAATGTGATGCTAAAATCCAGGTGTATGTATCTTGTTAAAATTATTGCATCAAGTGAAAGTGGTAGTGCAACTACAGGGCAATAGATGGCGTTAACATGAATAATACCATAGGGTCCCTAGATTTGGGACCTTAGAATACCAAAATGTCAAAAGTCACAGTTTTTATAACCTAGGAATATGATGCACCGCCAAAAGTATGTTTTTAGCCATTTTTAAAGACATTTTCAGCTATAAAACCCAGAAATTTTGCCATCTAAAGTCAGTCTCTGGTATATATATATTATTATTTTATGTATCTAACATATATTTTGTTAAATATTCTAATATATAATTAATAATAATCCTATTTACCTCTCTAACAGCTGTTAAAGGTAACAATTGTTTAAAGGTCCATTATTATCCCGTTCTGCTTTAAATAGAGTATTAAGGATGATACCAACTCTTGACTCCGACTATTTAAATTCTTCGGCATATAACAAACACAAAAACGGCAATGAAAACTTTAACGATATTAAATAACACAAACAACAAACAAAATAAACGAAATTATACACAAATTAAAAGAAATATTCAAAAACACAACTGACAGCTTCGAAATTCTAAAACGTCAATTTCTTTTTCTATGCGTCATTTTATTAAGCAATATTTTAATCTAAACATGACAACATTGCAATTGCTGCCAACTTAATTTGATTAAAATGCATTAAAATATTCAATTACAGACTTCGTTTTATACATTTAGTATTGGTACCAGTGCGCAAAATTATGACGTCATCGATGACGTGTACTTTGTTTCCTTTTAAATTTACTATACTAAATATTTTTTTTAGATTTGCACGAAACCTGCGAGCACGACCATCAATGTTACTGTGGAGTGGACTGTGGCGATAAAATCGCGTGTATAGCGCGCAACTGTACTTGTAAAACTGGACATAGACCATATCGAAGTCGTCGATGTATATGTAAGTAATAGTCCATGTACAGGGTGGTCCACGTAAGGTGACCCATATACTTATCTTAGAAACTACTGGAGTCACAAAAAATTTGTAAGAAACAAATATTCACGAAGTAAAAAATATTTTTAAAATATTATATTTTCATTTATACAGGGTGTTCGGTTTTCCTTGGGACGATACCAACTTTCTTATTTTCAATGGAACACCCTGTATTTTTTTACATTTTTGGATTCTACCCAGTCTTTTAGGTATACTTTGTAAATATATTAATTAAGAAAATGTTAATAATTTTTGAGTAAAATTAAGATTTATTAAAATTTCTCTAAATGTAGACACTCGCTAAAAGTTAAAAATAATCAACTAAAAGTTATTATTTTTTATATTATGTAGTATCCATCTCTTTAATAATAAGTAAGCTATAAGTTAATTATTATATTTTTTTGAAAATATCATACAGGGTGTTTTCTATGTCCCGTTGAAAATAGCGATTTTAAAAGTTTAAAATCTTGTTTTTCTTCAATGGAACACCCTATATATTTTTGCATAATTGGATAGAATAAGTAATTACCTTTCATTTTATATATATATGTCCTATACCTAAACCTAACAGAACAAAAAATATTCGCATTTTTCACAATTAGTAGCTTTTTTCCAATTACCTTAGTTAAATTTTCATTATTCAAATAAATAAATTTCAATAACAACAAATAAAAATGCTTTTATATATAAATATATATTAATATAATAATTACTATACGCGCAAAGCTACTAATTTTGTAAAATGCGAATATTTTTTTTAGGTGATCCACGTAAGGTGACCCATATACTTATCTCAGAAACTACTGGAGTCACAAAAAATTTGTAAGAAACAAATATTCACGAAGTAAAAAATATTTTTAAAATATTATATTTTCATTTATACAGGGTGTTCGGTTTTCCTTGGGACGATACCAACTTTCTTATTTTCAATGGAACACCCTATATTTTTTGGCATTTTTGGATTCTACACACTCTTTTAGGTATACTTTGTAAATATATTAATTAAGAAAATGTTAATACTTTTTGAGTAAAATGAGGATTTATTAAAATTTCTCTAAATGTAGACATTCGCTAAAAGTTAAAAATAACCAACTAAAAGTTATTATTTTTTATATTATGTAGCATTCATCTCTTTAATAATAAGTAAGCTATAAGTTATTTAATTTATTTTTTGGAAAATATTATACAGGGTGTTTTCTTTGAATAATGAAAATTTAACTAAGGTAATTGGAAAAAAGCTACTAATTGTGAAAAATGCGAATATTTTTTTTTCTGTTAGGTTTAGGTATAGGACATATATATATATATAATGAAAGGTAATTACTTATTCTATCCAATTATGCAAAAATATATAGGGTGTTCCATTGAAGAAAAACAAGATTTTAAACTTTTAAAATCGCTATTTTCAACGGGACATAGAAAACACCCTGTATGATATTTTCCAAAAAATATAATAATTAACTTATAGCTTACTTATTATTAAAGAGATGGATACTACATAATATAAAAAATAATAACTTTTAGTTGGTTATTTTTAACTTTTCGCGAGTGTCTACATTTAGAGAAATTTTAATAAATCTTAATTTTACTCAAAAAGTATTAACATTTTCTTATTTAATATATTTACAAAATATACCTAAAAGAGTGAAAAGAATCCAAAAATGCAAAAAAATACAGGGTGTTCCATTGAAAATAAGAAAGTTGGTATCGTCCCAAGGAAAACCGAACACCCTGTATAAATGAAAATATAATATTTTAAAAATATTTTTTACTTCGTAAATATTTGTTCCTTACAAATTTTTTGTGACTCCAGTAGTTTCTGAGATAAGTATATGGGTCACCTTACGTGGACCACCCTGTACATTTGTGTACAGCTTCGAAGAAAATTTTTAAGCGTTTTAAAAACGCAAGACTCAAAACGCTTAGATGACCTTGAAGAGAGCGCGTTACGCCACCATGTTATAGCAGATGTATCAAGAATTACGAATGAAACCAATATATGTTTCTATAGCACAGTCTTGTGTAAGACAGTGGGTTATTTTTAATATTCTGTGTAAAAATTGTTTTTTGAGATTTCCATAAAAATTGTAAGTACTGTAATAATCAATATTAATTTTTATTTCCCACAGATTTCCCATGGATTATTAAAAAATCCTTTTCAAACTTGAGAAACAAAATAGGATAATGTTGATACTTACCTGGGTTAAAAATTGATTATTTAGTTTATTTTTTTATGAAAATCCCATGAGCGATCTCGTGAGATACAAAATAAAAAATGGCGTATAAAAACAAATATAACTTTAAAAAATTATTTTCTTGGAATGTGCTGTAAAAATATATTATAATGTAAAAATAATTTGTGAATCTCCATTTGTTAGGTTTGGAGTTTTTATTTTTGGCAAAAATTTTTGCACATACTTAAGAAATTTTTAAATCCTGACACGTCTATTATACCTACCAATTCACCATAAGTTTTTAAACAATATGTTTTAGTATACAATATACAGGGTGAGTCATTTAACTTGAAACTTTGAAATTTCTCAGTTAGTATGCATTTTACGAAAAAATGTTTAAAATAAAAAATAAATGATTCGAGGGGAGAAATCAATCAGAACTAAAATTGTTCCTCACTCTTCTCCTTATAGAGGGAACAGGGGGTATTGCAGATTTAGATTATTCGACTTAAAAGGTAGATTAGATGTAGGTAGATTTTGTCTAAAACATTTTTTCATATTTGTAATAGATGGCGCTGTAATGAAAAAAAATCAATTTTGTTCGATTTTTCTTCTTAAACGATTTTGCAATAATTTTTCCATAAATATATCACTTTTTTGTAATAATTATCTTATTAAATTAAATCTGATTTTTTAATATTTAAGTTTCCTTTGGTTTAAGTTTTTTACATTATTTAATTCGGTGATAATTATCAATTGCGCAAAATGGGCACTTTTTACCTGCCAGCATTAAATCCTTTAATTTAAAGGATTATTGTATTATTTTTAATAAAAATACCTCATTTAAGGTTAAAAAACATTATTTTGTCAATTAATTAATTTAATCCTAATTGAGGTAAAAAAAATGGTATTTAGCAATAAATAATTATTATTATTAAAAAAAGAAACTATTTATACATAGTTTAGCATTATTTAATCAATTTTGTTCGAAGATTAATTTGCAAACAAAAAGACGTCATTTCGTTAAGCAGTTATTCATAACGGATTTTTTAACAGTGGAAGAAAATATAGAAATGATTTTTATTTATGGAGAAGCAGGCAGGAATCTTGATGATGCTGTTAATATCTACGCACAGCGTTTTCCAAGCAGTTTACTACAAACGGGAGTGTTCAACCGAAAAAAAGAGTTCGTCCACAGGTGGAAATAATGAAATTAATGTATTAGCAGCAACGGCCGCTAATCCTCATGCAAACACACGAGAATTATCTAGAGATTTGGGAATATCCCAGAGCAGTGTTAGCAGAATATTAAAACGAAATAAATAAATAAATTTAAAAAATAAAACCAAGTATTTTACTCAAAAATTATTGTAGAATCGTATACAGAAGAAAAATCGAACAAAATTGATTTTTTTTTCATTACAGCGCCATCTATTACAAATATGAAAAAATGTTTTAGACAAAATCTACCTAGTTTTAGTCGAATGATCCGAATCTGCAATAAAAAATATGGTGTTCCATTGGAAATTTTAAAGTTACCCCCTGTTCCCCCTATAATGAGGGGAGTATGAGGACCAATTTTAGTACTGATTGATTTCCCCCTCGAATCATTTAATTTTTATTTTAAACATTGTTTAGTAAAATGCATAATAACTGAGATATTTCAAAGTTTCAAGTTATATAACTTACCCTGTATAATATAATAGTAATATTATTTAGTATATAACGTATAATAAGTTATATAGTTTTAAACTGACTTTGATACGTATCCCATTGTACTTCATGGCCGTATATTATAAGCCATGTAATTTTTTACAAAATAACCAAATAAATTGTTTTTTTCAGTGACTGAACCCCTTCTTGTACATCTGAATAGTCCTTCTACAACGCCAAAAATCAAGGACATTCCTCTTCTGACTGTAACGCTTTTTCTTATAAGACTATATTATAATTTTACAATTTTATGAGTACCTACATAACTTTATACCAAATAAATTAAATTTTAATATAATCACTATGTTTTATTTGATTTTCTTAATTACCTACCTACCTACTTTAACCCGTAACCGGTACTGTGGTGTCTGGGAGACACTCATCAACGAACAAAGCGCTGTCACACCCTCACCTTTTGTTTTAAAAATCTGTCGCTTCCAATACTTTTAAGTTGAGCAGTTATAAACAGAGATAAAGAAGGTTATCAATATGCTCTCAGACTTTGAATAAGTTGGATTGTCAAACGGACAAATTATTACGAGTCAAAGTGTTGAGGTGTCTAGTAGACCACTGAGTACCGATTACGTAATTTTTATAAAACAATTAATTCCTTATAAGGATTCGCAACAAGGGCTTTCTAAAAGTGTCCAAAGTGATAACAAAGGCTTCAAGGAAACTTTAATGTAGTGGTTGTATGAAATCGACACCGATATAAGTGATATAGATGACTGTATACTATAGTATACTACATAACCATTATAGTGATTATGTCGTTGAAGATAATCACAGCAGCGATTCAGGACTTGTCTGTGAAGAGTCTATAGAAAATAGTTTTATAGGGTCAGATAGAGAAGAATTTGAAATTTTTTAAGAATTAAAAAAAAAACAAAAAAGTTACTATGGAAAAAATAATTGTAAAAATCAGCTATAGTTTGAAGCAGTTATTTTTGCTGTTAAAAAAAGATATATTTGAATTTTTTTTTGTTTATGTTATTTTTTAAGGTATATTCTTCGAAATAAAGATCGTTTTATTTTGTTTGGTTTAATATTTTTTATAGTTTAATCACAAAGTTTGCACTACTGCACTTTTTGTACATGTTTTGATTAAAACCTATTTGTTTAAATTTTTCTTTTATTTAGGTATTATTTTTGGTGATATTCTAACTTTATATATAGTTCCTAGTATCCCCAAAGCATCAGATAAAAAAAATAATATAAATTATAATTTTAAAAGGCAGGTGTCTCTCAGACCCCTCAGTACCGTTTATGACCTGAAACTTTCAGGTCATATTTTGATTATATTTTGATTATATTTGATACCTACATGATTTAACCCGTAACCGGTACGGTACGACTTTCGGTAACCGGTACGGTACGACTTTCAGGCTGAAAGTCGTACCGTACCGGTTACGGGTTAAATCATGTAGGTATCAAATCACCAATTTCACGAAAAATACGCAGATAATAAAACTTGCATATGCAATATAATATAATATATATTATATAAAATAAATAAAAACGATACTTACCATGTAAAAAAACATCTGGGAAATCATTATATCACCATTTTAAACAGTTATAACCTCTAAAAACACGAATTTTGACAAATATTTGCTAACAATTTTTAAAAACGCCGCGGGGCCATTTAAAAACAACACCAAATCGCGCTCAAGTAGTCATGCAGCCTACTAAAAACTAATAAAAATCATCGATTTTTATTGATTTAAAATTATAAAATAATGTTCTACGGTTAATATTATCAATGAAAAACAACGATAATACTTTCGATTATCTTTGGCGCCATTTTTTAAACACTTCTCGAGACGCAATGTCATTTCTGGTGACGTAAGCAACCAATCCAACCTCAAAATTTTTGACAGTGTTATCTCGCTGAAAAGTAGTAAAATATGGCTTTAATAAGCGTGCGAAATTTATTTAAGTGCGGACAGTTGTTGAACGAGTCCCTTCTCTTTAACAGCAGGTAATTATTTTGCTTTTTATGCCTATACAAAATTGTTTTAATTTAAGGTCCATAACCTTAACAAATGCGAGAAGAAATACCGCTGAAGAAAAGAAATCGGATTCCGATTCACAAAGTGCTTCTGAAGATAAAGGAAACGAAGCAATCGAAAAACTATCCAAAGAAATTACAGAACTTACAGAAAAAAATACTGAAATTATGGTATGGTATTACAAAATCCCTTATGTTGTTTCTTGGAACATTTTTTCAGGATAAATACAAACGCGCTCTAGCCGACGGGGAAAATTTACGAAACAGATTAACCAAACAAATATCCGAAGCCAAAATCTATGGAATCCAAAGTTTCTGCAAAGATTTACTAGACGTAGCCGATGTCTTGAACAAAGCCACCGAAACCGTGCCCAAAGAGGAAATCAGCGACAATAACCCCCATTTGAAGGGGTTATATGAAGGTTTGGTCATGACGGAAGCACAATTGAAATCGGTGTTCAAAAGGCATGGGCTTGAGCCTGTGAACCCCATGAATGAGAAATTTAACCCCAATTTCCACGAGGCCCTATTTCAACAGGTAAATATTCCATGACGTCTAAATGAGAAGTGTTAATAAAATTTATTATTTAGGATGTGGAAGGCAAAGAGACAGGGACTGTTGTTATAGTTTCGAAGATTGGATATAAACTACATGAGAGAGTGGTTCGTCCAGCACTTGTCGGTGTAGCAAAATAAATTATTATTTGTAAAAATTGGTTTTTCTCTAATGTGAACTTTATTATCTCACAGAGAACGATGATGTACAAAATAGTCTTAAATCGTTATTATTTTTAAATAAAATATCAAAAAAACGTACATGGAATTTTTTAAATAAAACCCCAATTTTTTTTAGTATGTTTATTGAAATTAAGTCTATTACTATAACTCTATATAATACTTAAAAATTAAAACCCACTAAAAGCATTGTTTTACTTAGGTATTCACTTTCACAAAAATACAACCTATTTTTTTTTGAATGGCCAAATGTGAATTCCTTATGGGTCATTCCGCGGTAATAAATGACGTTCGGGATAAAATTACATATTACAGTGGAATGGCCCGTATATTGCTATATAGGTAATTTGTTGTATGCTGACGCATTTACATTTTAAGATATGTTTTCACACTATATCAATAATTGCACCTTCATGGTTGAATGTAATGGAAAAATTATAGATTTTAAACCAGGAAATTATTTTTTCCTAGACGATTTAAAATAATATATTTTTATTGAAGGTGCAAAAATAACAAAAGGCTGTAAGTATAGAAAACATGCAACAATAGTGTTTTATTAATTACACTGGCAAATAATTTTGCTGCAGGGAAAATTAGAGACGATAATTGCAGCCCATTGTTGCTACATTCTCAACTTTGGTTAAGAAAAGCTGCGTAAGTCTATTAAAATGGCATTTAAAAATTGGAAGAAAAAAATCAGCAGTTCTCAAAAAATTTGAAAAAAACTGACCTGTCAAAACCAAAAATCCACGTTTTTATCTAAATTGTGATTTTTTTGTTGCCTACTAGATTTTGGGATGCCACCATCTTTTGTCTTTTCCATGGCCGCCATATTGAAATTGGATAAAAATGTAAACTTGCTTTTTTTCAAATATTGTGAGAACCGCTGGCTTTTTTTCTATTTATAAATTTTATTTTTTATAAAAAAATAATTAACACTATATTTTGTTTTTATTATAAATATTAAAATGATAATGTGGCACAATGGACTGCAATTAATACCTTTGTTATGTTATGTGTCAATGAGTTTTTATTGATTTTTTATTACCAATAATTGTAAAAATCTGTACATACCTAATAATACTTTAGTACCTAAGGATTTTTACATTTAAAAAAATTGATAACTCACGAATAAAATATTTTACAACTGTCAAAATAAGTTCATCTGATTATTGAGCTATCAATTTTTTGTTGTAAATTTTTAGATACTAAAAATAACAAAAAAATTGCGGAATTTCTAAAAATGATTTTAAGTGTTTTTTTTACTTATTATGTACAGATTTTTATAATAATTATTATAAATCAATAAATTGACAGATTTTGCCGAACAAAACGTTAATATGCACTTAAAAAAAATATTGTTTGGCAATAATTGTACAATATAAAGGCACACCTATTACATATATTCAATTTAAAATATTCTCTGTACATTTTGCTGATTTATGCTACATACTCACATAACTCACATTAAAAGCTTTTATATGCATATACATACAAATAATTTTCAAGAATTTTATAAGGCAAAAATACAAACGATGATTATTTTATTATATATAGTGGGTAGGTTATTATGTAAAGCAACTAAATTTAAAAATTATAAACGAGAGTACCTTACTAATTTGGTAACATAAGCAATATTTTGATTTAATTTGATTAATTCGCGAATTAATAATACTCCTAACTCTAATTTAATTATTCTGTATACTGGAGATCATTTTTATGGTTGGATATTTTGTTCCATTGACATCGGAGCCTAAAATGTACGCCGACAATTTTCAAATTTTTTAGATTAAAAAGTGAGTATTGTTTAACTTTATAAATGTGCACAATACATTTAAGTTTTTCCCTAAACACCGATTACATTGCACACTTTAATTTACTTACTTACTCAATATTGCATACATTTGGATGGACCACTACGAAAATTGCTAGTTAATTTAAAAAAAATCGAAACGCTAAAAAACGTAAAAGAAAAAATAAATCTCAACAATAACTTCACCATCAAACGAAAAAGAAAACGTGGGGTGCTTTGGGATTTAAAACATTCGTATCCAATCAGAATACAACGCGAAATTTGCATGTTCAGTTTCCATGGAAAACGATAAGCCAATCGGAGCCCGGTATTCTCCACGGCACACTAGGTGCAATCGAGAATGTCCATAGACATAATTTAAACATAGATGGTCGACAAATGTTTTAAATTCAACCACCCCTTGAAACTTTTCAAAAATTAACATGTAAATTGTTAAAAACGAAAATATACAACAACAACACTTAACAAACTAAAGAAGTGTGTACATGATACACGAATTGGCTGACAATAAAAAAGTGAGATTGCCAAATATAGTTTGAGGTTATGTTTTTTTAAAAACATTGATTACTTTTTTACGACGACTCATCTTATGTACTAACTAAATTATTTTGGATTTTGCTTGGAGGAACTTCTTTAAAACACTGCAGAATCGACAACACTGGTAACTCATAAATCTAGACACCCCGTTTTGTAGAGAAATGTCTTCAGTGTTGCCAGATGTAACAAAAATTAAATGTGTCCTTCCTTACGGTTCCAAAATAGATTCCTTCAAGAATGGGAATCGAAAAACCCCCTTTACGATATCACAGATTAAAAAATAGTAATAATAAAACATCCCTAACAGAAAACCAGCCTTGTTAACATCGCCGTAAAAAAGTAACCAAGAATTTTAGGTTTACGTATATATTTTGGCATCCTGAAACTGTATAAAACAACCGCACGCCATTGGAGGTAGTAAACACCGACAAAAACAACATCGAAACCGTAGACAAAGTGAGAATGGATTTTCGTGTACTATGCTCCACACTTCAAAGCCCCACCACGTGACCACGTACGGAACGTAGTCTTTTGAAAATTTGGCATTTAAGGCTTTTCAGGTTATGTATCTGTCAAAGTATAGTCAATGAAAGAAATAATATTTATAGTGTTACCGCTTATGTTTAAGCGTTAAAAGTTAATAAATCTTTATAGTATCACAATAACAATGGTTGGTTTAAGAATTTAGGAATATAAATACTGCATTTAATGAAATTCCAAAGTGTAAGGTGCAATATAAGTGATATTTTTGTGCATTGGGTCTACATTTCTCCATAAAATAGTTTTAACTAAACAGCATTTATTAAAAAAAATTTAACTTCTCAATTATGAAATAAGAATATATGTATCAAAGGTAGGTTAATGTATTAGAACAAAAAATATCATCTAATTTTGTATTTTAAGGTTAGAAAAATCTATTTTGACCAAAATAAATAAGTGGATTATTTGGAAGAGTGTGTTAATATGGTCATAAATAAATATAGGTAAACTAAATAATTGTTGAATATAGTTCAAATTAAATTGAAGCTTTTATACTTCTAACGACAAAACTTGTGCATACCTCTTGGCATACTACTTAGATTATAAGAAAACAAACAATTTTTAGAGAAACTTGCAATGTGAAAATATTTAATACTCCCATGACATGTGATTTATTAAAATTTTTAAAGTTATAATGATTTTTCGATGTAGATCAAGTGCAGTCAAAGCTCTTTAACTATTTGTATTGACAAAACTTTATGTAGGTACACTTTAAGCTGGATAAGAAAAACTACCACATTTTTAAATACCATACTATACAGTCTTTTAAATAATCCAAAATACTTATTTGGTCAAAATAAATTTTTCTAACCTTAAAATTACAAAATTAGATGATATTTTTGTTATAATATATTAACCTACCTTTAATACAGATATTCTTATTCCATAATAGAGAAGCTAGATTTTTTTAAATAAATGCTGTTTAGTTAAAATTATTTTATGGAGAAAACCAGATATTTGGACCAAATGCACAAAAATATTACTTATTTGGCACCATACACTTTAGAATTTCATTGAATGCAGTATTTATATTCCTAAATTCTTAAACCATCCATTGTTATTCTAATGTTATAAAGATTTATACATTTTTAACGCCTAAACATAATATTATTTCTTTCCTTGGCTATACTTTGACAGATACATAACCTTAAATGCCAAATTTTCAAAAGACTGCGTTCCGTACGTGGTCACGTGGTGGGACTTTGAGGTGTGGAGCATAGTACTTTGTCTGTGGTTGACACCGAGAACATCGAAAAAAAAAAGTAGGCACGTCCAACTTATTGCTAAATAAATCAGAGGAGGGGGGAAGTTAAATTATATTAGATTATAATAATAATATAAAGTAATATATAATTCTATTACTGGCAACTAATGGCACTTGACAGTTAAATCAAACAATAATGAAAATGTGATGTATTTTTAATCGCTGGTGCTGAAGTAGTCCGAAGCGTTGCCACGACATATCGGACATGTTCTGTTTGACTGAAAAGAAGATTTTTTTTAATTGGTTAAGTGCTAAAACCACCACCCAAAATTTAGGAAATATTCAAATTTTGATAATATTTATTTGAACACAACTTATTTTTTTTAATTAACAAAACTGAAAATTTATAAATTTTGGAAATATTGAAAATCTTGAATGCTTTAAAATACAAAATTTTAATTCCAAAATTTTGAGATTTATTCATTTTTTAAAAAAATTGAAAAAGCAATTTTTTTATAACCCATCAAATTTTTGAATATTTAAGAAATTTTCAAAATCTTGAAATATTTTTTTAATTCTTGAGAAATCAATATACATAATAAAAAAAATTTAAATTATTTATTTATTTAAAGTTTTTAAGGGTTACCAAAATTTGGGAAATATGTAAAATTTGGATAATTTTTCAGGAATAAAAAAAAATGAAATTGGTTAAATTACCAATAAAGATTTTGATGATTTTAAAAATTCATAAATTTTGAATATACATTTGTTTGCGACTCACCCCTGTAAAATCTTTATTTATTGTGCGATTTTCACCGGATTTGTTTTTTATTTTAAGTGTCCCAAAAAATTTAAAAGTTTGGCTATGTAGGAAGTAAAAAATACTTTTTTTCTACCTATAAAGAAAATTGGAAAATTGATCAGTATACAGGGGAAAACAAAAAGTTTATTTTTTTCAATGGATCACCCTATATATGAATCTATTTTTCGATTCCTTGCAAAATTCTGAGCATAATTTATATAACAAACCATATACCTAAATTCAACTGTTTCTGAAATATTCGCATTCGAAATGTTATCATTAAATGTTTTTTTAAACTGTTAGAAATCAAGAAGCCTACCAAAATTTTTATTGAAAATAAATTACTATAGTGACATTATGTCAATATGTCTAGTTAAATAAGTAAAAATGACGTACTAAGACAGAGAAAGACAAACTATTTAAACTTATTATCTTAAAAATAATTTAAATATTTCAGAAACGGTTGAATTTAGGTATGTTATATGAAATATGTTTAGAATTTTACAAGGAATCAAAAAATAAATACATATATAGGGTGATCCATTGAAAAAAATAAACTTTTTGTTTTTCCCTGTATACTATCAATTTCCAATTTTCTTTATACGTAGAAAAAAAATTTTTTTGGTACCTACATAACCACACTTTTAAATTTTTTGGGGCCCTTAAAATAAAAAAGTTAAAGGGGGGCGACATTATAGGGGATCACCCTGTACATGTATTAGAAATACAAAATTTACGAAATTTTGATAATTATTTTTTTTTAATTTAAAGAAAATTACAAAATTTTAATAATTTTTAAACAAAAAGCATTTTTTTAAATTACTCATCAAAATTTTTATTTTAGAAATTTACAAATTTTGAATACATATAGGTATTATAAATAAAAATCTCCTTTATTTAATTTTCGGACATTTCAAGCATACGGACGGGACAAATCACAAAACTGTTTTAAAAAAGAAATATTTTATTTTTGCATCAAAATTGTCAAATATATTCTTCTGTTATTAGGCTATAGTTATAGGCAAATATATTATCTTTGGGCTATACATTACTAAATAAAAAAAGAAAGAGATAATTTTAATAATTAACAGGTTGGACGGGTAAAGATAAATCTTTTTTTGTCCCATCCACACCTTTTAATTAATAAAATTATCTCTACTTTTATAAAATATTTATTGCGTTTTTTTTTAAATAATGTATGACCTAATAAAAGAATATTTTTGACAATTGCTTTTATAAAAACAGTTTTGCAATTCGTGCGTTTTGCACGCTTGAAATGGCCGTTTTGTCAAAAAAAATTAGATTAAAGTTTCGTAAATTTTGAATATAGGTATTAGAAATAAAAAATTTCATAATTATATTCCCTTTTTAATTAAAAAAAAACTGTTTTAAATTACCCATTAAAATATTGATGATTTTAGAAATTTATAAATTTTGAATATAAATACAAAATTTTGATATTAATTGAGGGGCCTAGAAGTAAAAGGGTTTAAGTGAATTTTTGTTAGTTCTGAGATAAATGGCTTTAAAGTTAACTTGAATTTTAAAATTCTAGAAAAGAGTTAAAAAAACTGTGAATATTTTAGTTTTGTTTAAAGACTAAAAAGGATTATAAAGAAAAAGGAATTTTTCAATTTCGCTTTTTTGTTAATTTTTTTTATAAAAATGTACTTGAATCGTCATGCATGTAAGACAAAATTTAGTGGTAAAATGATTTAAGTGCAATTACTGTAATAGAAAAAAAACTTTATTTTTTAAAATTTGGGTAATTACCCAATTTAGATCAACCCCAACCAAGACCAGCTAATTCAGATGAAGAAAACGTTGTATTAGATTCTGATTATGAATAATACTTTTTGTTGTAAAACTTAAGTTTTAGGGGAATGTAAAATGTACTTATATAATTTTACCACTAAGTTAGAATATTCTTTAGGTGTGATATTCTGCACTTAGACCATTTATTTAAAAAAGTGCACTTGAACCGTTTTACTTCCAAGCCCCTCAATTATCATCAAAAAAAATAATTTATAAAAAAATATCAAAATATCCTAAATTTTCAGTTTTTTAATTTTTGATATTTTTGTCAAAGTTTTAGGTAACCTACCAAAATTTAGGAAATATTAAAATTTTGATAATTTTTCAAGAATTTAAAAAAAAACTAAATCTCTTATTAAAATTTTGGAAATACATAATAAATTTTAATACCTATTTTAAAAAAAAATTAATTTTAATTAAAAAAAATCATCAAAATATCCGAAATGTTTAAATCTCCAGAGACGAAAAACCGAAGAAAAAGAAAGAAAAAAGTGTCACTCACCCTGAGCCACTTGTCGATGCACTTGGCGTGGAACTCGTGCGCGCACGGCAGCACGCGCAGCATCTGCCTCGCCTCGAAGTCGCACATGCACACGACGCACGACGTCTGATCGCCGTGGTGCGTCTCCGCGTTGAAGCGGTACGAGAGCAGCAGCTCGATCTCGTTCTTGCCGAGGCCGCGCGGCTTCGCCTCGCCCAGCTGCTCGGCCAGGTTCAGCAGCGCCTCGTAGTTCTCCGTCGTCTCCGTGCTGTCCGAGCTGCTCAGCTCGGTCTGGCTGAACGGCGACATCGGCGGGTTCGAGAACATCGCGCTGCAAACGTTCCAAGTTATTTACATTGAAGAAAAGGAGAAGGGGGAGGATCAAGGATGCACGAAAACACTTAGAAAAGCAACACACGAAAAACAGCAACAAACATACATGACCAGCTTGATTGACTATATTTGCATTATATTCAGTTACTTTAGGTACGATATATTTTAGATTTGCCTTAAATCTACAAATTTAAATAAGTAGTAGCACAATCTTCCAACAAATGCGTGCACTGCAGTTAATCACGTGAGTCTACAGTCTATGCGCGGTTGATTAAAAATCGTTTGTGCGCAGTGTACACCAAAGAAGACGTCCCCTCCTTTATCGACGCTAACAAGCGACGTTTTTCTCTCTATTATCAAATGCGGAGTTGAAGCTCCTGAATATAATCTTCTTAATTTATATGTTCAAAATATTGGAACATTGATAACTCACAATTTTATTTTTGTCACTTAGACCCAATTCTGTAGAGCTTGTCCAATAATCCCCAATAAAGTATTTGAGGACGGCCAGAGGATGTCTTACTTTACTTACGTTCTGGGGACCGACGATTTGGTAACATCGGATGTCCCTGGTACGTCCTGGGGAAGGTTCAGGACCTGATTCGGACGTACTCGGAACTTACTAATGTCTGATACAAGATATACTCAGGACGTTTCCAGTACTTCTTTGTGCTATCTGGCAATAAAGAAGTGGGAAAATCACGAATATACGAAAACACTTAGAAGCAACAACCACACGAAAAACTGCAACAAACATACAAAAATATTTGTTTGAAGGTTGTAGACAACGATGTTTGTTGAATGAAAGAGAGGTTTTGGACTTTTTCTGCCTGGTGAGTATCTTAAGATAAATACACTAAGGCGCAAAAAGATGTGACCTTTATAGGTATGCAAAGTGTCGCAGAGAACGCCCTCTCATTAATTAATAAAATTTTGTGCAAATACACTCACAGGCAAAATAATCGATCCACACAAATTTTCGATGAATTTCAATCGCAAATAACTTTTTTATTTGATGTCGGATTTAAACGAATATTAAAGAATATTGTAGATAAATTAATGGACAATCGCTCACATTTTAAAAAATTACTAAAAAATAGATGTGGGTCAGAATTTCTTAAACGGGCCACCTGAATTAGGTCAAAATTAGTTTTTGTTTGTAGATACATTTTTTCGATAGTATTTTACATCACTAACACAAATCCTAAAGGATTTTGTAAAAAAAAAATTTTCAATTGACATATTCATGATATTAAAAGTAAAAGTTTTTAATAATTAAAAAATAAAAAAATTCATTATGGCTGAACTAATTATCCGATTCCAACGATATAACTAGCGTTGGAATCTTGTTTTAACATAGATTCTTTGTTATTTTTTTCAATTGTCCTATTTTCATTTAGGTCGATTTTTTTTTGTTTTTTTTATACCAAATTCGGAAATAATTGCCTTCTGCGCCAGCTATCGACTCGAGAAAAAAAACACATATACTCCAATCATTTCTCGAAATTATGCTGCTGAGAAAAAAAATGGCCCGCAGGTTGACAAAAAGTTATTCGTCCTTTTGTGGCCGCGCGCGGTGTCAGCTCACGCTCCGAACCGTGTACGCTGTACGCGCTTGTGACGCGACGTCTTACGGTGGTCTGGAACCTGCGGGCCATTTTTTTTCCCAGCAGCATAATTTCGAAAAATGATTGGAGTATATGTGTTTTTTTTTTCGAGTCGATAGCTGGCGCAGAAGCCAATTATTTCCGAATTTGTTATAAAAAAAACAAAAAAAAATCGACCTAAATGAAAATTGTACAATTGAAAAAAATAACAAAGAATCTATGTCAAAACAAGATTCCAACGCTAGTTAAATCGTTGGAATCGGATAATTAGTTTAGCCATAATGATTTTTTTTTTATTTTTTAATTACTAAAAACTTTTACTTTTAATATCATGAATATGTCAATTGAAAATTTTTTTTTTACAAAATCCTTTAGGATTTGTGTTAGTGATGTAAAATACTATCGAAAAAATGTATCTACAATCAAAAACTAATTTTGACCTAATTCAGGTGGCCCGTTTGAGAAATTCTGACCCATGTACGTTTATAATATACAGGTTTAAACAAAAAAATGTTTTTACCATAAGTTTAAGTCACTCTGTAGAGTGGCAAAACCGTATATTGTTCTAAATTAAGTTTTATTTATCAAGTCACATCTATTCTTAACAGTTTTGTTTTTGGTTCACCTCGATATATTTATATTTGTGGAAAATATGGATTTTTTAAAAAAACATTGCAATTTCCAATATTTTTCTGTATGAAGAACTAAGGTTGCTATGGTCCATCCATAGGCTATGGAGAATGACAGTGACAGTTTTCTTGAATCATCCCATACTTGGACATGTCACACACGGCTTTCAAAAGCTATCAAATTGTTTTTGCAAATTATTGTTTAAATTTTGAGGTGTCTTCTTACTTTAAAAAATGGATATGTGTTTGACTGATGTTGCCAGAGCCATTAATTTAATCCAGGATGGACGGTCAAGTGTTTTAAACGTCACAAGAAGTAAAGTACAAAGGGCAACATCAGTCGGAGACATTTTTTAAAGTAAGAAGACACCTCAAAATTAACACATTAATTTACAAAAAACAATTTGAAAGCTTTTGAAAGCTGTATATGACATGTCCAAGTATGGGATGATTCAACAAAACTGTCACTGTCATCCTCCATAGCCTATGGATGGACCATAGCAACCTTAGTTCTTCATATAGGAAAAATATTGGAAATTGCAATGTTTTTTTAAAGAAATCCATATTTTCAACAAAAATAAATAAATCAAGGTGAACCAAAAACAAAACTGTTAAAAATAGATGTGACTTGATAATTAAAACTTAATTTTGAACAATATACGGTTTTGCCACTCTACAGAGTGTCTTAAACTTATGGTAAAAAACATCTTTTTGTTTAAACCTGTATATTATAACCGTACGTGTATTTTTAGTAATTTTTAAAATGTGAGCGATTCTTCATTAATGTATCTACAACAATATTCTTTAATAATTGTTTAAATCCGAAACCAAATAAAAAAGTTATTTGCGATTGAAATTCATCGAAAATTTGTGTGAGTAGCTCACGTCAAATTATATCCAAGCCTATTGGAGCATCCAGGCGTGACGAATCTGTGAATGGTTTAATTTGAAACAGACAAAAAACAACAGCAGAAATGTCCAAAATAAGGGGGAAATCACGAATATACGAAAACACAAGCAACAACCACACGAAAAACTACAACAAACATCCAAAAATATTTGTTTGAAGGTTGTAGGCAACGATGTTTGTTGAATGAAAGAGAGGTTTTGGTGAGTATCCTTAGATGAATACTTAATAAGTTGAGTAGCTACATGTGTAATTATATCCAAGCGTATTGGAGCATCCAGGTGTGACGAATCTGGGAATGGTTTAATTTGAAACAGACAAAAAACAATGGCAGAAATGTCAAAAAGAAGTGGGAAAATCACGAATATACGAAAACACTTAGAAGCAACAACCACACGAAAAACTGCAACAAACATACAAAAATATTTGTTTGAAGGTTGTAGGCAACGATGTTTGTTGAATGAAAGAAAGGTTTTGGACTTTCACTGCCTGGTGAGTATCTTCAAATGAATACTGAATAAGTTGAGTAGCTACATGTCTAATTATATCCAAGCGTATTGGAGCATCCAGATGTGACGAATCTGTGAAAGGTTTAATTTGAAACAGACAAAAGACCAACTGCGAAATGTCAAAAGAAGGGGGAAAATCACGAATATACAAAAACACTTAAAAGCAACAAGCACACAAAAAACTGCAACAAACATACAAAAATGTTTGTTTGAAGGTTATAGGCAACGATGTTTGTTGAATGAAAGAAACGTTTTGGACTTTCATTGCCTGGTGACTATCTTCAGATGAATACTGAATAAGTTGAGTGGCTACATGTCTAATTACACTCACAGGCAAAATAATCGATCCACACAAATTTTCGATGAATTTCAATCGCAAATAACTTTTTTATTTGTTTTCGGATTGGAGAATGGAGAATCCCTCACATTTTAAAAAATTACTAAAAAATACACGTACAAAAAAATACAAAAATAGACGTACGTTTATAATATACAGGTTTAAACAAAAATATGTTTTTTACCATAAGTTTAAGACACTCTGTAGAGTGGCAAAACCTTATATTGTTCTAAATTAAGTTTTAATTATTAAGTCACATCAATGTTTAACAGTTTTGTTTTTGGTTCATCTTGATATATTTAATTTTCGGAAAATATGGATTTTTAAAAAAAAATATTCCAATTTCCAATATTTTTCCTGTATGAAGAAATAAGGTTGCTATGGTCCATCCATAGCCTATGGAGGATGACAGTGACAGTTTTGTTGAATCATCCCATACTTGGACATGTCATATACATCTTTCAAAAGCTATCAAATTGTTTTTTGCAAATTAATGTGTTAATTTTGAGGTGTCTTCTTACTTTTAAAAATGTCTCCGACTGATGTTGCCCTTTGTACTTTACTTCTTGTGACATTTAAAACACTTGCCACGTAATACTGTGACCGTCCATCCTGGATTAAACTAATGGCTCTGGCAACATCATTCGGAGACATATCCATTTTTTAAAGTAAGAAGACACCTCAAAATTTTAATTTGCAAAAAACAATGTGATAGCTTTTGAAAGCCGTGTATGGGATGATTCAACAAAACTGTCACTGTCATTCTCCATAGCCTATGGATGGACCATAGCAACCTTAGTTCTTCATACAGAAAAATATTTCAAATTGCAATGATTTTTTTTAAAATCCATATTTTTCACAAAAATAAATATATCGAGGTGAACCAAAAACAAAACTATTAAGAACAGATGTGACTTGATAAATAAAACTTAATTTAGAACAATATACGGTTTTGACACTCTACAGAGTGTCTTAAACTTATGGTAAAAAACATCTTTTTGTTTAAACTTGTATATTATAAACGTACGTCTATTTTTTAGTAATTTTTTAAAATGTAAGCGATTTTCCATTAATTTATCTACAATATTCTTTAATATTCGTTTAAATCCGACATCAAATAAAAAAGTTATTTGCGATTGAAATTCATCGAAAATTTGTGAGGATCGATTATTTTGCCTGTGACGAATCTGGGAATGGTTTAATTTAAAACAGACAAAAAACAACGGCAGAAATGCCCTAAAGAAGGGGGGAAAACACGTAAGCAATCGATTTAAGGTTGTACTTACAGGAAGTGCAGCAGGAATCCGGGGTACTGCGGCGCGGCGGCCACTAGCGGCGGCGGCGGCGCGGCGTGGTGCCAGCGGTGCGGCGGCATCCTGGGAGGCGGCAGGCGCGCGCCGCGGTGCGGGCGCGCGCGCGCGTGCACGATCTCGAGCTGGGCGGCGCGCGGCTCGGCGCCCAGGTAGAGCGGCGGCGGCTGCACCGCGATGGGCGGCACGTGAAGCGCCGCGTTGTGGTGGTGGTGGCCGTCGGCCAGCAGGTCCACGTCTATGCTTTCCGGGCGCTAGATAAAAATTTTGTCGCGTTGTAAATTGTGCTTTTAACACCTTTAATGTACTAAAAATGTACCTTTTCATCTTACATCGTTATTTTTTTTTACAGATTCTCTACCGAAATCGATAAGATCCGTATTTTTTTTCTTTTTGCTTAAATTTGCTTTTTTTTCACCCATAGGAAATTTTTGAAATATGGACAGAAACATCGATTTTTTTTACGAGTGACATTTTTTCTTGAAAATGCGATAACTTGGCTTAAATTGTAGGTAAATGTTTACTACATACAAAAAATATATAAAAAAATTAAAGGAATTCACTCAATTTTTTTTTTGTTTTTTGTAAAAAAAGGAAAAAAGTATTCACGGTGGTCAAAACTTAAGTATAGGACGAACAAAAATGCCAACCAAAACTGATAGCATATTTTGATTATAGACCCTTTTGGTAACACTAACATGTATTTATCAAAATCCCAGCTGATCCTATTTTAAAGTTTTACAAACTTTTTTGTTTTTCTATTTCTATATATTATTTTGCAATTATTGTACAATTTTAATAAAATTAAGCAAAATAATAAACTTTGTATCATTTAAATTACTTTACTCCACAGTATTAATTTATTGAGTCACCTATTATTTTTTACCACTCAAAACAAAACATAACAAAAAAAAACGAAGATTTATATTTTAAATATTTTTTATAACAAAAAATACTGGAAGTTTGTCTATGAAATAATTACAACTTGCAAATTTTGTAAAAAAATAATTAAGGTGGTTATGAAAAAAATTGCTATACGTTATAACGCAAGTGACATTTTGCTTTAGTTGTTTATTTAATGTATACTTTATAAAGTTAAAAATAGTATTTTAAAATGAAAATTAAACCGAAATTCAAGTTAAGCCATGAAGAAAATCGAAAGAAGGTATGTGCTGGCTGTGGAGACAAAATTGTTTTTGGTAATCGAAAAATTCAGAGTTTAGGGTTTCTGAGAAAATATAAAAATTACTGCAGACTTTTTCAAACGAACACTTTAACTTAAGTGATTCAAAATTACCTACTTCAATATGGTAAAAACGGTATTTTTGCATAGGCACAATTGCCAAATTTTCCAAATTTAGAAATTGCTAGAGAATTTCGCGGCAGCTAAGAATGTATGTGCTTTATCTGCAAAATGGCAAGATATAAAGAGCAAACAAAATTATTAAGGGAAGAGAACGGACGAACGAACTAAAGTTTTGATATGCTCTTCCTTTCTAGTGGATATCGCTAGATGTAAGAAGCATGTTTGTACAGGGTGATCCCCTATAATGTAGGGTTGCCATATTTTATTTCAAAAAATAACGGACTTACCCCCTTCCCCCGACAAAAAAACTTTTTTTTTTAAATATTTATTACCTAAATAAAGATAGAGAGTCAGCTTAAAAAACATTCATAGATATTCTAAAAATAAACTAATACAAATAAAATAATGAAAACAAAACTTTCCTATTTATTTGGAAGACATAGAGGTACTTGCTTCTGACTTATCTTTTGACCATTCCTATTTTTCTGATGATAACACTTTCTTTAAGATTTTTTTAATATTTTTAACTTTATTGTAATATGACAAACAATCCATTTCTGTAATTACTTTTATTTGAATTTTGAAAAAAATCCTAATAAATATCAGGAGCAATAACATTAACTATAATAGCTTCTGTTTTCATCAGCGCTACAAAATTTTGGGTCATAAAGAGAGTGAATTAATGTTGACGTGCATGTAGATGAATTAAAACTAAAATCATGCTGGGTAGTAAGATAGGCAAAAGCTGCTTTCTTTGAGGCACAAATTAAATCTTGTTCTGTAGGTTGTACGTTTTTAAAATACGAAGTAACAACTTTACTTAAATTTGAGGCATTCGAAATATTTCTATGTTTCTTAGTGTTTCTGTATGTTGTATGCCTCGGCCTCCTTGTGAAATTGAAAATTCTGCATTACACTTTGTACACCTTGCCATATGTTACTTCTAGAAAATGATTTAAACATGGTTTATCTTAAACTACATGCTAAAAGACCTTCACTGCTGACGCTGTATCCAAAGCCAAATAAATTAATAAACACTGGAAAACGCAATACTTTGTATTGTCAAAACACCGTAGGGAATTCCCACGTTTTATGTCAATAATTGACAGTCAATTGGCCACGGAAGCGCAATGACTATAAAATTGTTTGCGTGCTTGTATTTATGTTTGTCCAGCTGGTAAAACAGTTCGCTATAGTTTTATACCGTGGTAAATGGCTTGAAATGATAAATGGCAAATATAAAGTTATTAATATAAGGTTTAATTTTGGATTATAAATTTTAAAAATAACGGACACAAAAAAATAACGGACCGGACAAACGGACGCCCTGAAAAAAACGGACTGTCCGTTAAAAAAACGGACGTATGGCAACCCTACTATAATGTCGCCCCCCTTTAACTTTTTTATTTTAAGTGTCCCAAAAAAATTAAAAGTGTGGTTATGTAGGAACTAAAAAATACTTTTTTTCTACGTATAAAGAAAATTGGAAAATTGATCAGTATACAGGGAAAAACAAAAAGTTAATTTTTTTCAATGGATCACCCTATATATGAATTTATTTTTCGATTCCTTGTAAAATTATAAGCATATTTCATATATCATACCATATACCTAAATTCAACCGTTTCTGAAATATTTAAATTATTTTTAATATAATAAGTTGAAATAGTTTGTCTTTCTATGTCTAAATACGCCATTTTTACTTATTTAACAACACTTATTGACATAATGTCACTATAGTAATTTATTTTTAATAAAAATTTTGGTATACTGAGGCTTCTTGATTTTTAACAGTTTAAAAAATCATGACATGATTGTAATGATTACATTTCGAATGCGAATATTTCAGAAACGGTTGAATTTAGGTATATGGTTTGTATATAAATTATGCTCAGAATTTTACAAGGAATCGAAAAATAAATTCAAATATAGGGTGATCCATTGAAAAAAAATAAACTTTTTGTTTTTCCCTGTATACTGATCAATTTTCCAATTTTCTTTATACGTAGAAAAAAAGTATTTTTTAGTTCCTACATAACCACACTTTAAAATTTTTTGGGACACTTAAAATAAAAAAGTTAAAGGGGGGCGACATTATAGGGGATCACCCTGTACAGAGACTGAAGAATTTAAAAATACTGTTACCATGTTAAAAACAATTCCATGTAGAACCCAAGAAAAAGTTTTACTGAAAATTTAAGGCAAGCAGTAATCGATTTTGCCTCAAAGAATCTTTAGTTATTTATTAGTATGGTATTAGATACCTTAAAACAATAAATAAGATATTGCAAACTGTATTTTACATTATTTTGTATTTATAATGTAATTTATCCATACTTCAGTCATGTATCTGCCAAATTTTTAAAAACATTTGATAATGGTACTAGAGTATTTTTTTATTTTATTAATGGCATAAACAATTTTAAAATACTAAGAAATATGCAAAACTTTAATAAAGGATCAGCTGGGATTTTGATAAATACATTTTTGTGTTACCAAAAGAGTCTATAATCAGATTATGCCATCAGTTTTGGTTGGCATTTTTGTTCTTCCTATACTTTAGATTTGACCACCGTATAATATATTATAGGTGAAAATTTTGACATTGCTACATATTTTTTTCGTTTGAACAATTTTTTCCAAAAGTCTCGAGTTAGCTTCGTCGTTTCAGAATTAATATTTTTTTAACGAAAATTCCATTTTCTAGTAAATTCGTGATTCATCGCAAAAATTTGGTATGTTATCTAGGGTCATGAAACTGGGGTAACTGGTAATAAAGTGTAATTTAGTACTTTGACATATTTGACATATTTTTGTCACTTCTGGTTTCACCATTTTTTAATAAAACCCCCTATGCATTTTTACATATTTCCATTCAAAATATTGAATACATAAATATGTCATTTGTCAATTTTTGACAGATCGAATCATTTTTTAATTAAATTTTATTTCTATACCCAGAGTGCCTTGAATTGGCTTTTCTGCTTCATGTTGGGAAAACTAGTCTGGAAAAAATACAATTTTATTCTTTTTTCGCAATTCTGATTTTTCGTAAGCTATCAAAAATTAAAAAACCATACTTTATACCAAAACTATTTTTTTTTGTCATAAAAGAAATTCATTTTTTTAATTTGATACCAAATATTAATGCATTTTTTAATAATATCGCTTGCAAACTCTTTATTAAATTTGAATGTTTACTAGGCTTTAAATTGTGTACAGAAATAAATTAAGAAGGCTTTGAAACCTTTGTGTTTAAAAGAAGTGTCAGATATGACAGTTCGTTAGTTTGTTTTGCTGGTAAGTGAATATTAACATTATATTTTACTATGAGAACATACGCTAAAACTTTTTATGAAATAAAATAAATATAATAGTTGAGTTGGTTAGTAGTAATTGCTCAACATTTTTTGATTTTAAAACTACTAAATAAAAGCATTCAAATATTTTGAAACGTTTATAAAAAGTTATATCTAACCGCCCCATAGTGTGACCATTGTAGGGAAATCAATTAAAATTTTTTTTCTAAACCTGCGCATTAGTTTCTGATAGAGCCTCAAGTCAAAAAGAGTTTCGCGACTGCCTCACTCATATCTGTTAACTGACCAACATTTTTCGAAATTGTTTGTGTTCTACATTTCTTTGAAATCGCGTTTTTATAAGGGTGATTCTACAAAAGTTGGACAACTTGATGTCATCAGTCAATAGAGTAGGTATTTTAATATTTTTTGTAAATATTTTAGTATATTACAAAAGATCCAGATTTTTTTAACTTGTCCACCCAATTTTAATGTATTTTTTCAAAAGCACGTTTGTAGAAAAACATAATAAATATTCAAAACATCAGTACCTTGGCGTGTCACAACTTCTGAATCAAATATTTGAGTGATTTTATTTTAAATTTATCTTAAATTTTTCAATTTCACTACAAACTATAAAACATTAAATAATGTATTTTTCATATTTTATCATAAATTCGAATAATAGCAATTTTTAAAAAAATGATAATCTTTGTACTCACTTTTACCCGTCAGTTCTGTGTCCAATGTTAAAATTCAAAATTCCTGCGAAATATTGAAGTTTAAACGTCAAGTCCTAGTTTTAACTCAAGTGTTGGTAAAAAATTACTTGAAAACAATGCAAGCGGCGAAGTTGTGGTGAATGCACGTATAGTTCCAGTCGAAATTTCAGTACTGTGGTGAGTAGTTATTTTCTTATATATATTTCATTGTAATTTATATAAGGCTATATGCGATTTGTTGATAAGTAGCATCCACTAATAAAAAATATCAGTAAAATACTTAATTCCAAATTCTCAAATTTGTATCCCATTCATCAGTACTGCGTCGTCAGTTCCATGTTCGATGTTTCGCAAACTTTAATTTAAATTCTGCTTGCGCCGAACTTGTTTATTTAATATCATTATAAACTCATATAAATTTGGTGTGTGTCCCATATCTAATAATTAAGATATCGGTATACCCAAAATCCACCAGCCGCCACTGATGTGTGGTATTATTTGATTTTAAGATATTTAATGTATAATATGCTCAAAGTTGGAATAAATCTTATATTTTTCAATAAATTATGTATTTAATTAGTACAATGGTATACTTGTCACTTCCCTTGCATTCAAATTTAAAAAACACAGATATTTCAGAAACTGTTTGAAAAAGTGGCTGACCCAGTCTGGAACAGTATATTTATTATATTATCTATGTTCTCATAACAAAATACTGTTTAATTTTTTCCGAAAACTATATAAACAAAATGAGGTCAAAAGTTGCTTTTGTAGAATCACCCCAGTTTCATGACTCTAGATTTTTGCGATGAACCACGAATTTACTAGAAAATATTTAAAAAATAATAATTCCGAAATGACGAATTTAGCCAAATCGGGACTTTTGGTGAAATCAACTTCAAACGAAAAAAAATAAAAAAACCGTGGCAATGTAAAAATTTTGACCAACATTTTTTTGTTGCCTTTTTAAGAAAAAACAATTTAAAAAACTTATTTTTTTTATATTATTTTTGTATGTAGTAAACATTTACCTACAATTTAAAAAAAAATTGTAACGATCGGCATTTTTGACAGTTCTCATTTTCAATAAAAAATGTCACTCGTAAAGAGAGAAAAATTGATGTTTCTGTCCAATTTTTCAAAAATTTCCTACGGGTGAACAAACTAAATTTAAGCATAAAGAAAAAATACGGATCACATCGCTTTCGGTAGAGAAACTGTACAAAAAAATTTCGTTGAAAAATACCGATCTACCCCTTTTCGTTTGATCGATTTGAGATGGACTATAAATTTTTTCGAACATTTTTCGAGGAACCAAGCAGCATTTTAAGTTTAAATAACTACAAATTTACTACTAAGTCAACTTTAAAGTATTTTTTACGGTTAACCACAACGGTTTTATAGCGGTATAGATACGAAAAATGGTTTATTTCGTTATTTTACCTACATAATAACCTTTTTAATCTACTAAGAGAATAACGTAATAAAAACAATATAAATACCACAAATTTACGCTATAATTACTAACTGTTTGCTCTCTCTTTCTAAAACATTGACATTCGCAATTTCTTTGTTCTTTTAATTTATATTTTACAAAATGGTACAAAGTAATAAAGGCCACCCAAGAGTAAAATTAAAAAATATAACTCAAATTGTCAAAACTAATAATATTTTGCATTAAAATTCACACGCACATTATTTTATTGATAAAAATACGCATGATACATCTTAAAAATTATATGCCCTCTAAATATTCTACGGTTTTAAAAAAAATAATGCTTGGGTAAAAATTCAACAAAACTTAAAACCTACATAATTTTATAAAATCTTTTAAAAATCATTTAGTTTTAATCATTTTTTAATAACTAAAACTTTTCCTATTACATATTAGAAAAATATTTATGAAAAAAATATTAAATATTAAATGTTTAGATAAGTAATGGATGCCATCTTGAAAAAAATGTTCCCTTAGTTTTATTTTTTACTTTAAGCTTATTTTTCCTTGTTTAGTCAATATTAATAGTATTTATTACCACTAATAACCCTAAAAAATACCAGGCGAATAGGAATTATTTACGGTTATAAAGTGGTCTTAATATCGTAAAATTATTACTTATAATTAACATTAACCATTAAGTAAAAATTCTGACGTTAAAATTACCGTTAAATTATCCTTTTGGTAAAATACACTTATAAGTAATTTTCTTTCGTAAAAATTACGTCCCTCATAATTCTTTAAAGTGTTGAAACTTAAGGGTTATTAAAATAGGAAAAATAACATAAATAAAACTTTTTAAATAACTTTAAAGAAAGTTTTACTTCAAAGTAAATTTTTAAGGTAAATTTAACAAAATATTTACTTAAATTAAGTAATATTGCCTCAAAGCTCTACGCTTTTACTTAAAATGCTGCTTGGGTTAAGTGTCTTACCTGCGCAGCAAGGTGCTGATGGGGATAGTGCTGCGCGGCGGAAACCGGCATGGGATTGGGCAGCGGAGCGAAGGGGCCGTACCCTTGGTGCGGCGGCGGCGGCGGCAGGCAGCCGGCGAACTGCAGGCCCGCCACCGGCTGATGGTGATGGTGCGGGTGGTGATGGTGGTGCGCGCCCGAATAGACGCCGTGCATCTGACAGCTGTGCAGGTGGGGCGGCGATCCGCCCGCCCCGCCGGCGCACAGCGAGAGATGCGGCGGCGGCGCCGGGTTGTAGCCCCACACGGGGTCGTGGCCCATCGGGATAGTGACCGGACCCTAAATATAAATATTAGACTGGGCCAAAAAAATCAACTATTTTTTTTTTTTTGAAAAGTATATCGAAAATATGGTTTGGGGTGACAAAAAAAAATTATAGTGAAAGTTTGAGTCCGTAATATTAATATTAAGAGGTCTATCATCGGAATTTTAAATTTTTTTTCCTCAGCAAGTTTTTGTCTCAGAACTCCCAAACTATTGAGTTTAACAAAATTGACTCAGAAATATTTTTTTAAGAAAATTAAATGCTCTACATGTACAGTTGTATTCATTAAAAAAGCGTACAAGAATTAGAATGAGAGAAAACTGTCAAAATAATATTATTGCTTAAAACCGGCTTATCACTGACATAAGTCATTAAAATAATTATTATAGGTTATAAAGAGCATTGACGTCGTAGGTTAATTAAATAATATTACAAAAATTATTACCTTTTAATAATGAAAAAAACAAACATTAAAAAAAATTTAATATTTAGTCATGCATCCCTGTTTTTCTATTACTTGAGCCAATCTATTTGGGATGAACTGAATTAAATTTAATACAATATTTGGATTAATATCTTCCCAGCAGTATAGTAGGTATAGTATAGTTGTATAGTTTCCCATAAATCCTCAGATATCTCAAAAAAGCAGCATCTTGTTCAGGGGTGGACATTTTGGGACGACCTGAACCAACTTTTTGGTTTAGTAAATCTTCCTGTTCCCAGCGTTGCTTAATTTTTAATATAGATTTTTTATTTCTATTATACCACAGTACGAATTGACCATTCTTGATACTATTTGAGCCTTTTTAACTGACGAGGCATTTTTATTTTCTACTGTCAGTTATAGTGACTTAAGTCAGTGGAAAGCCGGTTTTAAGCAATAATATTATTTTGACAGTTTTCTCTCATTCTAATTCTTGTACGCTTTTTTATTGAATACAACTGTACATTATGCTTAAAGGTTAAAATAAAGTTTTCCGTCAGATGAACCGTTTCCTTAAAATCATGCCTTAAAAATTGGTATAATTTTACATTTGGAATTTTGTAATTTATGTAAAAATCAGTACCCAGAAAAAAAAACGATGAATATTCTTATGGAAAATAAAATGCTTTACAAAAAAGCCTCTTAACATTTTTGGCTAAATTCATTCAATCAAAAGTTATTCATATATTATATCACGAGAACTATGAATTTAATCGGTTAAACTAGGATCAGTAGTTTTTTGTTTGGTTTTTGTTGGAAAATGTTGAATGCAAAATAATTTTTTTATTTTTGATTATTTTGCATGAAACTATTTTCCAAAAAGAAAAATCAAATAAAAAACTTACTGAGCATGGTTTGACAGACTAAATTTAAAGGTTGAATGATATACGTCTAGATTATTTCTCGAATTAAAGGAAACTATTTGACCATTCATAAAATCTGACGTATGTGTCAAAATTTATAAATATTTTTTTAAAGAAAATTCCATTAATTTAAGGTATGTAATAAGTAATAATTGATATGTCGTAAACTAGATAACTTATTTTTTATTGTTTTTTAAAAAATGTTTGTTAAAACACCATAAAATCGTAAACAAAAATCCAATATGGAGGCTAAAATTTAATCGCTTATTTAAACGAAATTTATTCGAAAATTCAAGGCTTTTGATTGGTTCATATTATAATAATAATCGTTAGTAATATCATAAGGACATCTAATTTTTCCGAAAAAAATCGAAAAAACACGTTGCTAAGTAATATTTTAACAAGAAGCATGAGTGCTGAGAGGAGGATTTTTGCACCTGCACGAATGCATTTTGTTAAAAAATGTTACTTAGCATTGTGTTTTTTCGATTTTTTTCACAGGAAAAATTAGATGCCCAAATGGTATTTGACAAGACTATTTCATGAGTAACAGTTAACAATTAAAATATAAATTGCAATTTTTGGTGACAACAGCTGTCAAGTTTTGCCGCGGGTAAACTCGAAAAAACTGCTGACAGGTGCTGTCACACAGTTTTTTCACCTAGAAACCATTTGTAATTCAAAATTGCGCGTTTGTAATTGGTGGAAATTAAGACGAGGGAAATAGTCAAGGTTAAAGTTGAAGTCAAAACGAAATTATTGTTTTTTCCTCTGTAGATTTATTTTTTTATGGGTGATAATTTGATTTTTTTTATTTATAAATGTGTATTATATAACTAATTAACAAATTCCAATAAAAAAACAACATAATTGTTATTATTTAAACGATTAAATAAGTAACAGTGAAAATAATATTTTCTAAAGAAAATAGCTCCTTAAAGCGAAAAAACTCGAATGTGTTATTTTTTTTTATCTTTCAGTAATTTTATCAATAACATATCATCGATAAAAGAATTCAAGATTTTAACTGGCCCAAAAAAAAAACAAGAATTTCGTTTTGACTTCAAATTTAACCTTGAATAACTTTTGATGGCGTGAATTTAGCCAAAAATGTTAGGAGACTTTTTTTGTAGAGCATTTGATTTCCCATAAGAATATCTATCGGTTTTTTTCTGGGTACTGACTTTTACATGAATTAAAAAATTCCAAAGTTAAAAGATCAAATTGTAAAACTATACCAATTTTTAAGGCATGATTGTAAGAAAACGGTTCATCTGACGGGAAATTCCAATCAAACCTTTTTTGTAGAACATTCAATTTTCTTTAAAAACTATTCTTAAGTCAATTTTGTTAAACTCAATGGTTTGGGAGTTCTAAGACAAAAACTCGCTCAGGAAAAAAATCTAAAATTGCGATGATAGACCTCCTAATATTAATATTATGGACTCAAACTTTCACCATAATTTTTTTTTGTCACCCAAAACAACATTTTCGATATACTTTACAAAAAAATATAGTGGATTTTTTTGGCCCAGTCTAATAAATATGAATAAAGTTCACCTAAAAGTTTTGCAAAACATTACTAAACAATTTTCAAAACTTTTTATTAACATTTTTTATTTGATTCATCATAAAAGTTTCTGGGCTACAAGGTTGATATGCAGAGTTGCAAATAATGCATTGAGGTTTCAATACACATTATTAAAATAATGAGTAATGTATTTAATTTTCATTATGCATTAAATTTTTTTAATAAAAATTTAGTTAATTACTCATTACATTTTTCCATTTTAATTTGTAATGAGTTTTTTGAATTTTTCAATTACAATTTTTTATGTTTATGAATAATGTACTCACTTTACATTACTCATTTTTAGTGGGCAAAGGAAGATATTTTTTTGCTTGACACTTTTTTCGTTTGACGTTTGACGGATAATTTTGATACAAGAAAATTTTAAGAAATAAAAATTTCAATTCGGACAATTATTATGGAAATTTGCAGCAAAAAAACAAAAAACGCGATTGTTTTGAAATTTTGATATCCTTTGAACAAGTAATCAAAAAAATATGAAACTTTACCAGAAAGGGATTTTTAATGGGTAGTTAAAAACATCGAAAAATAAAAGAAATCGAAAATCAACATTTTTCAAACTGTCAGACTTGGTGTAAAATGCCCCATATAAAAAATCACCCCATCAACCTTACCCCTGATCATTTTTCACAGATGTTATGGGTAATTTTTTATCAATGTGTGATGTACAGTCTCTCATTAGTCATTACTCATTAATTTTTTAATGTGCAATGAAAATATTTTGTTTTAATAATTAATGTACCATTAAAAAAATGACAATTGGGTCAGAATTTCTCAAACGGGCCACCTGAATTAGGTCAAAATTAGTTTTTGTTTGTAGATACATTTTTTTGATAGTATTTTACATCACTAACACAAATCCTAAAGGATTTTGTAAAAAAAAATTTTCAATTGATATATTCATGATATTAAAAGTCAAAGTTTTTAATAATTAAAAAATAAAAAAATTCATTATGGCTGAACTAATTATCCGATTCCAACGATATAACTAGCGTTGGAATCTTGTTTTGACATAGATTCTTTGTTATTTTTTTCAATTGTCCTATTTTCATTTAGGTCGATTTTTTTTTGTTTTTTTTATACCAAATTCGGAAATAATTGCCTTCTGCGCCAGCTATCGACTCGAGAAAAAAAACACATATACTCCAATCATTTCTCGAAATTATGCTGCTGAGAAAAAAAATGGCCCGCAGGTTGACAAAAAGTTATTCGTCCTTTTGTGGCCGCGCGCGGTGTCAGCTCACGCTCCGAACCGTATACGCTGTACGCGCTTGTGACGCGACGTCTTACGGTGGTCTGGAACCTGCGGGCCATTTTTTTTCTCAGCAGCATAATTTCGAAAAATGATTGGAGTATATGTGTTTTTTTTTTCGAGTCGATAGCTGGCGCAGAAGCCAATTATTTCCGAATTTGTTATAAAAAAAACAAAAAAAAATCGACCTAAATGAAAATTTTACAATTGAAAAAAATAACAAAGAATCTATGTCAAAACAAGATTCCAACGCTAGTTAAATCGTTGGAATCGGATAATTAGTTTAGCCATAATGATTTTTTTTTATTTTTTAATTACTAAAAACTTTTACTTTTAATATCATGAATATGTCAATTGAAATTTTTTTTTTTACAAAATCCTTTAGGATTTGTGTTAGTGATGTAAAATACTATCGAAAAAATGTATCTACAATCAAAAACTAATTTTGACCCAATTCAGGTGGCCCGTTTGAGAAATTCTGACCCAATTGCATTATTTTTTACATTAACATTTTTGCAACTCTGTTGATATGTGAGAACTTTTATTATGTTTTATTATGTCGTTAGAAAAAATTGAAAACAAAATTGAGTTTAAGGACATTTTAGGCAATTTAAGGAATTATATTTTGTGAAAACAAAATGAAAATTTCGAATTCTCCTTACCTGATTAATGTCCAACATCATTGGAGATTGGTGCGGATGGGCGTGAGCATGGGCCAGCGGCGGCGAGCTGGATATAAAGGTCTGGTGATGCGCGTGAGGAAACTCGTTCCTGTCCCTGTATCGCGGTCTGCGCAGCGGTGGACTACCCTAAAATTTGACATTCTATATCTCTACCCGAGACCCAAACTGTCCGGTTTTTTTAAATCACTTCAGGGTATTTCCACGAAACCTTACCCCACCTTGACAAAAAATCAGATGTGTTAATTAACAAAATAACAACTAAGTATATCTGAAATCAAATAGTTTAATTGCAACGTAATTTATAGCTAACATTAAGAATAAACATGGAAGAGTTTTAATACTTGATAAAATGTTCAAATGTCGCACCCGTTACATTTTAGAAAATAAAGTATGCAATTTTTGTGCATTTAAAATGCGTGTTTGTTTAAGGTTAGTATTCAAGTTTTACACAAAAAATTATTACTATATGCTTTCATCCAAAATTTTACAGTATCAACTTTAGAAGCCAACTTGGTCGCATTTGCCGATTTTCTAAGGTTGCGCCCGTAATGTTCCATACTACTACTATACTACTACCATTAATTTTTGATCAAATTACGCTCCATACAAATTTTTGATAAATCCAACAAGAAAGGAGATATTCGGGGTTAAGTTTTTTTTTAATAATTTTAACGAGTATTTTAATTATAAATATTTTTAATATGCTTTAGCAGATGTTCATTTAATTCTGATAATCATAATTATAGTGTGTAGCGCTAATTAGATTAAAATTATTACGTCCAGTGACGCCTCAGGGGGCCCCTTAACAAATAATATTGGCAAAAAAATAATACGCCACTGAGTTTCTGGTAATTTTTATATTTTTTTCGAATTAAGAAACTAAAAATATCCTTTTTTTGTCTGTTAAATTGTTTCATTTTCGAGAAATAAAAATAAAACCTTTTGGAAAACAAAAATCATTAAGAAAAAAAACATAAATTATTAATACGCTATATATTTTGCTGTTTAAAAACCAAGGTGAAACATTAAAACATAATAAAATAAAATTAAAGAATGTTTTAAATTTTATGAAAGAACTGGTGAGAAATTATTAAAGAAAATTAGAACAATACCAAAAACTAACTAATACGGTCGAATGGGGTGTACAAAATTATTGCCGAGTTTATACACACATATCAAATTGATATAAAAATTCGGTTCTGCAAACTCTCAATAGTGTATTTCGATTAATAGGGCAGCCATGTCTTCTATTGGTTCCTTGAAGACTTAATTTTGTAAGCCGCCCCATAAATAAAAGTCAGGGGACCTTGCTGGCCATCTAAGATCGCCATTTGTGCTGATTTGGATTTTCTTCCAAAAGAATATGAAAATGTGTCAAAAAGTTTAATCTGCGCTGGTTATATCCTTATTGTAGATGATGCACTAGATGAACCTTGTATGGAAAAAACATATTTCCTTTTATAAACTTACTGAAATATTGGTTTCATCTTTTAATATTGACATATTAGTTTCATCTTTTAATTTTCGTAATAACGATTGTGGGTTATTTTTTACTGAATGGAGGACTAAAGCTACATTTCTTCAGTCGTATTCCACTTCCTTCTTGGAACCGTTTCCTTTTTAAAGCTACCATATGTAGCTAAGTTGGTACACAAAGCTACAAAAGATTTGCGATCTGGCGTTGGTCTCGATAGCAGCGCACAGCTTCTGAAGCATTTTGATGTCATTCTCCTTAAACTAAAACCTTGTATGTTCAATTTGTCTTGATTTGTATGGTGAACCATTTTTATTTTAGAAATGTAGAAATTGCAAATTCTTACACTGACACTAAGTGAAGAAAAATTTACTTGATGTTTCTAACTTTCTTTTGTTTTTATTTAATTATTGTTTTCCAGAGATATGCAGTGAAATAGTTTTATTTTTATTTCTCGAAAACGAAGCAAGATATGAAAACAATTCAACAGACAAAAAAGGATATTTTTAGTTGCATAATCCGAAAAATATATAAAAATTACCAGACACTCAGTGGCGTATTATGTTTTGCCAATATTATTTGTTAAGGGCCCCCCTGAGACGTCACTGGACGTAATAATTTTAATCTAGTTAGCGCTACACGAGCGTTTTATCACTAAAATTATCATTACCAGAATTAAATGAACATCTGCTAAAGGATATTCAAATATTTATAATTAAAATACTTGTTAAAATTATTTAAAAAAAAACTTAACCCCAAATATCTCCGTTCATGTCGGATTTATCAAAAATTTGTATGGGACATAATTTGATCAAGAATTAATTTAAAAGTAGCTGCCATCGAAAAAATTCTTTGCAGTGTGGCGCCACCTACATCTTGTATTATTCAAAAACATTTTTTACACAGTTGTGAGGCCAATCATAGAGGCTAAAAACTGACGTTTAGAGAATTTAAATGACAGTTTTCGAAATAATTGGCCTGGGAGTTTTTATTGAAACAAACACTGTATTATCATGAAAAAACGCAGTTTTAGTGTCGCACCCGTTACAATGGAAATACCCTTTACAAAATTGCCATGCCCCAACTCGCTCGTTACCTGCATGTTGTGATGCGATGTGGAGGGCGCATGCTGCCTAGGCGATCTGCGCGGCGGCGAGGCGGGCTGGGCGTTCGGTTCGATGTGGTGCCCGGATCTGGACAAACGTCTGCGTTTCCTGGACGGACTTTCGCTCTTTATGCTCTCTTCGCTCGCTTGCCGGTAGTATTGCGGCGAATGCTGTTGGAAGTTTACCGGACTGACCCTCACGTCTAAAAACCACGCTCCAGTTGAAGATGTTTATTACGATGCGATGTATACGAGTTGTTCAAAAACGTAATTTTGACATTATTATGAGTTAACTTTTCTGCGGTATTCTCTGCGTGAGTCATGTAGATGTCAGAGTGTCGCTTGAACGTGATGTAGAGGAAATTATATTCGCATGTGAAGAAAAAGGATTTAACGAGTAGAAAACGATCAAAAATTTTAAAATGTTCAAAATTAACTAAATTTTCAAAAATTACTTAATCTTTGAAATTTTTAAAATTTTATTAAAAGAAGGGTTTGACGAATAAAAAATGATAAGATGGTAAAATTTTTTAAAAATTTCATAAATTTACAAAAATTGTATCAAAAGGAAGGGTTTGACGAGTGGAAAACTATAAAGTGGGTTAATTGTTCGAAATTTACTATATCATTGAAATTTTCAGAATTAAAAAACGATCAAGTGGGTGAATATGGTCAAAATTTCGTAAATTTACAAAAATTTTAAAATATTCAAAATTAACTAATTTTCAAAAATTACTAAATCTTTGAAATTTTTAGAATTTACAAAAATTTTATTAAAAGAAAGGGTTTGACGAGTAAAAAACGACAAGGTGGTAAAAATTTTCAAAATTTCGTAAATTTACAAAATTTGTATCAAAAGAAAGGGTTTAACGAGTAGAAAACGATAAGGTGGGTCAAAATTTCGTTCACTTCCGAAATTTACAAAAAATTTTAAACGTTCAAAATTTACTAAATTGTTAAAACTTTCAGAATGTTCAAAATTTGTATCAAAAGAAAGGGTTTGACAAGTATAAACGTGAGGTGGGTGAAAATGTTCAAAATTTCGTAAATTTCCGAAATTTACAAAAAAATTAAATGTTTAAAACCTACGAAATTTTCTAATTTTAAAAATTTTCAAAATTTTTATAAAAAAAGGATAAGGTGGTCAAAAATTTCGTAAATATCCGATGTTTTAAAATATTCAAAATTCTACAAAATTAAAAAAAAGATAATTTTTAATTTATTTACTAAAATTGGTAAAAATTTGAGGGTGGAAACGAGTGGAAAACTAAAGCGGAAAATTTTCAATATTTCTTAATTCTTAAAATGTAATTTGTAAGTATCAAAAGAAAAACGATTAAAACGATAAGGTTGGTAAAAATTTTCAAAAATTTCGTAAATTTATAACATTTGTATCAACAGAAAGAGTTTGACGAGTAGAAAACGATAGGGTGGGTGAAAATTTTCAGAATTTTGTAAATTTGTATCAAAAAAAAATTTTTTTTTTTTCTAAATTTCGTAATTTGTGAAATTTTTATAATGCTCCAAATTTACTAAATAAGAAAGGCTTTGACGAGATTAAAATTGTTCAAAATTAACTGAATTTCAAAATTAAATAAATTTTTATAATTTTCAAAATTTCCAATTTTTTTATAGAAAGTGTTTGATGAGTAGAAAACGATAAGGTGGGTCAAAATTTGGTTAACTTCCATAATTTTTAAAATGTTTAAAAAATTTTAAATTGTTAAAATATTCAGAATTTTCAAAACTTGTATCATTTTGTTTTCTACCAACTGGTGAAAATTTGAGGGTTTGACGAGTGAAAAACCAAGGCGGAAACTTCAAATTTTCTAATTTTTTTAAAATGTTCAAATTTTTTTACATTTTTAAATTTGTATCAAAAGAATGGGTTTAACGAGTACCTAGAAACCGATAAGGTGGGTTAATATTTCGTAAATATCCACTGTTTTAAAACGTTCAAAATTTACCTACAAAATTAAAAAAAAATTAATTTGTATTAAAAGAAATGGTTTGACGAGTAGAAATCGATCGATTCAAAAATTACGTAAATTTATAAAATTTGTATTAAACGTATGGATTTGACAAGTGGAAAACTGAGGCGGAAAATTTTCAAAATTTCTGAAATTTATAAAACAAAATTTGTATCAAAAGAGTTTAGCCAGTAAAAAACGATAGGGTGGGTGAAAATTTTCAGAATTTTGTAAATTTGTATCAAAAGAAAGGGTTTGACGAGTAGAAAACAAAAGCGAAAATTTTTCTAAATTTCGTAATTTGTGAAATTTTTAAAATGTTTATTTAAAATTTACTAAATAATTTAAATTTTTAGAATTAACAAAATTCTTTTACGAGTAAGTATAAATTTTAAATTTTTCAGTATTTCCAAATTTTTTATTAAAAGAAAGGGTTTAATGAGTAGAAAACGATAAAGTAGGTGAAAATTTCAAAAATTTTGTAAATTTACAAGTGTTAATAATTTTCTATATTTTTAAAATTTTCAAAATTATTAAGATTATTTTTTTTGACAGTTCTCTGTATTGTTGGGACATTGTTGAGGCATTGTTGTTGAGGGAACCTACAGCGAATTACAGCGATAATTTTTTGAAAATTTTCTCTGGTAGTTGCTATATATAAAAAACAAATTAAATCTTAATTAAATGTTGTTTTATTCATTATGAAATTCTTATTTGTTAACTGTACATGGTGCAATTCTATTGGCCGACATTTGGGACGGAAAAATAATCCCCCGAATACCACACGAGCTTCAAAATTATCTGGCATTTCCCTCAAGGTTCCCTGCAAACAAATAAAGTCGTCAAGTTTTTCAGGAAAAATCACTCGCGCTTCGCGCTCGTGATTTTTTAACCTGAAAAACTTGACTCCTTCATTTGTTTGCAACGAACCTATCGGGAAAAATACCCGATAATTTTGAAGCTCTTGTGGTATTATAAGTGAATATTTCACACATAAACCAGCCAAGATGTTTACTCATTCTTAAATGTTTATTAAACATTTTTTGGAATTAAAAACTGTTTTCTGGCGAGTGAGACATTTCGGCCATTTCAAGCGCGCGAAACGCACTAATTACAAAAATGTTTTTTTTAATTGTAGATAATTTATTATATAATATATTGGCATCAAAATTGTCAAAAATATTCTTTTTTTATTAGGGTACCTATGCATTAAATCAAAAAAAGCAAGACACATTTTATAAAAGTAGAGATAATTTTAATAAGTGAAAGGTGTGGACGCAGGGGCGCCGTAATGTTTTGAAAGCGTGTGTTGAGTAGGTCTAGTCAAAGTTTAGGAGGCATTCAAGTAATACTTAAGCAGGCTAAGGGGTAGGGAATTTAATTTTTAATTACTTTTGATGAGAAAGGAAGGGCGATTTTCTTATTTTTGCATATACAGGGGTAACGCTCCCTTAGGGGGACCTTTAAAAAATAGGTTATTTCAAGCTATGGCAATAAATTATAGTGTTGTTTAGTCTACCCAAAATAAAAGCATTATTACCTACAATCAGTGGCGGCTGGTAAATTTTGCGTATCTTAGTTATTAGACATGGGACCCACACCAAATTTATATGAGTTTATAATGACACTAAATAAATACAAATTTAAGTAGGTAGTACCATAGTTCATTGACAAATTTCAAAATTTATTTAAACAATCCAAGTAGGTAATTATGAGTTTATTTATAATGACACTAAATAAATACAAATTTAAGTAGGTAGTACCATAGTTTATTGACAAATTTCAAAATTTATTTAAACAATCCAAGTAGGTATTATAAGTTTATTTATAATGACACTAAATAAATACAAATTTAAGTAGGTTTATTGACAAATTTCAAAATTTATTTAAAAAATCCAAGTACATATTTTAACCCATTTTATTTTTTTATTATTTTAGGAAAATAAATCTGTAAAATTTGGATTTTTTTAAATAAATTTGGGTCCCATGTCTAATAACTAAGATATCGGTATACGTGCCCACAATATTTTTATTCCGAAAGAAATCTTTTGACAAAGCAAACCCATTGGTTCGTTTCGCATTTCTTGATATAAATTCGTCCATCAGATTTTCTAAATGTTTTTCTCCAATCTTGTTTTGCAAATACAATTTTAATATGCAGCCAAATGAGCATATATATATTAGGGTGTTTCAAAATAAGGCAATATTTTTCTTTTTTCAAATTCATGTGAAATTCTCGCAACTTATGTTAAAAATTTTTTTTTCAAAATTTGAGCTCTTAATATAAATTTTAAAATTTAAAGTTTTTCCATTGATTTAACATGGAAAAATAGTTTTTTCGCTTGCATGCTGTGTAGAACTTTTTTTTACAATTACTGGTCCTTTTTTAGCATTAAATTATCTACAAAAAATCCAGTCTGTAAAATTAATCCAGTCTGTAAAATTAATTTTAAAAGGTCCATCATCGAATTTAAAATTTTCCCATTGATTTAACAAGGAAAAATGGTTTTTTAAGATTTATTTCGCCTGCATACTATGTACAACTTTTTTTTTGATAAACAATCACTAGTCCTGTTTTAGCATTAAATTATCTACAAAAAATCTTATAGAGTCCAGTCTGTAGATTCAACTGTTTCTTTTTTATTAACTTTGAAACGTATAAATTCTAAAAAATGTGATATTTTTACATTTAGCGGCTGAACTACAAATCATAGAAAAAAAAGTCAATTAGCAATTTTGAAGATCGTTTAATGTTCTACAAATTCGTTTTAATCAATTTTTTTTTATCACATACAGTTCAAAAGTTATAAGTGTCTAAAATCCTATTTTCATGATAATGCATAATATGTTATTATAATATTCACTGTAGGAAAAAAAATAGGGACAATTTTGAAGGAAACTCAAAGCACTTAAATAACGTACCAAGATTCTTCAACACACTCAATTACTCGCTGAAATTAAGCTAAAATAGCTTAACTTTTATGATATTCTTAATTTCATGATCCAGCTTTTGACTGCAAATAAAATTTTATACTTTGCTTCAAAAAAGTTTTAATATACTGAAAATAATTTTAAACCTTTAAAATTAATTTGATAAGAATCTCACATTAATTTGAAAAAAGAAAAATATTGCCTTATTTTGAAACACCCTAATATATACACTATCGGCCAAAAGTAAAGAAACAAATGATTTTCCCTAATATTTTTATTATTGAATGGAATAAAAACATATAACTTGGTAAACTTATGTATAAATACAACATGAATAATGTAATATAAGGTACACACAGTATACACAGCGATTCGAAAAAAATGGGATGGTTCGCCTTTTTTAATCGGCCAAAAGTAAAGAAACACAATAAATAAACCATTTTAGTACATTAATTACAACTTGTACGGTTGTCTATTCAATAAATTCTTGAAAAGTGATCATTTTTAAATATGCCTAAAGGAAAAAGTTTATCTGTTGATATGCGCAAATTAATTATTAAAAAGTTTGAAGCCTGTGAGAGGCAAGTGGACATTGCAAAGCAATTAAATTTAAACCGGTGTGTTATTTCAAAAACCATTCGTTTGTATAAAGATCGTGGAACCCTAAAAAATGCACCAAAGTCAGGGAGACCTTCAAAAAGTGATTCTGTTGCAAACAGGAACATAAAAAAGCTGGCTATAAATAATCCATTCTGGAGCGCAGCGACGATAAAAAAGAATATTCCGGGATTGGCTCTGTCGGTGAGGTCCATTAGACGTCGTCTAAATGAAATGAAGCTGTATGGACGAAGACCAGCTAAAAAACCATTTATATCGACGAAGAATAGGACTGCCAGGTTAGCGTTTGCACGGGAACACCTGAACTGGACTGAACTGCAATGGAAAAATGTGTTATTCTCTGACGAATCCAAGTTTAACATGTTCAGTTCTGATGGAATACGATGGGTGAGACGTCCAAGAAACTGCAGATTCGATCCTACATACACTAAAGGTACAATAAAGCACGGGGCTGGTAATGTAATGTTTTGGGGGGCATTTTCTGGTCGAGGTATGGGACCTATTATTCCTATAGACGGCATAATGGACAGATTTGTGTATTTAAATATTTTAAAAAACCATATGGTTCCTTTTACTGACGATAATATGCCCTTGATGTGGGTATTTCAGCACGACAATGATCCCAAACACAAAGCAAAAATTATTACAGAATGGTTAGAGACGGAAAAAGTGAATGTGATGAAATGGCCAGCCCAGAGTCCCGACCTTAATCCAATTGAAAACCTTTGGGACCATGTAGACCGCAAAATTCGCGAGGAACACCCCGAAAAATACGATAATAAGGATAATTTGATAGCTGCAGTTCAAAGGGTGTGGAACGATATACCGGAAACAGTTTTAAATAATCTTATTGCATCCATGTCGAGAAGATGTGCAGAAGTTATCAAAAATAATGGTTACGCTACCCGCTACTAATTTTTTGTTCGTTTATTTTAGAAAAAATATTTTGTTTCTTCACTTTTGGCCGCTTTAAAAACTATAAAATTGTATTACTATATAATGTGTGATTATTTTAACCTTATAATTAATACCAAATAAGTACACCATAAAACGTATATATTTATTCCACTTTAAGTAAAGAGAATATTAGGGTAAGTAATTTAACAAAAATTGTAAAATGTTTCTTTACTTTTGGCCGATAGTGTATATATATATATATATATATATATGTATATTGTTGGGTTGGGTTAAGTGAAATTTAAAGATCCGAAAAAAAAATGTATTTATCTCATTCCATGTGTTGAATTCCACACATAGAATCTTCACGTGTGATGAGCTATAAACACACACAACAGGCCTTCCGGCGCCCCTGTGTGGACGGGACAAAACAAAGATTTATCAAGACACCACATTACCGTTTTTCTTGATCTCTGAAAGTGTTCGCATGTCGTACTTACGAATCGCACGGGCGAAACTGCGCGGTGGAAGAGTCCAGAAGAGATACTTACCCCTGGCGAGTCTTCTCTGCGCGTGCGCCGGGTATTCCATGAGGTTCCGCTGCAGCAGGCCGTCGGAGGGCGCGTTGGTCAGCATGCCGGAAGCGTTGTCGCACACGTTGATGTGCAACGCGGGCGAAATGTGCCTGTTGGGCAGCATCCGCCTGTCGCCGCTGTTGTGGTAGTTTTGGGCGAGCGTTTGCCGCCGCTCAGGCGCGTTAGCCATCGGAATGTGTCTTCTGTCTTGAATTTGGTGGTCTTGGCAAAACAGTTTTTTTTTCATTTTACGTGTCAATAGGGTTGGACAGTTGAAAATTTCAAATGAAAATATTTCATTTCATTTAGTTGGAAATTTTTAAAAATTTCAAATGAAATTTTCAATCCGAAAATTTCAACATTGCCTGTGAAAGTTTCAGAAATTTCATTGAAAGTTTCGCAATTTACTAAAAATTTCGCATAAATTTCACATGCGGCCTCCCCTGGGACCTTTAATAATAATTTACAACAGGTTCCGAATCGACCAATAAGAACGAGTTATCAAGCGTCTGGCACGGTGCTGTTCTGAGAGGTGATTTCTGTGAAACCTAATTTTTTTTTATATTCTTGCCAATTAGGTCATAACTAAAATTTTAAGAACAAAATAAAAAAAAATTGACGGTTTGAATTGTTTTAATTGGCTGTTTATTAAAAATATTAAGCACTCTTTCAATTATCTTATTAAAACTAGCGATTTAATTTAAATATTTAATATTTGCATAACTAAAAAAAAGGTTTTTACATTTTTTTTTATATTTTACTGTTTTGTTGCAATAAACGTTCAAACTTTTAATATAACCTTTGACGTACACATTTATGTTCCCTTAATTAATATATCCTTAAAGGTTGCCATGAAACTTAGATCTATTAAAAATTTATTTGACGTTTGAATTGTCATTTTCAGTATACGTATTCTATAATTTTTGTTTAGTTTTTTAAAGTGTTTTTTATAAACAAAAATGAAAAATTGTAGTAAAAGTTACGAAGAAATTCATGAAATTTAACTAACATCTTAAGTAAAGTTTATCGGGCCGATAACTTTCATGTCTTGGCAATATCTAGTATCCAAAGAAATTATTCGTCAAATAAATCAAAAATGAATAAATCGGCCCTAAATAAAATGTGGCACCCTTAGAATTATTGTTTAATAAATGTATACTATACATTTAACCTTTAATTAAAACTTTAAACGTGTATTACAACAAAACAGTAAAAGATATAAAAAATGTATAGACCTTTTTTTAGGAAATTAACTAATCTTTAATCTGATTTAAAAAGTTATGATAATATTGAAATAAAATCGCAAGTTTTAATTGGAGAATTGAAAGTGTGCATACATATTTTTAATAAACATCCAATTAAAACAAAATTAACCGTCAATTTTTTTTTTATTTTGCTCTTAAAATTTTAGTTATGACCTAATTAACAAGAATATAAAAAAAATTACCTCTCAGAACAGCACCGTGGTCTGGGCGTTTTTGTTTAGTTCGGCTTGGATTTGAATATTATTATTATTTTTACTTATGTGCATAAATTAATTTAAATAATTTAATTCAGTTACCAATTTAATTTGTAAATTAAATCAGACTTTAATATTGTTTTAAAAGTCATGATTAATTTAAACTTTTACTTTTGCTATAACTGCATCGGAAAACGGATAAAAAATGCCTTTGGCTCATAAAATTTTGATGAAGTTTCTTCAATTTTCGTAAAATTTTAGTAAAATATATAAAAATAATAAATATATATAAATATAAAACAATGAAAGAGGCACAATCTCATTAGCTTACCAAAAAGTGTTATATCTTTTAGTTTTAGTAATTTTAAAAATATTTTAAATGGAAATCTCAAGAAATTTGTGGTAAACATAGGTATTTACTATTTATATTATTGGTGGTCAGGGGTCCACAGAGGGGTAGGAGATAAGAGAGGCAATTTGCCATGGACCCGGAGTGGGCATATTTCAATATTAATATATTACACTTAAAGTGATTGAAATTTATTGAAAGTTTCAATAACTTTTATAAATTTCATGAAATTTCAGAATTTTAGGAAATTTTAATAAATTTCATAAATGTCATGAAAATTTCAAGTACAAGCAAAAAGTGAAATTTTCCCAACTCTACGTGTCAACATATCTTTATACAGGGTGTCACCAAACAAGTTGTCATCCTTTAATTACGGTCCGCTTGTTATAACTTGGCGAGGACGCCCTATGCTCAGTTTAACACGTGTTTGGCAAAGCAGTGGCGCATATTCAATATTTACTTTTAATTTTTTTGTCTATATGTTCAATTTATTGCATAGAAAGTTAGTCGAAGAAACAAAGATTGTAGAAGGAAAACTCGGTGGTAGTCGGGTTTTATTTTTTTTATGTAGAGTCAGGGGTGCTGATAATGAATCAAGAATATTACCCAAAAATTTCTTTCGCGTCCCCTAATTTCATCCCCCTAAAGGGAAGTTTTTTTGCCTTTTGGCTCATAACTCGCTAACCGTGCATTTTGTCAGAATTTGACCTCTAATCCTTTTGATTATGTACTAAATAAGGCACAAGTTAAACCCCATTGCGCACCTATATGCTATGCGCAGTGTGCTAAGTGGAGCGTTGCTTTTAAAATCACTTTTATGTTTTTTTTATTATAGCCCAATTTTAAAAGTAATCGATCCCAAACCTTACGCTAATTAAACATAACCGAATGGACCATTTTTTGAGGTACTGGACTTTTTTCAAAAGTTACTGCTTTTCAATGTACAGGGCCTTCTTTTTTTAAAAGTTTGCTTGATATTACACAATACATAGTGCGCATATCAGTTTCTTTTGCTTGGATAAATAATATCATTGTTTTTAGAGGTAAAAACAATGATGATATATAGGATAGGTCAGTGACATCCAGTGGCTCCCTGGTTTTGTCCAAAAAAATTCATATTTTTTTTTATTCAAAAACAGTACCTCTAATGCAAAAATGATCCCCCTAAAAGATACCAATTTATTAGATGACACCCTGTATTAACTTTAACAAGGTTAAAAATTAATATTAGCTCAAAATTGGACTGAATTTAGAACACACAACCAATCTTATATGGAATCACCCAGTAATTACAAGAAACAGAAATAAAAAGCACCTTTCCTAACCAATTTTATAACAAACAAAAAAGTTGTGAAATTATTAAAACAAATTTTATATTAAACAATTATCGAAAAATCTGAATTTCTTTTAAAATAAATTTCCATTTCCAAACAATTTTTGGCAACTCTGCTAGTAAATGGAGGTGCATTATCACGAAAAGCATCTTTTCAGAGCCTTACTACAGGTTGTAGAATTTAATCCACATACCTTGGACCTCTTAGGTATTGTCTAATAGGAATCAAAGGAATGTTTTCACCAATCATAAAGCCACCCAAAAACATTACACTTCCTCCATTGTTTCCCACGACCTCTTAAAATACGAATTCACCTCGTCTTAATTTCCACCAATCACAAACGCGCAATTTTGAATTACAAATGGTTTCAAGGTGGAAAAACTGTATGACAGCACCTGTCAGCAGTTTTTTCGAGTTTACCCGCGGCAAAACTTGACAGCTGTTGTCACCAAAATTGCAATTTATATTTTAATTGTACCATAAATAATTAAGATTGTAGTATTTTGTGATTAAATAAATTACCTATTTTTCAGTTTTCAAATTAATACCTACATATTTATTATGTTTGCATGTATAATAGGTAGGGCTATGTGTACGCAGAAAAACTGTTACCTACTCATGAAATAGTCTTGTCAAATACCATTCGGGCATCTAATTTTTCCTGTGAAAAAAAATCGAAAAAACACAATGCATATTTTTTAGCAAAATGCCTACGTGCAGGTGCAAAAATCCTCGTCTTCGACTCGGATTTTTGTTGCCACCAGCACTCATGATTCTTGTTAAAATATTACTTACCAACGTGTTTTTTCGATTTTTTCGGAAAAATTAGATGCCCTTATATATTACTTACGAAAATACGACATTTCTCTAATCTTCAATTGTCCAGTTTCATTCCTCCAAATACCAATTTAAATGACCAACTCTATTTTGCACTAATATTTTTGGAACCCTTGGCGATTTTTTTATTTACAAGGTGTGTTCAGAAAATATCGGGAATTTTCTTTTTTTGATACAAATATTTATTTATTCGTCTACTTTAATGTTGTCGCCTTCAAAATAGTCCCCATTGGATATTATGCACATGTGCAAGCTCTTCTTCCAATACTCGAAACACTTCTAAAACTCGATCTTTGGTATAGCCTTTAGTTCTTTCAGCGATGCGCTTTTAATGTCATATATGCTTGCAAAACGACGGCCCTTTAAGGTTCTCTTTATTTTTGGGAATAGGAAAAAGTCAGACAGAGGCATGTCTGGCGAATATGGAGGCTAGGGCATCATTACAGTATTGTTTTTGGCCAAAAATTTTGTTCAAAATTTAACAATTTTAGAACAAATTTTGCTGCCACGCGTTTCATACCCAAAACATTCGAAAAAATTTCATGGGATGAGCCAACATCATCAGCGACTTCTCTGATGGTTTATAACCATTTCTTCCACTTTTTCCATGTTTTTATCGGTTGTTAATGTGCTTGTGCGTTCGTCATCTTCAACGTCTTCACGGCCATCTTGGAAACTCTTATACCACTTGTAAACTCTTGTTTTACTTATAGCAGACTCAATATAGGCCTTTGTTAACATTTCACAGAATTTATTTCATTTTTTAAGCAAAATTGGATACAAATTCTTTGATCCATTTCTTTTAACGAACGAAAAATCGCCGAGTTCATAAAACACGTCTAACCTTAGCGGCTGCCACAGACAAAGTAAACAATGAAAACAGCTAAAGTTTTTATCATACTTCGGGGGCATGTATATCAACATAATAAAGAAAATTTTATGACAACCGGACCCTCCGAACCCGCGAAATTTAACAATTCCCGTTATTTTCTGAACACACCTCGTATACCGGATAATGCACCACCGCCGATAAGCAGAGTTGTCAAAAACTGTTGAGAAATGAAAAGTGTGACTGTTTTAGAGTGGCCTTCTTGTTCAACGGATCTTAATCCAATTGAGAGATTAAGGGATAAGGTTAAAACGAGGATTCGAGGCCGTTTAAACAACCCGGCAATGCACAGCAATTAGTAGAAGTAGTTTTAGAGGGGTGGGAAGAAGTTCAACACAAAGAAATAGTTATTTATGTCATTAGGTTAAGAAGTAAGGCTTTTTGTGCTAAGCTCAAGGTTTGAAGGCCGACGCGTAGCGGAGGCCTACAATTGAGCGAAGCACAAAAAGGCACTTCTTGGCCGAATGGCATACAACATTTTATCTTCAAAGCACTTTATATAGGTCAATTTAATTCAACATCAAAGCGGCCTAACCTCACTTTTTTAGTATCTCATTTATTTATTAGCTAAAGATTACATTAAATGTACAATAATTATTATTGCTTTTAGAAGCAGTAATAGTTTGACAATACCTAGCAACATGATTTAAGTAGAAATGGATTTTTGCTATTACATTGAATTCAATTAATTGTTTAATAAATAGGTAGGTATCTAATTTCAATTTGTTAGGATTTTCATTTAAAAAAAGGTACTTTGGAATGTTTAAGCTGTGTTTAACATTTAATTTCACTGAAAACTTAAAGATAATTTAAATCGTAGAAAAAGAATCGTGCGTTTTCTTGGTTGCCTAACCCCACTTTTTGTTTTATTATTCATATTTAATTTTACAAAAATTTAATGAAAAATATTAAACATTAACAGTAAAACAAACAAATTATTATATATTATATATATTATTATAAATAAATTAAACCAGTTTAGTACGTTAATTTTAGAAAAGGATTAATTTGTCAAAACAATACCCCTAGCGAGAAAAAATCGAACTAATTACTTGTCCCATAAAAATTTTTATCGGCCTAGGCCATAACAAGGTATTTCTTTATCGAATGTTGACAACAATAAAGTTTAAATTATAGACCGCGTGGAGATAATACATATTACTTAATAAAAAGCATGCCTCGTCGAAGTCGTGCTTGCATTGAGGCTAGAGGTGGAAACACTGATTATTAAATTAACAAAAACCTAATATTTCTTCCTAAGTTCTTATTTTTTGTTATGTTTATTCTCAGAGAAATTCACATTTTTTGTAATTTGTTCTCTAGAAAATTTGTTTAATACATTTTTCTTTTTTTTTAATAAAATTGGTTCAGATAAAGTGCTTTTTAAGTGAAATAATGTTTCTAGTAACTACTGGATGATTCCATTTATGTTTGTTTATGTGTATTTATTATTTTCAGATATGTATAATAAAAAACATTATTAAACAATTTGCATGCAAATAACAATCATATTATTCATAACTCTTATTATAGATAAACTTAATCAACAATATTTTTCTAATATTCAAGCCTACTATACGTACTTGCAGTCTCATTGTAATGCATGTGGGGATTTCTGATGGCTGGACTGAGCTGTGAATTTTTTGGGTATCCATGTGCATATGTGGAATCTTTGGGACTCCCGTTTTGACTTACAGAGCACTCACTGCAACAATAAAAACAACAATCAACTTTAATGGCGATGCAAAATCTTATTATTGCATGGAGGACTTGACAACAGCGCAAAATATTTCGATAACAGAAATGCAACAAATGTTTTAAATTATACAGGGTGTCACAAAAATTCTATCTACAGTGTGACCCATTTGTTTGCGACTAACCCCTGTAAAATCTTTATTTATTGTGCGATTTTAACCGGATTTGTTTTAAAGTGTACATCTTGATAAACTGTATTTTTGGAGTAAAAAAACATATTTTTACAAAATACATGGCCTACTATGTCAGTTTTTAAGAGTAAATTTTAAAGAATTCGTTTTAGCGATTTAAAAAAAATCTATGCATGGCACTTAAAACTACTCTATACCTACTAAAGTTTATTGAAAAATTTTAAGTAACAACGAATTTGTATCTAAATTAAAAATGCACAATATTTACTATTTACAAAAATGTATTCTGTCAAGTTATCCATGAAAAAAACATAAAATAAAATTAAATTAATAGTAACATGGTATAAATATTCTCATGGTTAGTTTTGAAAAATAAAAAACGAAATATAAACTTAATACAACATTAAAACACAAAATAGTGAGTTCCAAAAATTCTCTACATTAGATTTTCGCCACCTCTACTAATCCACCATTTATTATTATTAAGTTTATATTTCGTTTTTTATTTTTCAAAACTAACCATAAGAATATTTATACCATGTTACTATTAGTATAATTTTATTTCAATGTTTTTTTTCATGGATAACTTGAGAGAATAAATTTTTGTAAATAGTAATTACTGTGCATTTTTAATTTGGCTACTAAATCGTTCCTACTTATAATTTTTCAGTAAAATTTAGTATAGGGTCGTTTTGAGGGGTGGTGAATCCAATGCGGTGCATAGTTTTTTTTAAATCGTTTATTTGAATTCTAAAAAATTTACACCCAAAAACTGACGTAGTAGACCTTGTATTTTGTAAAAATATGTTTTTATTTGCTCCAAAAATACAGTTTATCAATATGTACACTTTAAAACAAATCCGGTAGTTTAGTTTGTTTGTTTGAATTTTTGTTAAATGGTCTGCAACTTTTGGAACACCCTGTATAATAACAACAATAACAAAAGCAAATATTATTTTTGAAAAATTTTAAATTTTAAAATTGAAATTCAAGCACAAATAACAATTTTAACTTTTTTAAAACAAAATAGACATAAATTATCATCCAATACTTTTTGTGGTCCTAAAACTGTCTAAAAATGACCTACAATTATTTTAAATCTACTTTAAACATCATAAAACTCTAAAAAACTATAACAATATTTAAAAATGTGAAAAGTTCAAAATTTAAATAAAAATGTATGAAATTTGTTTAAAAATGACCTAAAACTTTAAATCTACCTCTTGGAACTATAAACATATTAAATAAATTTATAAATTAATTAACTTTATTTTAGAGAGTTTTAGGACATCATTTAAATAATTTAGGACATTTTAGTCAGTTTCAGGACTTTTTAGACATTTTAAAATACGTTCATAGTTCTAAGCGTTTTAAGACAATTTTAGGGCATTTAAATAACTGAAGGTAATTTTTAGACAGTTTCAGGACATTATTTAGAAAATTTAGGACATTTAAATAAAATTGCCTTAGAAAGCTTAGATCAACGTATTTTAAAATATCAAAGAAGTTCTAAAACTGACTAAAATGTCCTAAATTATTTAAATGATGTCCTAAAACTGTCATAAAAGCCTAGAAATTAAAATAATATTTTAAAATGTCTTAGTCATAAAACTGGCTTAACACTGTCAAAAAATTACCTTCAATTATTCTAAATGCCATAAAATTGTCTTAAAACGCTTAGAACTATAAACGTATTAATGTCTAAAAATGACCTAAAACTTTAAATCCACCTAAAATGTCATAACCTATTGGAACTATAAACATATTAAATGAATTTATAAATTAACTTCATTTTAGACAGTTTTAGGACATCATTTAAATAATTTAGGACATTTTAGTCAGTTTCAGGACTTTTTAGACATTTTAAAATACGTTCATAGTTCTAAGTGTTTTAAGACAATTTTAGGGCATTTAAATAATTGAAGGTAATTTTTAGGCAGTTTCAGGACATTATTTAGAAAATTTAGGACATTTTTAGCCACTTTAAATAAAATTGTCTTAGAAAGCTTAGATCTGAACGTATTTTAAAATATCTAAGAAGTTCTAAAACTGACTAAAATGTCCTAAATTATTTAAATGATGTCCTAAAACTGTCTAAAATGAAGTTAATTTATAAATTCATTTAAAAAGTTGTAAAACTGTCGTAAAACCCTAGAACTTAAAATAATACTTTAAAATGTCTTAGTCATAAAACTGGCTTAACACTGTCAAAAAATTACCTTCAATTATTCTAAATGCCATAAAATTGTCTTAAAACGCTTAGAACTATAAACGTATTAATGTCTAAAAATGACCTAAAACTTTAAATCCACCTAAAATGTCATAACCTATTGGAACTATAAACATATTAAATGAATTTATAAATTAACTTCATTTTAGACAGATTTAGAACATCATTTAAATAATTTAGGACATTTTACTAAAATGATTTTAGTCAGTTTTAGGACTTTTTAGACATTTAAAATACGTTCATAGTTCTAAGCATTCTAAGACAATTTTAGGGCATTTAAATAATTGAAGGTAATTTTTAGACAGTTTCAGGACATTATTTGGAAAATTTAGAATATTTTTAGCCACTTTAAATAAAATTGTCTAAAAACGCTTAGAACTATAAACGTATTTTAAAATGTCTAAAAAGTCCTAAAACTGACTAAAATGTCCTAAATTATTTAAATGATGTCCTAAAACTGTCTAAAATGAAGTTAATTTATAAATTCATTTAATATGTTGATAGTTCCAATAGGTTATGACATTTTGTCTAAAAAATCCTAAAACTGAAAATGTACTAAATTGTTTAAATGATCTAAAACTGTCTAAAATGACCATAATTTAAACATTTATTTAAAATGCCATAAAAATGTCATAAAACCCTTGAACTTCAAGGCTTGAAGGTAAAATCATATTCCAAAATGTCTAAAAGTCATTAAACTGGCTAAACATGTCCTAAATAATATAATTATGTCCTCTAACAGTCTAAAAGTTACCTAAAATTATTTTAAATGTCCTAAAATTGTCTTAGAACGTATTTAAAAATGTCTAAAAATGTCCTAAATTATCTAAATAGAGTCCTAAAACTGTCTAGAATAACCTTTTATTATTAAAATCTATATAAAATGACAAAAAATACTCTGAATTACAAACATACTAGTTTGTTCCTACACCATTTAAAATCCAAATTTTAGAGACATTCTCAATATGAAAAGTAAAGTTTTACTATTGTGCATGCCCCTACATCCATTTAACAGTCCTAATGCTCAGTAGGAACAAACCTACTTTAAAATATTTGATAGGTAATAAAATTAAATAAAAATGTCTGAAATTTGTTTATTACCATCCTCAAATGATTAAAATTGTTCTAAATTTATTTAAAGTACCTACTCATAAAACCATTGTAACTCTAAGACAAATCTATAATGTCTAAAAAGTCCTAAAACTACAAATTTTAAATTAAAAAAAATAACCACACTAAAATTATTTTATTGAATACCATTAACTTTGACATTTAAAATGTCTACATTTGACAATATGCTAAAAATAACCCTAGTTATAATAATAAGTAAAAAATAAGATGCTTACCCTCGATTAAAGCTATTATCATAATCTCTATTGTAATCTTTGGAATATCTATTTGACCACCGAGGATGATTAGAACGATTAGAATGATTATTAGGATGTCTGTTGTAGTTTGAAGAGTTCCTACGAGGTTGATTGTGGTTATTTGAATTCATCTTTTAGCGATCTAAAAACGAAAAAATACATTGTCAAACATGCAAAAAGCAAATATTAAAACAACCTTGTGGGCATACATACACAATCACTATTGAGCAAGATTATGAGTAATTACTACTGGAATAAAACTATTGATCCGCTATCAGCTTGATGTCATAGTAAAATGTAGTTGGGAAGAAAATACACTTTTTGTATAATTTATAAATTACTTTGAAGCTGTTTTACGCACACATATTAAGAATAATCACGAGAGAAATAAAACTTTACGTTCTATCAATGTTGTGAAATCAGCAACGATGTGGTCCGCACCGTTGCCGGATGAGTTTACGAAAATACCAAACATTTAAAAATATTTTTGTTACCTTGGTATCAAAGACAAACATGTCTGTGCACGGTATTATACAATATTGTTTTGGAACAATAGTATCCCACTATAATTTTGTTAATTTCTAAATAATTAAGTTTTGTTATTGTTTGATCTAATAATTCTTTTTAGGATATTTATGTCACAAAACTTGTCAAACCCTCTGAAAACGTCACGGGCATAAAGTTGTATGTTCACATAAAAAACGTTTGAATTTCTTAATCTTTTCTTTAAAACTAAAAATAACAATTGAATTTACCCACCAGGTAGAAAGGTACAAGTCGGTAGATCTGATGCGAAAACAGTAGAGCTGGCAACACTGGACGTGGTCCACCCTACTAAACTAAACCAAAATCAACAAACAAAAGTAAAATGCTAAAAAATACCATAAAAAACACACGATATCTTAAACATGCTTAATTTATCTTGTTATGCACTTTTACATTATGTTTTGTTGAGAATAACAAGTAATTTTCAATATTAATTGCCTATTCACTCGTGAATTATTTGTATTTACACCAGGGGTACCACTTTATGACACAATAAAACTAAAACTAAAAATCCCCTACTTTGGGAATTTGTTATTTTTAGTATTTATTAATACCTACATGTTTTTGTTTTTATGTTATTCTAACGAACGTGAAATGTGTATTATAATAATCCTTGGCTTGAATATAAAATTATAATAATAATAATAAATGATTAGGTAATCCTAAAGAACAGGAAACAATCTATTAGGTATATTTAGAAAGCCTTCCATCATTTTAAGCATTTTTATCAAGAAAAAATAAAAAATACGGTTTTTATTTTAAGAAAGTTTAAAACAATAAATTAGTAGGTATAAAAAACTTTCTAGTATGCATTCCCAAAAGGTATATTGAACTTTGTATAGGTATAAGGCCCATTAAAAAAACAAAAATTTGTAGGTAAATAAAAAAGTTATTTTTAGAACATGTTTTCGAATGGTGCGCGCATGCGCCCAAATTAAGGTCATGCGCTGGACATGTTTTGATAGCCGTGTTGCCAAGTTTATGAAAAGTGTACACAAAGTTATAGATTACGAGGGACGTTAAATTGGCTTCATTCATTGAATAAATATTTAGTTTTGGTACCTTATAATCAATTCCCCAAATTTACAGAAGCAAACAAACAATAAGGAGTTTTGCAAGATTATATTCTTTATTTGTAAACCCCCCAAAAAGAAAAAATATCGACGCCCTTGAGCTACAGTTAATTTTTTTTTTATGTGGACTCCTGTTTTTTTGTTAGGTTGGTAGTTTATGCCAGTTTGATTTAGTATTTAAATTTATAAATTATAATTAAATACTTTGACACTGTCAAATTGACAATAATATTTATTATTGATAATTTACTTGTCAATTATAAATAAAAAGATAATTATGCCAAAAATAATAGCAACAAATTCGAATGTAAAAGCCCGTTTGAGGGCAAAACTTAATTTTGATGAAATTATGCCAAATGCCACAATGGAAGAAAAAGTACATCGCCTTATGGACATTTTTGGAGTAAAAAAGTAAGGAATTTGGTTTTATAAATATTACATCACACAATATTTTCACATTATTCGCCATTACACAACATTTACGTTCACAAAAAAATTTAATTTCTTTTATATAAATTCTTTTCAAAGCGAAGATTAGATTATGCTAGGAATACTTTCTCTTCTGGGTCGTAAAGCAACCTATATTTAACTACTTTTTTTATATGATTTTACCTAAGACAAAGTCTTAGGATTTTACTCATCCAAGCACCACCAAAGCAAAATTAATTGCATTTTTAACTACGAATTTCGACAACTCAACTTGACAACTGCACAGTGTACTATCGCTAACAAAAAAAACTCATACAGCTTAAAAATCTAGTGTTCCTGATTTTCTATCATTTCGTTGGAGTAATTATGGCTTTTAACATGATACGTCACATTTGAAAGGTCTAAAATTAAATACAAAGTTAGGTTGAAGTTTGAAAAAAAAATAATATTTCGTCATCCCTCTGTTTTTGTCAATTACTGCCCGCAAACGGCAAAGCATGGAAGTCGCCGTCTTGCTTTATCTAGTTCCAAATGGCTTCAATGGCTTGCCAGAGTTCGTCTGCATTGTTTGGTTGAAAATGTTGTTAAAAAAGTCATAATGGATGTGACAAAGCTCGATGTCAGCTTGACATTGACGGAAGTTTTATTTACACAACCACAATATAGCTGTATGAGTTTTTTTTGTTAGCGATAGTAACCTACAATTAGGCACCCTAAATTTATAATTGGCTACATTGAACAAACTATAGTTCAGTGGAGAATATAATTGTGGTCAGTTAAGGCTGTACGCTTTTTATTTGCATACGACTGTATGATACAATAATTGAAAGATCCCCCGTATAAAGTAGATAAACACAATCGACCTGGCAACGTCGGAGCGAATGTTTTGAGTGGATATCGATTGACGCAGGAGGTGACGTAGGGATACATTTTATAACGAGTATTCCGAGTTTTGTGTTTAGTGAGAGTAGGAGAATGAGAGAGGCAGTTGAGCCAAGGTGAAACGAAAATAATTTGTTGAGGAGTTTGCAACGAATATTTCCAGAATTTTGTGTTTATAAACTTCGTTGTTTGTGAAACTGTTCGTATTAAATCGTACAGTCAGTGAAACTACAGAAGGTAAAGAAGGCATATGGTAAAGTAGAAGTTCCTTTGTTTATGATCAGTAGCGTCCATTTTGTGAAAGCAAAATTTGCGTCGTACCTGAAAAATAAAACCGTTTACGATAGTTTTTAAATGCAAAATTCTCCATCTTGTTCTTGTCTGTGATACTACAGTGAATATTGTTATATATATATATCGAAGTTTATTATTATAAAATAAATAAAACGTGTCAGTGTAACGTACACAACACACCAAAATGGCAATGGCAAAGAAAACCATAGAAAGCTGCAAAGCTAGGTATAACACAAATAATACCAACATCAAAACACCGAAGAAGGGGGGTACGGTATCGCCAACAACACCACCGAGGAGACAAAGCCCAACCGGCTCAATATCTCCAAACCTACGTACTTCCCCTGGCCACTATGCTGGCTGCAAATTCTCAGAGCCACCGTTGCCATCTGCTCTGCCATTGCCCCCCCAACACTGGATGCAAGCACCACACACTGCTAATATTTTGCCGTTCTGTGCAACCAAGTCCGAACAACTTGCACATCAGCTGAAGGTGCTCCTCAAGGTTCAGGCTTGACCTGCTCGTGTTCGATTCAAGACATTTATTTTTACGACAATGTAATTAAGTCTGGTTGCGAGTGAATACGACAATTTTCAACCGATGTAAGCGATTGTCCTGTTCAGCCGCCCTGTGATATGCAATCATTTCTACACAAATTACAGATAATGATTGCCTTAGATCGTAGATAGTTTTAACGTATTAAGTCTATTTCTAAATGTGATTTTCTTTTCTGTTAAAAATTGTAAAGAGTATAAATTTTGAGTTTGTAATTGTGAGCCATGCTCAAATAAGTGTGATATGTTTAGTTATATAAAACTGTCGGTAACAAAGCAGCATTCGACCCTACGTCACTTTGGTCGCATCATAACCTCACTTCTGTGGTTGTTACTGTTTTTGTGAGGTTATGTCAGGGCTAAATTGGCAATAAGTCGCAAACAAAGCTTGTGATGTTCAGACCCGCCATGTTCATGGCATGTACTGATTTTTCTCAACATCATAGGCATTTGTTTTCGATTAATAACTCGAGCTTTAATTAATTATTAGAATTTTATATCAACAAAATTGTCAATTTTATTAATAAAAAACAACAGTAATTATATTATATAGTACAAATATCGAATTGAATGCTTTTTTGTTAGGAAAACAACAACATATAATCTACATAACTAAGTCGTCGATGAAGACGTGTATTTTTGTTAATGCAGTACAAATGTATAATCACTATTTAGAACGTAAGGTTTCCGAATGTGTATTTTTTAAGTGTACAGCTTGAAATGTAAAATTTATTGTATTAGTCGTTGCATTATTAATATGTGTCATATTATTGTGGGGCTGTACATTTAAAAGATCGGATTGGCATCATTTGAAATTGTTAGCAAGGAATAGTCTTCCATAACAATAAAAATTAAGTTTTGGTAATTTTTCAAAATTTTAGAGATTCTAATTTTACTATAATTTGTTTTTTCTTTTTTTATGTCATTAACGCACAATTTCATTAACTTGTGTACTTGATTGTGGGGTGTTAGAGTCTCTAATCGATTTAGTTTAGTTTTTAGTTTTTTAATCTCAGATCTCATATGTTCATTTTAAACGTTGAGTCATTTAACCAGCAATATGTAAAAAATCATATATATATTTTATATATTCATCTCCATCCTATAATCTGTGATACCTATCAAAATCCCACCTTCAATCCAAATTATTTTGCTCCTCTCCTTAATCCCCATCCTTTATCCTACCCAGTTCCCTCCCCAAAAAATTCACAAAGAAAAAGAAAAACTTAGTAACAATACCAACATCTATAAAAACAAGATGGCATCCGTCCTGGTCCACCACATGCTGAACATGGTAAGTATCATAGAAAAAGTATAAGTATGAACAATCGCGAACAAAGCTTATGTAAATATAACCCAGTCTTTTTTTATGTCTCGAATTTCAAAACAAGGTCATCAGATTTCCTAATATTTAATAATGTCCGCGAATTGTCCAATCTTTGTAGCAATGATTTTAAATACTAAGCATAAATTAGTTTTTACTTTCCAAATTTGGTTGAGCGAAATCTTAAAATTAGTCATGTGTCCATGGGTGTTTCATTTTAGAGAGAAACGTGCACTAGATGTATTTTTAAAAAGTTGACGCAACGTTTATTACAAACCAATCCACAAAATCTAAAACTTAAAAATAAGTTAACAGAAAATATAATAAAAGTAATTTTTAATACCTACATACTTACTCAGTTATGTTTTTTTATTATTTATATATATAAATTATATAAAATATTTATATATATTTATAATAATATATATATATTATAAAAAATACGTTTTAAAAGCGCACATTGTGTGATTCCCGTTTGTCATAAAATTTTAAATATCATAAAAATGGTTAAATGTCATAAAATTCACATTTTGTCATAGAAATCATAAAATTTAATTATTTTTTAACAATTTTCTCACCTTTGCTATAAAAAATGGAAATTTTGTAAAATAAAATTTAAAGCCGGTCCTGTAGAATAAAACGCAATAAAATGTTTTAAATACGGCCTTGTTTGTTGACGTATGAACTTCATACTATGAAGGAAGAAGAAGAAGACTTAGTAAGTTAGGTTAGGAAATGTATTTTAAAATTTAAAATAAATATTATTTATTAAATAATGACAATAGTAAAGTTATTTTTATAAAGGGAAGACAGAAAGCGCAAACACGAAGAAGGACTTTAGGTAGGTAAATTAATAAACCCTTTAAATTTTACTGTTGAACTTATGAATTTAGTTCTGGTAAAATAAATGCGCTTCATCAATATTTAAATATGAACAAATTATTTATTTAATAATGTTTATAAATTTATTATTAATTCTTTAATAATTATTAATAAGTACCGTCTATTACCAACAAAATTACTATTTATTAATAAGTAAACAACCACTTACAAACAATTAAAATAATTTATTTTTTACATTACCTCGGCCGATTAGAAGCATTTTCCTTTGAAGTAGTTTTCGCTACTTTAAAGTTTTTTCCACCTTAATTTACTTTACGGTAGTTTTGGTTAGTACCATAAACGTTCCAAATACTAAAATAATAACTTTTAAGTTATTAACTTTGTAGTTTTTACATAACTCATGTTCCAGTTTCGAGATTTTAACTTGCAAAGGGACTACAAAGTAAAAATAATTATAATGTAATCTTTATGTAGCAACCGAAAGTAACTGCTTCAAATTAAATTTACTTGAAAGATTTTTTTTACTTATTTATAACACCTTTTTTAAAGTTGCAAAGTATTTTGTGGGCAACCCGAGGGGCAACCAAATTTTACTTAAATGTTTATTACTTTATAATAACCATTTAAGGAAAGAATTAAGTTTCTGTTACAAAATATTGCTATTTAAAAGTTAGAATTACTTGTAAGTAAAAATTAAAGTAGCTGTTTAGTATACTTAACTAATTTAAAGTTACCACCACTTTGGTAATGGTTTTTGGAACCAAAAATGCTGTTTGGGTAGCACAGACTAAGTATGCTGTATAGGATCATAAAAGAAACATGCGTATTTTATAATTTATTGCGATTAAATATTTGGTAACAAATAAATACGAATTAAGTAGTCATTAGTTTCAATAAAATATAAAAAATACAGTCGACAACTTGTCAGTAATGTTAGTTTTATTAAAACTTTATAATACTGTAAATCTAACAAATTTAACGTATTAATAGAACAATTTAATTGTGTAATTACAAATAAATAGGGTAAAACTATGTTATTAAATACTCTAAATGCATTGGCTATTTTAAAACTAATAATATATTGCATTAATAAAACTTTGATTTTATAAAATTCGTATATGTAGCTTACAACTTAAGTACTAGGTATGTAGCAAAAGTATTTTTGACTAGCTGAGAAAATACATGAGTCAATATCAATATTCAATACAGGGTGATTCACTACTAAGTAGAGGTTCATCAAAGAATGCAAAAAATGCTTTTCAAGAGTGTACTAGAACAACGTTTACCGCTTGTGAATCACCGCGTACCTTTCAGTTTTATAATGCAAAAAATGGCACCAAATAGGGTTTCAAAGAAATCCTGGTGAAGATTTTTCTTCGGAATGTTTATTTGGGTAGTCTCCCAAACAATTTTTTTTTCAATTATCTTGGAAACTATCGATTTAATGTAAATTTTGTTTCTTGAATAAATATGCATAATCTCATATATTTTTCATGAGACCAAGAGTTTTATGAGGAAGAAATTTTATTATTACAAAATTTAGGTAAAATCAATAATTTCACTAGTTTACAAAATCGAAAAAAAATTCTGCCCACCATATCCCATTATAATTTTCCCATGTATTTTGACCCACTTAACACGAAAATCACACTCAATTTTTTTATGGAAGCGTTTTTGAAATATGGATTTTCAATTGTTTTTAAAAAAAAAAACAAGCTAATGTTGATAAAAACACATGGAAAAATGGCGAAGTTATGAATTTTTTAGTTGGAAGACCAAAAGTCGACTTTTTTACGATTTTTATTTTATTTTTTTCTTTTATTTTGTAATATGTTTAGTCTTTAATGAAAACCTAAATAAAGTGTATGATTGGAATTTTTTGAGTTTTTTACGTACTTTTTTCACCGAAAACATGACTCCGCAAACGTGAATTCTTTTGTTTCTCGTGTTGGCATTTTACTGATATTTTTTGATATTTTAACAAGGTATTTTGATCATAGTTTTATTTAGTTAATAAAAAGTGTAAAATGTGTAAAAGGAGTAGAGAGGGGGGCGACGTAAGTGATGAGCACGGAGAACGTTTTCACTAGCAAATGAAAGTTATGGAGCGGCGTTATCACGGCTTCTGGGATGCAGCCATGATGGGTGATTACATTTGGTCCCTCATACGAGAAACGGAATACGAAAGCAACAAGAAACAAAGAAGGAGACAGCATTTTTTTAAACCTATGCTTATTACGACAAAATAAAACTTTTAATTTCTTCAATGTTCAATATTTATGGTTTAATATTCAATATATAATTTAATTTCAATAATTAATGTTTAAAATAAAAATCAATATTTAATTTTATATAATTCAATAAAATGAAGAAAAAACGTCAAAACTCAAAAAACTGAATTTTGGTCTTCCACTGAAAAATTCATAACTTCGACATTTATCCATGGATTTTTATCAACAGCTTATTTTTTTCCTTTAAGTATAATCTATACGTAAAATAAATTAAACTTGGAATTATCTTTTCGATTTCTAACTTTCCCAGAAAGATATGTAAATTTTCGACCTCGATTTTTGTAAACAAAAAGGACGTTTTCAACTACTGAGCCGATACCAAAACTATACAAGAGAAAGTCGTAGAGGGCTCAATTACCTTTGAATTAAGTGCTTGTTTGGTCAAATCGATCGATACTCTAAAGCGTCAAAAAACTTCAGAAAATTAAAAAAAAAAACAATTAAAAATTCATATCTCGAAAACGCATCCACGAAAAAAATTTTAAGTGTGATTTTCGGGTTCAGTGAGCTAAACTACACAAGAAAATCATAGTGAGATATGGTGGGCAAAATGGCTGTAAACTAGTGTTTATGAGATAGTCGAGAAAAACTGTTTTTCGTAATCCCCAGGATTTTTTGCCCAATTTAGGGTTTCGAAAAAAAAAATTAGTTTTTTAACCAAAGGTTCAACATGTCAAGACTATTTTTCCAAAGTTTTAAGTCGATTAGAGTAAAACTCAGGAAAAGAGAGCCTTTGAAAACTCCAAATACAAAAAAATGTTTTTGACCCTTAATTCTTCGATCTAAAGGAGGAATGTCGGGCCGGTATCAAAGGGGAGGAGTTGATCTTCGTGGTACTCGAAGTTGTGGGTTTCATGAACGACATGGCCTGCGGCCTGGGCGGCCTAGTACTGCTACTAGTGCTAGTACTAGTAGAACGTTTCAGCTGCACTTTCATGTTGGGAGCGCGCGATATGATCGGTTGTTTCGCGATGGTGTTCGTGTTGGTGGGTTTCAGAGGCAGCCTTTTAACCGTGCTCGTCGAATTTTGACTGTTCAAAGAGCTCCTGGAGCTGACTATGCTGTTTCTGCTGTTTGAACGCTGCACCGTTTTGTTGGAGGTCACGCTGGACTTTGAGTCGGACTTCTTCAAGCTCTCCGAACGTTTTGGAGCGATTTTCTTTGAGGCATCCAGACTTGGCGTTCGCAGTGAGTGGGATCTATCCAACACGGACGGAGTTCTGCCACTGGATGCTTTCATTGCTGTTTTAGTATTTGCAGTTCTGGGGATGGGTTGTACAGGTGTTTCGCTGCTTGTGGTGGAGTCTACAGTGCATTTACTTTCAGTGGAAATGGCTCGTTTAGGTTTCGTTTTGGTGAAAACTTGCGAGGTATCGGTTTCGTAATTTCCACCCGATGAAGCCCCTTGACTCGGTGATTCCGACATCAAACTTTGCGTTTCCTCGAAGCCCTCGTCGTTGTCGTGCTCTTTGGTTTTTCTTATCGTGGGAATGTCGATTTTGGACGTCGATAAGGCTAACGCGACTTCATCGCGGCTTATCCCGGTCTGATTCCTGTACCTCCTCGGCACATCAGGAGCGTCGACTTTCAACTTGCCTTGCCATTGTTTCAAACGCGTGTCCTTATCAACAACAGGTTCCACCATGGCTACAGGTTGCGAGGTTTCTACATGCGCCACGGGTTTTGTTACTTGAGTTTCCGCCACAACCTCCGTAGGCGAGGCATCCAAGCTCTCAGTGTTTCTCTTGTATCGGCGGGTTCTTCTTGCAGCTGAGTACCTGTCGAATTGCCCGTCGCCCAGTGCTGTCAAATCGGACTCCTCGTTGCTTCTTGTATGCCTTCTGCAAGGCGTCGGCTGAATCGGCTCGCGCTTTTCCGTGGGCGTCGGAGTGAAAACCTTCCTGGTCGCCGGCGGCGTTTCTATGTTGTCCTGGTCGATTTCCACCTTGTTGTTGGTTATGCTGCCCTGGTTATCCACGTTGTCGGAAATGCGCTTTTTTCTCTCCATCAGAGGCGACGTGGCTTCGACCGGCTTTCTGATGTACAGAGTTAACTTTTCCGTATCGGAATTTTTACCGAGAGAACTTATAAAACTCTTCCGATCGTTATCCTCCAAAATGGAATGTAAAGGTTTTGTTGCGTTGTTGTTGTTAATATTAATGGAATGTCTTCCGAGGAAATCATCTTCCTTTGTTTCCTCCGTACTGTTCGCAACGTTAAGCGTAGATTTCCTCCACGCTGATTTATCTTTGATTTGAGGTTGGACTTCTAAAAACACAACAAAATAATACTTTATCTACTCCTATACGCTAAAGAAGTATCGGGTTTTCGCAACGCGCGCGCCATCTGAATGCATTGTGTCAACAATAAATTTAAAGCACCGATTATAACTACATCATTTTTAAATAAATAGGTAGTTTTTTAAAAAAAGAGAGGAAGGCAGAAGTCTTACTCGACAAATTTTCTGCATTGCACAGCTAAATCGCGCACGTTATTTGTGTTTTACGTTGCAAGGAAAAAATTAAAAAACTTTTTTAGTACTCGATTTCGATTGATTATTCCTTATATCATTGATAAAGAAACTCAACGCTTTTAAGCATTTAAAAATGCTTATATAGTTACGTTAGTGTGTGTATTTTATCAAAGGGATCATGGTGAATTATTGTGTTTTTAATGTAAATAAAATTCAAGAACTAAATCGTTGCATTTTCATGTTTTGCCAAAGGATGCCATTCGGTAGGTACATTTGTTGGTGCAGAATTAACTAATGATAACTTTACCTATTTTTGCACAAACATAACCTCAAAATCAATAATTTTTATATTTGAGTTCTCCAAAAAACGCCGACAACTGCATTTTAAACAACAAAATATAATATTTAAATTTAGACGACTTATTTCTTTGACGATTTTTACTGAATTGAAATGTTTATACTTTTCACGTTAATCACTACTAAAATGTGTATTTATTGTATCTAATAGGTACAATTTATATTTACAGAGACTGTATGCAATTTATCTTCATTCAGATTAACACTGTTTATTGGAAAACCGGTAAAAACTCAACCCAGGATTTCCTCTCGAAATACACCCAACAACACAACAAATCGATCCACGGTTTTTTTTTTTCGATATTTTTTAACATTTTCCAGCTTTATTCTCAAAACCACTCGTTTGTAACCTAAGCGTTTGACAGCTGATTATTAAAAGTTCCACTTTTGTTACGATGATAACAGCCTAGTGGTGGCGCTACTAGCGATACTTCTTTAGCGTATTTCATAATTTTGTTTTTTTTTTCGTGAATATTGTTAAACATTATAAATTTCCTGCCTAACAACGTAAATAATCAACTCAATATTCACTTTGTTAGGCAGCAGAGATTGGCCGATTTCAATATTCACTGTGATTTGACCAATAGGGTTTTTTAATTGGAAGAAGGCGACTATAATAACATTTAAAATTGATAAAAAGTAAGGTTAACCATTTGACAGATGTCAGATTTTATTTATTTAATTTTGAAATTCCTTTAATTATAGTTTCAGAATTGTAATGTACATTACAATTATTGTTGTTTTCTTTTACGTATATAATCCAAGGAACCGCTAGGTTAACCGTATGTCGAGATATCGTTTTTTGACATTTGACATTGATTACGCAATTTGAAACATTCGCCGCGACGACTATATGTACTTATTGGAGTAGATAAAGTATAGTATTACACTCGAGATTATGCGCATTATTCACTCGGATGGCGACTCGAGATGCAAACCTTATCCTCATGTATAATATCCTGCATTATCTCTCGTATAATAAAATACACAGCAAACGGAAAATTATAGAAGTGTATAGGATGACGCGACGTTTGAATATAGTTTTCTAAACCCTCGCCACGGTATAGATTTGTATTCGTCAGTCGAGCGGTTCAATACTCTCCACAGTAAAGAGGTCGTAATTTGACTTTTGAACTAGTTATAATATGAAAATTATTTTATGCTTGAAAACCAAATTATATACGACATGATTGTGATTTTTTTCATTTTATTAATTAATTAAGATTTGTTAAATATTTTTCCTGTAGGAATAATTGCCATTAATTCATTCAATTGGTTTGTACTATTTGATCAACCAGATTTAAATATTGCTGTACTAACATATACCAGTGGAGATAGTGCAGGGTCTTTATTAAAACTTTAATTATTAAAGTTTTTTACATAACCTCTGAAATTTTTAATACAAATATAGGTAAAGGCCACGGTGATGTTCTTACATCTCGCATCTGTTGGCTTACCAACCCAGCATATAAGCTCAGGGAGTCTTTTGTTTTGAGTGCGTTCCACTACACCAAGTTGCCGACACTGATGAGACCCAATATAGGTCGAAACAGCAGTCTGTCGGTATTTGAATGTGGTGGAAAGCACTCAAAACAAAAAACTTTGGCGAGGTGTAGGTTCAATTTTTTCTTACGAATATTACCAGTAATGGGTCAAGAAAGTTTCTTAAAGAAACTAAGAAAATTGAATGTTTGCAAATATAGGTATCCTCTGTGCTGTACATACCTGGGTTGTAAACAAAAATCAGAGAAAGGAACTAAAGAAAGGAACTGTTTTTAATAAAATCATATGCAGAAATGAGAATATTTAAAATACTTGCATCCATCAAAAGATAAAAATTTCTTACAATATTGAATTACACCTTCTTTTTATGCTCTCAGAAATATTGACCAGAACAGTATTAGAAAGACTCCAGTTTCTATAACTTGGTAGAGTAAAGAGAAGTCGAAACCGTTGCGATATTGCATTGCGCTGTTTTTTTATAATTTTCGGGGACATTAATAATAATAATAAAAATAATTCATAAGACACCATTGAGTTTGACTGTGACGTGCATAGGTATAGAGGCGAAAAATATAAAAACAAAGCATGATGTAATACAGTTCTAATATTTTTCTATATTTTTCCGTTTGCTTTGTACTATTATCCCTAGGGATAATAGCTTCACTGACTCACTGAAACCTACCTTCCACTGTTTCCATCGCGCTGACAACATCGGTGTTATCTATAGTCGAAGATGGTTTCCACGATGGATAATTTTTCCTATAACTTGATTGACTACCGCTGTACACCTGCTTTCCTTCTGGTAACGTGTCCAAAGTACTGCTTCTCTCACTCTCTGCGACACAAGCAAGGTTGGCGAGAAACTAGGCATTAATAACAAAGACTCACCTGAATCTAACTCCACAGATCTTCTATTCGTAAGCCGCCTGGTTTGCCTTCTGGCCTCATCACTGACATTGTCGCTTTCGTTCGCCTGAAGCCAAGTTTCGATCTTCTGCCGCCATTCTTTCGGTTTCGAAGTTTCTTCTTCCGGGGCAGAAGATGGAAGCGGTTTCGATTCCGTTAGAGGTGACGGCGACGACGGCCTCTCCCTTTCCGCGGAAAAATCCGCCCCCAGCAAAGCTGGGCGTTTCCTTGGACCGCTTCCTCTTGCCTTGCGAGCCCAAGAGCGATCTAAAATGACAAATTAGAGTGTTTTGTGCCTCGCTAACATTGATGGCCCTGTTGTAAATGACCGATTTATTCCTTATAGACTAGGGTGGGTCAAAAAAACCGACTATTTTTTTTTACTTTGTACTCTGAAAAATCGGTTACTAGACACCTCTAGAGAATTTTCACCAAACATGAGCTCTTAATTTTGATAACAAGGTCCTCCGCTTTACAATTTTCCATTTTTTCCTCAGTATTAGAAACAAAAATTCTTCGACAACGGTTCGTTAAAAAATACAATTTTTTCGTAAACCTCACCGTTAAAAAGATATCGAAGGTTAAAGTTTAATTATTTGAAGAGAAATTTCTGTTTTGCTTATGAATTTTATAACTTGATTAATAATTTAAAAAAATTCAATTTAATTTTTGAGTTTTACGATAATTTATACAAATTTGAGTTCCTATGAAAAGAGAAACTATTTTTCTCGTTTTTTTTTAGTCCTACATATGTTTGGTTATATTGAAAAGAAAAATAGTGTATTATTTCTAACTCAGAGTCAATGATTTATTAAATTTTGAAAAAAATAACGTTTTTGTCATAAATTTAATATGAAAAGAATTGATCTTAAAGAAAAAAAAATGTTCTATTTGTTATTAAAAAGTTCCTTTATTTAATTTATTTTATTCAACTGAAATAAAAATTTTAACATTTATAATATAATCGTACACTTTTACTGTAAAAAGTTTTCTTTATTACAATTTGGGTATTGTTTGCGATGTTCTTTGATAACTTGAAATAAATATTGAAATTGCTCTTTATTTTTTGTTAAGCATTGGTTATAATCATCGACTAATGCAACAGCTCGCTCTGCCGAATCATTAACAACTTTCAATTGCTTAAGATTTTAAGTTATTATAAAGATAAATTTCATGAAAATATTATTAAAATAAAAAAAGTCTCAAATAAATTTTCGAAAGGGAAACTTCTATAAGAGTTACTTTTACGATAGAAACTCGAATTTGTATAAATTTTCGTAAAACTCAAAAATTAAATTGAAATTTTTCAAATTATTCATCAAAAACTGTTAAAATTAGTATGCATTGAAGTTTGACGATGAATATCTTTTAAACGCTTAATTTAATCGACAAATCATAAGAGACCATTTTTGTAGAGCAGTTAATTTCCTACAAAACTATGAGTTGCGCGATTCATAAAAATTTTTTAAAGCAAAACAGAAATTTCTCTTAAAATAATTAAACTTTAACCTTCGATATCTTTTTAACGGTGAGGTTTACGAAAAAATTGTAAGAGAGCTTTTTTGTAGAGCGTTCGATTTCCTACAAGAATATGAGGAGAGTTATTTTTTAACGAACAGTTGTCGAAGAGATTTGAATTTTTGTTTCTAATACTGAGGAAAAAATGGAAAATTGTAAAGCGGAGGACCTTGTTATCAAAATTAAGAGCTCGTGTTTGGTGAGAATTCTCTAGAGTTGTCTAGTAACCGATTTTTCAGATTACAAAGTAAAAAAAAAATAGTCGTTTTTTTTACCCACCCTATTATAGACACCAATTGAACTATTGGGTGGTATCAATAGGTCTGAATTGGACTTACTGGGTTTAATTGGGAGTGATATAAAACAAAAATTTGTTTTACTGGTATTTTCCATTATGGAAAAGTCCGATAAGGATTCTACTGTTTTTTAGTGGTTTCGATTAGTTAAAGCTACCAATAGGTAATTTCCAATTGAATTCAATTGGGCATTCCCAGTGTAAGATTCTAGAAAGGAATCTGCTAATTGGTTAATTTCCAATATTTTAAATTATGGAAAAGTCCAATAAGGATTCTACTGTTTTTTAGTGGTTACGATTGGTTAAAGCTACCCATAGGTAATTTCCAATTGAATTCGATTGGGCATTCCCAGTGTGAGATTCTAAAAAGGAATCTGCTAATTGATTATTCCCAATACTTTAATATATCGCAAGAGGGCTCTCGTGTAGCTACGCAAAACCAACGTACGCAGTCCTTGTTCGAATGATTGAGACGCCATCATAAAGAAACAAACAAGTCTTAGGACGCTATTTAATATCGTTTTTTTATTAGTCGGTTTCTTTTATAATCTATGGGTTTCTGTGCTTGGTGGTAGTTTTGTACTTAAAGTGGTGTGTACTTATACCTTAAAAAAAGGTTTAGGGACGATGGCGTGAGAATGGTGGTTACAGCGGACAAAATAAAAAAAAATTGACATAAATAATATTGATTTTGACCATGCCTACAAACATCGTTTGCAAGAAAGACAAAAAAATGATTATAACCGAGTAATTTTATTTATTAGTTAGTAAGTTTTTTGTCTCTTCTGTGAAAAATTAATTCTGGTTTTTACCCGGTTATTCTTCTGGGATCTTAATTATTTTTGAATGGGTTTGGCGCTATCAATTACCAATTCATTCCAGGTGCATTTCTATTGGATTTAGCCAATAGAGACAAGCATAGGCATGGATTGGTATATTCCAATTTAAGCCGCTGACTTCATTGGAACCAATAGAAATGCAACTGGAATGAATTGGTGATTCATGGCGCAAAAACACATTTCAAACCAATTCAAACGAATTACTTATTTTTTATTGGATTCTATCGGTCATTTACAATAGGGGGGGATATAAATGTACCCAAGCTTCCCCAAGACTTTCTTTCGCGGCTTGTATCGTGCCCCGATGCTCTTAGGAAGTCCATTAAATTTCCCTCATCTTCTTCTGATAGCACGCGGCTTCTTCTTCGGCGCAAGCTTCCATTTGGTGTAATATCTATGTAAATATAAATTGATAATTTGTTTTTTCGTAAACCAAATACTCACCTGGCGATTTTTCCTCCTTTCCCGTGGAAGATTCTCCATTATTTCCATTGAAAGAACCTAAACGCCTTCGAGAAAACGAGGGTGAACCTGTTATTGACAATTCGTCTTCTGATACTCCACTACCATTTGCAGATTTCCGACTCTAAAACTGCAAGTTTGATTCTCCGTTCAAAAGTTTTATTCAAACTTACCTTTTTCATTGGAAAACCTGTTCTGGTATCATAAATCTGCATATCAATAAATGGACCCTCATTATCTGCTAAACTACCCACTAGAAAAAAAACGTCAATTACATAACCAACAACACAGCAAACGGAAAAATATAGAAGTGTGTAGGATGACTCCCCGTTTGAATACTAAATCTTAAAGTTTTATCAGAACTGTATTGAATCGTGCTTTGTTTTTATATTGCTCGCCTCTATACCTATGCACGACTATAGTTAAATTCAAACTCAATGGTGTCTTACATTAAGATACATTATTTTGATATTCTATATTCAACAGGGTGGTAGAAACTCGACCCTGTCGAATGGTGCAGTCATTTATAGTCTCTAGAAATTATTGAAAAAGGGTGCAGTCCAATGGTGCCGCAACTTCGGATTCTTATTCTCTTTAAGACATATATAGAAACTTAAGCTTTTCGAATTTTACTGGCCATGATTTTCGTTAATCTCCCAGAAAATTATAAAAAACAGCGCAATGCAATATCGCAACGGTTTCGACTTCTCTTTACTCTACCAAGTTATAGAAACTGGAGTCTCTCTAATACTGTTCTTGTCAATATTTCTGAGTGCATAAAAAGTGGGTGTAATTCAATATTGCAAGAAGTTTTGATCTTTTGATGGATGCAAGTATTTTGAATATTCTCATTTCTGCATATGATTTTGTTGAAAACAGTTCCTTTCTTTGGTTCCTTTGTCTGATTTTTATTTACCGTAACAACTCAGGTCTGTAAAGCACAGAGGGTATGATGTAAAGTATATTTAAAGTACCTATGTTTGTATTAAAAATTTCAGAGGTTATGTTGGAAAAACTATCTATATGCTATTAAACTTTAATAATTTATTAATGAGGTCTGTTGGTAGACTCTGCACTATCTCCACTACAGCAATATTTAAATCTGGTTGATCAAAAAGTACACACCAGTGCAGGTTATTGTAGCATCTACGAACAAATGAATTAATGGCCCATTGGCAATTATTCCTTTAGGAAAAATATTCAACACAGCTTAACTAATGAATAAAATGAAAAATCATAATCATATCGTATATAGTTTTTTAAGCATAAAATAATTTTCATATTTTAATATTAAAATACTAGTTCAAAAGTCAAATTACCTCTATACTGTGGAGAGTATTAAAACAGTCGACTGAAGAATACAAATCTATACCGTGGCAAGATTAAGAAAACTGTATTCAAACGTGGCGTCATCCAATACACTTCTATATTTTTCCATTTGCAGTGAACAACAGTTCAATGGGCCTAAATATTGAAATGAAGTCAAGAATGAATAATAATAATATTTACACTTTTACGATGATTTATATTCATTCTTGGTGAATCAAATCCAACAAAGTTTTAAAGGGAGTGAAAAAAATGGCTCAAATGGAAATCCTTCTGTACTTACTTTGTCTTCTTTTAGTCGCTAGCAGCTCTTCTCTTTGGCGTCTTCTAGCGTTCGCTTGCTCCTCCTGGATTCTTCTCCGTTCATTCTCCAAGATGGCTTGTTTGAACTTGCAGTAGAAACAATGGAATATCCTAAAACATTCCTCCAACTTGAAGGAATTCACGTCTTCGCAGAAGAACTCTGATAATTGTTTCCGCACGTTATCCAATTCACCCATGTTTCTCAACAAATTCGACACTTCTTTCTCGGACATCTAAATAATGTTTTTTAGTTTTTTTTCCTGAAATAAAAATAAATAAATGCTAACCTCCAAAAACGCGTCCATTTGCGATTTAAGTTCGGCTTCCGTGGTCGGTACATCAATTTGTTTTTTGACTTTTTTTATCCTTACGTCCAGTGCGTTTATTTCGTTTTGTAGCTGCTCCACGGTGGTTCTGGAAGTTATAATTTGAATATTTACTACATGTAGTGACCAACAAAAGTATTAAACAAATTCATTGAAAAATTCGGCTTTTTTTCTCAAAAAAATCCTTGAACATGTCGATTTTGTTTTTCAGCTACGCACATATTTTTCGCCATTTTTGTAGAATAAAATTAAGTAATAACACATTTATACCTTTTGGGCTGATAGTTTCGGAGATATTAATTATTAAAAGTGTAAAATTTATAGTTTTTAATAATGTTTTATAGTTTTTTTAATGGGTTTAAGTGTAAAAGAAATGTTTCTAAACTTTCTCAAAATATTTTATTTCAAGGTAAAACTTTTTCAGTTTATTATTGTTCTTTGTTATTCTTATATGAAAGTTTTTTATTTTATATTTCTTTGTTAGCATTTAATTTAAAACAAATATTCACTACTAGATGTAAAAACTTTTAGTTAAGCGTTAAGTATCTGTGTCTTAAGCATTCTCCAAGTATTTAAACATGGGCCAGCAAAATCAGGGAATTTTTTGGGGAAAAAAAGACACATTTTTCAATGAATATTTCCCATATTTGTGCCTGTCACTGCATGTATATCTTACTTGGCAGCTTCTTCCAACACGCTAATGTTATCAGTGAAAGACAGCAGGCTTTTCTTTTTCTTTTCGGCTTGCTAAAAACACATACATAGTGATTCACAGGTAATGTTTTGCTCTTAAAGCTGGCCTCTTTGGCCTTTAGTCCCCTGAGGAAAAAATCTCACTCACTGAGTTCTGGAGATCGAGGAGGCCAGCTTCAAGGCCGACCGTTAGAAACACTTACCAGTGCCACGAAATGAATGAGATTCATATTTGGTTTATTAGCTCTGATGTCTGTAATTTTTTGAAGGGAAGTTAGTTTTACACCTGCTGCATCTCCAGCGTAACCACCCTAGAGGAATATTATTGTTTTTATTTTATTAAAAAGTTATTTTATTATTTACCGCATTTAGAAAGTTTCCTGCTATGAGGACCATGTATAAGACCTCTTTGAGTGGTTTATTCGTCATTAAATCTTAAACGAAGAATAAAAAAATTATGACAAACAAAATAAGAAAAAAAAATCTTTACATACCTTGAGCTGCTATAATCATGGAGTTAATGCTGGGTTGCAAATACCCCATATTAAAAGCAAACTCTTCTTTTAACAACATACTTTCTATCCTTAGTTTATAACTAGAAAAAAAAATAATAAAAAAAAATCAACTTTATTAAAACAGGTTTTTACTTCGATAAATTTGTTAGCTGTATTAAAAACTTTTCTGCGTTCCCGAGTTTGCTAAAGTCTCCGTTGAAAGACTTGAGCATGTCGAGCTCGTCGACTTCGGGTAGAATTTTGAGCAGGCCTTTTAGTTTTTCGCTTCCGATTTCGTCGTGTTCTCCGTCGCGTATTAATTGAATTATATCTTCGTTAGAGCTAAAACTTGGGTTTCAAACGAGCGCACTTTCTAATCGAGCCGGTTCTACTCACCTCCTAAATTGCTTTAGAAATATGTTTACGTTCAAACTTCGTTTGCCGTCCAGCAGAGTTATCTGAAAAATAGTTTATGCTTTTGTCCAAAAACTACCTGTTTCTAAATGAGTGTCTCACCTCAGTAGTGTCTTTTCTCATTCTACGTTCCAATGTTTCAGGATTGAGGGTGTCTCTATTCCCCAATTTGGGGGAGGAGTGCGCCGATGGAGGCGCTTGCTGGCAAAACATCCTCTCCATTTCCGACCAATCCATATCGGACATTGGAGAATGCTGATGACTATACGCCACTTGAGTCCAAATGTTATTTTTTCCAACAACCTTAGAATTACACAACGTCTTAGATATTGGTACTACACAGAGAAAAATCCGTTTGAAAAACATTGCACAAAGCTGTGCAATATGCCATTGGAGCATAATTTTCTATAAATGTGCTACGTTATCCAAGATGGTTGGATTGGTTTTTCTAATTAGTTTGTTTAAGTCAATTTTCTATAATTTGTTGAAAACAGTAAGATTTTATATTTAACCATTTGCACAATATTGTCAAGAAAAGAATTGAAATCTGTTGTTAAACAGATTTCAAAAATAAATTTTACTCTGTCGTACAATTTTTTAAATAATTCGTATAAATATAGTATAACTTTAAGTTAGAATATAAATTTTACAATATTGGACAATTTGTTCAGGTGTGAAGCACCTAGGATAACCAATAAAATGATTTCGCTCTTAAAATAAGACGCCGCGGCGGCCGGTCGCTTTAGTTAAGGGTCGTTTTTATTTACTCTTAAAAACTGACTTATATGTAATGTAATGTTTATAAATAAATTAAAATTAAAATTCAGTCCAATTACCCGTAATTCTCACAACAAACAACCGCGGTGCCAAGAAGACACTTATTTAGCATGAAACTTTACCGAGCGAGAGCGAAAAGTGCGGTGTAGAAAGGGGTGTAGCACTGTGCTGGACCCAGCAGGCTGAAAAATGCGCTGGATCCAGCTGGATTGCTGGATGAGGGATCCAGCAATTGCAATCCCTAATCGACACCATTTGAGATTTGAGTAAAACCAGTGGCGGCCCGTGACATTTCATTTTGGTGAGGCAGAGGCAGGGTTTCGCCCTCATTTAAAGACGAAGAAATTTTTTTAAACCCAACTTTAAAAAACTGACGTCGCAGTTCACAACCTATAATTAAAACTAAGTAAAAAACTTAGACTGTGGTGGGGAAGGAATCCTCTACTTTGTCAATGAAATATATTTTATTGTAAAAATGACGTTTATTTTAAATAAACCTCATTTTTGTCTAATTAATATTTCATTGTTCAGCAAGAAACAAGTGAAGGTCAACAATATCGGTACAATTTCTCACCGTAATATCCATAATGACTAAATCCACATAAATCAAATAAAGTTCAATTAACTAAACCCACAGAATAAACCACTTACAAAAGAATCATAAAATAGACAAACTCATAGAAAAAGAATAAACAAAATATTGCGTAAATAACCACAGATTTGTTCTTTAAACCGTTCAGAATTTTATAACCAAAACAAACCTAAAGAAGGAATCTGTATTTATTTTATTGGTTACTGTGATGGCTACAAGATGGCGATAGTGTTAAAATATGTTTATTTTAGAATAGAAATATAATTTCGATTAAATCGATTTATTATAAGAAAAATAATACCATTTATTATTGAATTTTGAAAAACGTGTGAAGTATAATTTATCTAAAATTCCGCAACAGTGTTGCCACAACACCTACTTATTTCCTTGGATGTAGGCGTGCCTGCCTCGCGTATGCTAATACGAGAGAAGGAGACAACTATGATATCGCACTGCAATAGAACGAGACAACAAGGCTAACGCCAATCGTGAGTCTAAATTAGTTCAGGCATGCTTCTGAGCCAATCATCTAGCTATAAATATTAGTTTAAATTGCGGTCGTTTCAAATTCAAATAATTTAAATGTTGCTGGGTATTCCGCGTATAAAATCAATTAATTTTATTGACTATTTCACAATTCATGTAATCCAAATATTAAAAATTTATAGTATACAGGGTGTTATGTTATTAATGTTATATATTAAAATACTGAATACCTTTTGACGTAAGGAATAAAGGAAAAATATTTTAAAAAAACATTTTTCCAAAGATAAAGAAAAAATATGCATTAGAAGTTTTTTATATTTTTTGTGATACGCCACTGGTTACACACTTGTTTATCTCTGCACACCTGTATTTTGTGAGTACATAGATACCAACCAACAAAGTAGCTAGGCGTTGCCAGATGTAAAAAATTGTTACTAAAAATTTTTCTTGCAAAAAATAAATAAAAACTCAATAAATACAAAAGTTTTATGCCCTTAAAGCTCTAATAACCTTCTGTATTTATTTACTGATCCAGCTATTAGGTTAAGCAATGATTAGAAAATTTAGTACCTTTGAAATTTGAAATCCATAACCACAAAATTAATTTTTTCATCAATTTTTTTCTCTGTTTACTCAGATGAAATTGGGACCAGTTCACAGGTTAAACTTTAAACATTTAATTTGTATAAATAAATCCAAAAGCACTTCCCTTAGTTAAGATATTTACAATTTGAAAACATAACCTAAAATTTAAAAGAAATGCACTAGATTCTGTCATAAAAGTTGGCAGATTTTGTTTGAATTTACCTTCAGAACAAAAATGAAATAACCAACAATTAATAAAAACGCCAAATTGACAATTTGCATTGTTAATTTTGTCATTTTTGTAATTAAGCTAAATTTAAACAATGTTTGTCAACTTTTTTTGGAAATACTGTTGTTACCAACCATAACATAATAAATCCAACAGATTAACCTAAAGTTCCTAGTCGATCAGTGGCGTACTTTTTGGTAGGATAAAGGTTATTATAAATTATTTTTAGACTTTGGAATTTAGAAAAAAAAAGTTTCAGGTGCTTCTTTATGGACCCTAAGGAAAAACCCATTTTAATATATAACATTAATTACATAACACCCTGTATTAGTTTAAATTGCGGTCGTTTCAAATTCAAATAATTTAAATGTTGCTGGGTATACCACGTATAAAATCAATCAATTTTATTGACTATTTCACAATTCATGTAATCCAAATATTAAAAATTTATAGTATATTATAGAAAGTAAAATATTTAAATTATACTTAATTTTTTAATTCTCTATGATGAGGCACTGCCTCACCTGCCTCCACTGAGTAAAACATACCTTATTGCTAGGTATCTTGTTCCAGTTGATGGTTTTCATCTTAATTTTGGGCGCTGGAATCTCCTGTTGGGGTAACTTTCCTATCACAGAGTCGTTTTCGTTCTGAGCGGGGGAATCGATCGTCCTCCTCATCGTGGGTGCTCTCGGGGGCGCGGGTACCGGCGGCGGGGGAACGAACGGCGGGGGGGCGGGGATGTTCGGGGGCAGAGGCGGCGGGGGCGGCGATGGGGCGGGGATGAGGGGCGGGGGAGGCGGCGGCGGACTCAGCGGCGCGCTCAACGATTGTCTTCTGCTGGGCGTCGTCTGCTGGCAGTGGCAGGCGGTCTTCGATTGCGCGCTGGGCGCGCGCAGCAGTCTCGTGGCGTCTTCGCGGCTCTCCAGGAGGGTGGCGCGGTGCACGAGTCGTTCGGCTGTGTCCCAAATTACGTCGCTGACGGCTTCTTTCGGGTCGATTCTGAGCAGGTGGTGCAGGATGCTCAGGAACGGGATCTCTTGCGGGGTTTCCGCAACCTGTTGGCACAATTTTTCATCAAGAATCTGCCCCAAATGACCAGGAAATGTCTTAAAAATGTCCAGAAGTAACCTAAAATTCTTCTTTGATTTGCCCAAAATTTTGTATAACATATGTTTAAAAATGGTCAAAAACATTCTTAAAACTGTGGTGTGGATAACCAAGTACCCTGTTGTAAATGACCGATTGATTCCTTATAGAAACCAATTGAAGTATTGGTTTGTATCAATAGGTCTGAATTGGACTTACTGGGTTTAATTGGGAGCGATATAAAACAGACATTGGTTTTTACTGGTATTTTCCATGAAGGAAAAGTCCGATTAAGATTCTACTGTTTTTAGTGGTTTCGATTGGTTAAAGCTACCCATAGCTAAATTCCAATTGAATTCAATTGGGCATTCCCAGTGTAAGATTCTAGAAAGGAATCTGCTAATTGGTTATTCCCAATACTTTAAAATATCGCAATAGGGCTCTCAAGGGGCCTACGTCTCAAGGGGTCCCCAGCCAAAAACCTTAACATTATCAGATTCCACATATCAAAAACCCCTGGATACCAAATTTAGTGATTCTCGTACAACAGGGTTCTGAAATATATAAAAGACTATTTCTTTGGGCGACTTTTAGGGGGCTGTATCTCCGAAAAGGGGGGCCAATTGGTAAAACTAAAAAATACGTGTCCTCTAAATTTCTCTAGAGAATCTGTGACCAAATTTTCTTGCATTAATTTCCTGTACAACTGCTTAGTAAGAAATTAAATTTGTTTGTGCTACCAATTATACTATTTCTTTTGTATGCCCATAACTTATACATTATTATGATCCGGATATCGGATCCAGATTTGAGATCCAAATCCGGTTCCTATATTTATATCCGGATACGGATACATCCGGATCCGGTTTTTTTTTCAAGGATCCCCGATCCGTAAAAAAATTGGATCCGTGCAGCACTAGTTTTTACCCGGTTATTCTACTGGAATCTTAATTATTTTTTAATCCAAATTTAAAAAAAAATAAATTCGTTCAAATTGGCGCATTGAATTACCAATTCATTCCAGGTGCATTTCTATTGGATTTAGACAATAGAGACAAGCATAGGCATGGATTGGTATATTCCAATTTAAGCCGCTGACTTTATTGGAACTTACCAATAGGAATGCAACTGGAATTAATTGGTGATTCATAGCGCCAAAACACATTTCAAACGAATTCAATATTTTTTATTGGATTCTATCGGTCATTTACAATAGGGAGGGCAATTCTTGGCCAAGTTTTAACATGATATGGCTCTCTGGGTGCATGGATCTATTGATATTTAAAATGTTGGGAGTTGTTAATGCTCACCTGTTTGAGTATCGCGTAGAAAACATCGAGAGGAGAGTTAAGGTCCACTCCATGGGGGCCCTGTAGACTTTGGACGTCATCACTTTCTCTTTGTTCGTCAAAAACGTCCAGTTGAACAGCAAGCTCGGGCTCTGCTTCCGCACATTTTCTGAACAAGATTTCATCCATTACATTACAATAGTAAGAAGTGGTTTTGAACAAACAACATCTTATAGTTTTTTTTAAACTTATATTAAACACATTGACGAAAGTCTTTTCAAATTATCCAGTACTTGACTTTTTTGCAATATAATTTTGCCTTAATGTCTACAGGGTGTTATGTAATTAATGTTATATATTAAAATGGGTTGTTCCTTAGGGTCCATAAAGAAGCACCTGAAACTTTTTTTTTTCTAAATTTCTAATTTAATTTATTATGTTATTGTTTGTAACCCTGGTTGGTAACAACAGCGTTTCCAAATTCTGTCAAAAAAGTTGACAAACATTGTTTAAATTTAGCTTAATTACAAAAATGATAAAATTAATAATGCAAATTGTCAATTTGGCGTTTTTATTATTTGTTGGTTATGTCATTTTTGTACTGAAGGTAAATTCAAACTAAATCTGACAACGTTTATGACAGAATCTAGTGCATTTCTTTCAAATTTTAGGTTGTGCTCAAATTGTAAATATTTTAACTAAGGGAAGTGGATTTATTTACACAAATTAAATGTTCAAAGTTTAACCTGTGAACTGGTCCCAATTTCATCTGAGTAAACAGAAAGAAAAAAACCGAGGAAAAAAATAATTTTGTGGTTATGGATTTTTTAAAATAGGCACTAAATTAATTTTCTAATCATTGCTTAAGCTAATAGCTGGATGAGTAAAGGGTAATTAGAGATTTAAGGGCATAAAACTTGTATTTATTGAGTTTTTATTTATTTTTTGCAAGAAAAATTTTTAGTAACAATTTTTTACATCTGGCAACGCCCAGCTACTTTGTTGGTTGGTATCTATGTACTCACAGAACACAAGTGTGCAGAGATAAACCAAGTGTGTAATCAGTGGCGTATCACAAAAAAATATAAAAAACTTCTAATGCCTATTTTTTCTTTATCTTTGGAAAAATATTTTTTTAAATATTTTTCCTTTACTCCTTATGTCAAAAGGTATTCAGTATTTTAATATATAACATTAATTACATAACACCCTGTATAGTCAAGACATCTATCAGGCGGGTTTAACCTCAGTTTTTCCAATATGACATCTGTCAAACAATTTCAACTTCACTTTTTCCCAATATCACGCACTAGTTCATTAAGTATCTTAAATAACTTAAATTTAAGAATAGATAAATACAACAATGTATGCAAGTTTTTTCGTTTATATTAATCTTCAAAAAGGTAGTATAAATCAAACATAAATATGGTTATATTCAAGCAAAAAGAAAACATAAACAAATATAAAACTAATGTAGATATATGCAACAGCACCAGTAGAAAGGCATCAATTAGGTATAATGTCATGTTTTTAATTTAATGCATAATGCATTATTACCAGATTCATCTTTCCATAACAATTTTCTTTATGTAATAAATACATTTTATAACCAAAGATAATATGACATTTTTTAAGTATTTGACAAACATTTTGACAGTTTCTAGATCAAACAATAATCAGATGTATATAAAGTTCTTTTTTTTTATCTGGACTGCGGCAACGTTGCAAATTTAGGATTTTGGTTGGTAAATACAGTTGTCAAGTTGGTCGCATTGATTAAAACAAACTAAGCTAGTTATAAATCTAATTGTGGTTATGTATAAATTATTGTAGGTTACATTGTGCAGTTGTCAAGTTGAGTTGTCGAAATTCGTAGTTAAAAATGCAATTAATTTGGCTTTGGTGGTGCTTGGATGAGTAAAATCATATAAAAAAGTAGTTAAATATAGGTTGCTTTGCGGCCCAGAAGAGAAAGTATTCCTAGCGGATAATAATCTTCGCTTTGAAAAGAATTTATATAAAAGAAATGTTGTCCAATGGTGAATAATGTGAAAATAATGTGTGATGTAATATTTATAAAACCAAATTCGTTACTTTTTTACTCCAAAAATGTCCATAAGGCGATGTACTGTTTCTTCCATGGTGGCATTTGGCATAATTTCATCAAAATGAAGTTTTACCTCTAAAAGGGCTTTTACATTCGAATTCGTTGCCATTATTTTTGGCATAATTATATTTTTATTTATAATTGACAAGTAAATTATCAATAATGAATATTATTGTCAATTTGACAGTGTCAAAGTATTTAATTAAGGTCTTCAGCAGAAATGCCATTTTTTAAATACTAAAAATACTAAATCAGACTGGCATAAGCTACCAACTTGATAAAAAAACACGAGTCCAAATAAAAAAAAATTAATTTTTACATAATAGAGAGAAAGCCTTTCAAACTTAAAATTAAGTATTGGCTTGCTTTAAAACTTCTTAATAAACTTATAAAGTTTGTTTTTTTATTTGAAATTTGACACATTTGATTATGTTGGTACTGTATGTCAATATACTTTCAAAGTATTACTTTGGTATTTTTAATATTTAAAATTGTTACCTAGAATTTGCCAACTTAACCCCCAAATTTTTTACGTCAAATCCGAATATAAAAACAAACCATCCATAAAAAATGTCAAATTTTGCAATGCGAATGTGCATTTCTTTATTCCTGTAGGCAACACTAGCCAAATTCCCAAATTGTTGACCATAATATTCTCATATTTCGTGTTTAAAATTATTTAATAACAATTACAGTTAATAAATTCTTGCATGACATGAATAATTTAAAGTTTTAAGTTAGAATAAATTACATACCTTAAGTTGTTCAGCACAGGAAGTAGATGGCATCCTGAAAAGACAGTCGTATGAATACAAATAAACCTGAAAGTGATTTTTATCTACACAACCATTCATGGTTGCCTTAAATCTCTGATTTATTACCAGATATTATTTAATTTGCTCTAATAATGTAAGTAGGTTTTTAACGTTATATTTTAAAGTTCGTTGAACCCCAAATTGGAAATGTATACTTTATTTAATAAGGAAAGATCCTATTATTGTGACTGCCGTCACGATGGAGGTAATTTTTTTTTGAAGTAGTATTATTATGTAGGTATCAAGTCTGATAAACGCCATTTTAGGCACGAGCCAACTTGGGAATCAGGTGAAAATGTCAAATTTTTATGTGGAAATCGAAGTTTATCCCTTAAAAATGGACTAACAACCGTTTAGATCTGATATAGAAGCAGTTTTTCACAGTAAAATTGAAGAGAATGTTTTATAGACACTTTATTAGTTAAATCTAGTTTACTGCCGGCGAAATCAAAAGGTCAGTATAAACTTGCATATAAACTTTTGAAAAAGGTAGGGTAAAGTAGACAGTTATCGGACACTTTATAGTTATTGGACAATTAACATTAATACTGTAAAAACAAGAGTTCTATAAATAGTTACCTTAAACTCAAATCATTAGATGACGCTGCATACAATTATAACTATCTCAGTCAGTAATAATATGGAACTACTTTATTTTGGGTCCAATATAGGACAAAAAAGTTCGCACGTTACTTGGGTGGTAAGATTTTTGTTTTTTTGTTAAGAGCAGGGCTGTGTTTAAATTACAATAAAAAATATTTCTAAAAAGTGTACAGATCAGTGTGTGGTGTTAATGTGTTCCTCATGGTTTAAACGTCACTTTAATCATTTTAATTCTAATTCTGAAAACAAATAGTAAAATGGCCAGTATCCAATTACTAGTTGGTAAAAAATGTAAATTTCTATTATTGGACATATGTCCAATATCATACTATATTTGTATCCCGGATATTTACCAACCAATTCTTATGTAAAATTGTCCCCTTCATCCCAAAATACCGTCAAAAACTATAAAAGTTAAGCAGTTTTTGAGATATATTATATGTAAAATTGATTATATTTCAAAAACTGTCCTACTTTTATAACTTTTGACGACATTTTCGGATTCAGCAAATAATATTTCATAGGAATTGACATTTTTGGCTAATTCATTTTTAGAGAGTAAGTAATATATTGATTTCTTCGTCACAAGACATACAGTGCATGATGGAGAACATAAAAAAGTAATGGCAACAAAATTAATAAATTCGGAAAATACTTTTAACATACCATCCAAAAAAATATTAGATACGAGGTGTGTTCAGAAAATAACGGGAATTGTTAAATTTCGCGGGTTCGGAGGGTCCGGTTGTAATAAAATTTTCTTTATTATGTTGGTAGGTATACAATGTATATATACTTCGGGGGCATGTATACTATACATGCCCCCGAAGTATGATAAAAACTTTCGCTGTTTTCATTGTTTACTTTGTCTTTGGCAGCCGCTAAGGTTAGACGTGTTTTTTGAGCTCGGCGATTATTAGTTCGTTAAAAGAAATGGATCAAAGAATTTGTATCCAATTTTGCTTAAAAATGAAATAAATTCTGTAAAATGTTAACAAAGGCCTATAGTGAGTCTGCTATAAGTAAAACAAGAGTTTACAAGTGGTATAAGAGTTTCCAAGATGGCCGTGAAGACGTTGAAGATGACGAACGCCCCGAACGCACAAGCACATTAACATAGATGACATTAAAAGCGCATCGCTGAAAGAACTAAAGGCTATCCCGAAGATCGAGTTTTAGAAGTGTTTCGAGTATTGGAAGAAGAGCTGGCACATGTGCATAATATCCAATGGGACTATTTTGAAGGCGACAACATTACTGTAGACGAATAAATAAATATTTGTTTCCAAAAACGAAAATTCCCGATATTTTCTGAACACACCTCGTATGTACCTACAAAGGTAGGAATTTAATTTTGTAGTATGTATTCTTCTGCTTTACATAATGGAGCCATAAGAATCTGTCGACGTAAACATTTTCAATTAGCCGCTTTAAAACGTTTTGCTTTATGAAATTACTTCATTAATTCATTTTCTCGGTCACGAATATTGTTACTCTACGTCCAATGGTTGCAATTTAAACTGAAAAAATATATCTTGTTACATAACGAGATTTTTGTGTGCATGTTCAAAATAATTCACGACCGCGACATTTGGACTTCTTAGTCAAACTTTCCATTTCAGGGTCCAATAATTGTTATATATTACATTTATTAAGTTATTAGGTTTACTTCATCTTGGATAAAGTTTTTTTTACTTACCAATGAATTCGTTTCTCAGTCTGGTTCGGTCTGTCAATCTCGGCGTGGAAATGATGAGGCAATTGATAAACGCAACTAAAGCTGTTTGGTAGTCCACTACGGTAGCTCTATCGAGTTCTTGAACAATCACATTCAGTCTGTATCTCTCCCCTTTAATTTTCTGAAACGAAAAAATGTTTGCTATCCATTTATGTATACACAACCAAACTTATATGGAATCACACAGTAATTACAAAAAAATTATTCCACTTTAATTTAGGACGAAATAATAGGTTTTTGTTAATTTAATATTCAGTGTTTGCACCTCAATGCAAGCACAAATTTAACGAGGCATGCTTTTCATTAACTTACTTATTTATTTTTGTTAAACTTTTTTCTACCCCTCTAAAACTACTTCTACTATAGTTGCTCTACCTGGTTGTTTTAACCTTATCCCTTAAGATTTCAATTGGATAAAGATCCGGTTAACAAGAAAGCCACTCTAAAACAGTCACACTTTCCATTTCTCAAGAGTTTTTACCAACTCTGCTTATCAGCGGCATAAATAAAAAAAATAGCAGAACACAGTTAAGGGCTCCAAAAATATTAGTGCAAAATAGAGTTGGCCATTTAAATTGGTATTTGAAGCATTAAAACTTGAAGATTAGAGAAATGTCTTATTTTCGTATTAATCCAAAATTGGCCTAAGACTAAGACTCTAAGCTGGACGATCGATCCCTCAAGGCAAAGGAGGAAGTGTAATGTTTTTGAGGTGGCTATATGATTAGTGAAAATATTTCCTTTGATTCCCATTAGACAATCCAGGAATATGCCCAATCATCTAGGAATAATCCGATTCATTCTAGGAATATTTATTGCACCATCTAAGAACATTCCCAGTGAATATTCATTGGGAATATTTCATAGAATAATCCTCTACAACTTCCAAGAAATATCTTGGAACATTCCCAGTAAATGTTAAAGTTGAATGCCTATAGGTTAACTAAAAAGCGGACATTTGATTACGCCAGTAATATTCCTGGGAATATTCTGGTACGCTTGGAATAATCCTGGGAATATCCCTGACATATGCAGGGAATGGGATTTTGAGGTATGGGCGGATCTTAATTGAATTGAGAACTTGTAGAATAAGGTAAAAGACGGAGTATAGCTCGTCAAAATAGCCTGGCAATGCAGAGAAACTAATAAAAGCAGTTTTAGAGTGGTGAGAAAATCTTACCCAAGAAGAAATTTATAACTTAATAGAAACATGATTCGTCGAATTAATAAATGATTGCATTGATGCTAGAGGTATCAATACTGATTATTTAATTAACAAAAACCAACAAACACCTATTATTTCTTCTTTAATTCAAATTTACCGTAAAGTTTATTTTCAGAGAATTTTTTTTTTATAAAATTGGTTAGGATAAAGTGCTTTTTATTTTCAATTCATTTTTAGTAGTAAAATACTGTTTCTCGTAATTACGGGTGATTCCATATAAGATTGGTTGTGTGTAAGTACTTAGAACATTTTATTAATATTAAGTGGGATACTGTCGATTATTTGATTAACTCTTGAGATCCTAAAATTAGCGGATTTCCCGTTTTCCCATATCAGTTGAACATATTCTTACGATTCAATAAAGATATTTACTGAGCATTTGGTATATTTGATGTGCCGCATCAAAAGCTATGGGAGTCAAACCTTGGATCTATACATATACAAACAGCAGTCGACGGTATGAATCTCTCAAGATGAGCAAACCCAACAGAAGTTGTTCAAAGGTCTCTTAATCAAAGGGCAAAAAGGTGCTATAGCTATAATTCTTTTTATCTCTGCTATTGGGCGTAGCTAATATGGAAAAATAATTGCCCTAATGATATAAAGAGATCGTTTGTCACAAAAACAGTTCCATATTGGGAAGGACAAATTATTGCAAAAGGAAATAAAACAATTATCCTTGAAAATTAATAGGTCTAAACGATATAAAATTAAACGGTTTTTTGCGATGCAAAATTTCCTGGTACTCCAAAACTGCCATGTATAATATATACATTGTATACAGAGCTGTCAAAGATACTTTTAAAAAGTATCTAGATACAAGATAAGTTACTTTTTGAAAAAGTATCCGAAGTTACTTTGGGTATCTAGTTACTCTTTAAAAAAAGGAACTTAAATACTTATCTTAAGTTACTTTTTAAGATACTTAATAAGATACTTTTTTAGTTACTTTGTATATTATGTAATAAGTTTCGTATAAACCGCCCAACAAAAATTCGTTCCAACCCCACCCTGATTTTTCAAATAATTTTAAGCTTACTTTCTTAACAATTTTTTTCAATAAAATCTAGTTGATTAAAACAAAGTGTCTAACTTCGGCACTTTTAAAATATCTTAAAAATAAAAAGAGATAAAATCGTTAATTAAACACCACTTAATTATAAAAATAAAAAAATTATCTCACACTTTTCATTTAATCTTTTTTAACATTTTTTTAAAATTTAAAATGGAAAACATACATTGAACATTATAGAATGTACGGTACAATGTAACAACCAATATCCTACATCACTACATCTGATGTAGTGAAGTACTTGCTTCTTTATGATGTACTACATCATAAAGAAGCAAGTACTTACCTAACCTAACTTATTTCAGACTTACCACTATAAATTCAAGTCGCAACGAACGGAAACACCCTTCTACAGAGCGGGTGGCGAAGTCACAGATTATAAAAGAAGTATAGGTGAATAAAAATTAAGTAGGTATAACAAAAATCGCCGCCAGTCGATTGGCGCCAGTCGCTGAAGTCGCCAGTATACTTATTATAATAACTTCGATGTCCGCGGCCGTTTCGAACAACTTGACTAAAGGAACTTTTCTTGTGGTATCTTGGATACTTTTTGGTATCTAAGTTACTTTTTGGTATCTAAGATACTTTTCGGTATCTAAGATACTTTTTTAAGTTACAAGATACAGTTCCTTTTAAAAAGTATCTAAGATACTAGATACTTTTTGTTAAAAAAATAAAGGAACTAAGATACAGTAATTTAGATACTTTAAAGTAACTAAGTTACTCTAAAGTAACTAAGATACTTTTTTCTGACAGCTCTGATTGTATATATACAATTTGACACTGAAAACGTGGAAAATACATGGACGAGATATAGGGAGAGTACTGACCTTGTAGTGGTCTAAAGTGTCAAGGGCGCGGGCATGGCCCTCTTCGTTGTGCACGCATAACGCCGACAGCAGCTCGAAGACCTGCTTTTTGACGGTCACGTTGGCCGTGTCAAGAGCCGCCGCCAACTTCCTTATGTACTCGGGATTTTCGACGATAAAGTCCAGGCCAATCCTAGAGTCCATTGCGATCCTCATATGTCATCTGGAAAGAACAAAGAAGAAAATAAATGCCAAGAATGTTTTATTTGTCATTTTAATATTTTAGGTAAAGAAAAAAATCTATAAAAGAAGAATATTTTAGAATATTTCCAAAGGAAAATCATTATGTTTGCCAACAAATATAGATAACAAGTAGGCGAACTGGATTACAGTCATGGTTGCGTACATACGTAATCGTTCTGAATCAAGATACAAATAACAAAAACACTGCTCAACTAAATTTTTAAGTTTCTGCATGATTCATTCTTGTTTTTTTATTCATCTTCAAAAGAATTTTAACCCACTTCTGATTACACAGTGCAACAGCAAATGATGGGGTTTTGAAAGTGGTCTTTTTGCGTTTACAGAATACAGAATTCAGTTTTTTTTTAATATCGATTTTAGGTTTTATTAACTTTGGAACCCGAAAAACCGATATTTATTAATTTAAACCAATTAACTGGTAGGAAATTGTTGTCATAACAATAAATTAAAAAGAAATAATAAAAAATAAGACAAAATTAAAAATGGGGGTAAACATGTCACTAAAAGTACATTTTCTCCATGCACATCTTGACCTGTTCGAAAATCAGCTGTCCACCGAATCAGAAGAGCATCAAACAATAATGGAAATGGAAAATCGTTATAAAGGCAAGGGGTTTGATTCGATGTTGGCAGATTTTTGTTGGTCTATGGCAATGGAAATTTTGGCATAAAATTATAAATAAAATTTGTTATATCTTTTATGTTGATTCATTCTATTTATTAAAAAGAATATGTTTTTAATAATTTATATAATAATAATAATAATAATTACCATAATTATTATTATGGTAGAAGCGAAAGAACTAAGAAATTGCACTACAACATATTAAATCCAGAAAAAAATTAAATTTTTAAAAAAAATTGCATTTTATTGTTTTTATTTTCTTTTTCTTTATTTGATTGTTATTACTTTATAAAACAATATACAAAACCAATAATTATCTTTAATTTAATTATTTATTATTTTACGATATTTCAGGATCCAGAATTACTAAAACTTTAAATTGATATTTAATAAAACCAGAATGAATCTAAACATTCTGTAAACGCTATAATTCATGATTTTGATTGTAGAAACCGAAAATACTTTCTGAACCCCATCATCTTAATTTTTTTCGAAAATGTTGCACAGTGTTATCCGATCGATACAGCGATTTGTAGCATACGAGGTGTGTTCAGAAAATATCGGGAATTTTCGTTTTTTGAAACAAATATTTATTTATTCATCTACATTAATGTTGTCGCCCTCAAAATAGTCCCCATTGGATATTATGCACATTTGCCAGCTCTTCTTCCAATACTCGAAACACTTCTAAAACTCGATCTTTGGGATAGCCTTTAGTTCTTCAGCGATGCGCTTTTAATGTCATCTATGCTTGCAAAACGACGGCCCTTTAAGGTTCTCTTTATTTTGGGGAATAGGAAAAAGTCAGACAGAGGCATGTCTGGTGAATATGGGGGCTGGGGCATCATTACAGTATTGTTTTTGGCCAAAAATTTTGTTCAAAATTTAACAATTTTGGAACAAATTTTGCCACGCGTTTTATACCCAAAACATTTGAAAAAATTTCATGGGATGACCCAATCGATATACCAACATCATCAGCGACTTCTCTGATGGTTTATAACCATTTCTTACACTTTTTCCATGTTTTTATCGGTTGTTAATGTGCTTGTGCGTTCAGGGCGTTCGTCATCTTCAACGTCTTCACGGCCATCTTGGAAACTCTTATAGCACTTGTAAACTCTTGTTTTACTTATAGCAGACTCACTATAGGCCTTTGATAACATTTCACAGAATTTATTTAATTTTTTTAAGCAAAATTGGATACAAATTCTTTGATCCATTTCTTTTAACGAACGAAAAATCGCCGAGCTCATAAAACACGTCTAACCTTAGCTGCCACAGACAAAGTAAACAATGAAAACAGACAAAGTTTTTATCATACTTCGGGGGCATGTATACCAACATAATAAAGAAAATTTTATGACAACCGGACCCTCCGAACCCGCGAAATTTAACAATTCCCGTTATTTTCTGAACACAACTCGTAAATACTACACCAAAAAGACAACTTTTGCTTAAAATAATTTTAGGATTATAAGTTTAAAAATCAGTTTATTAGTTTAACGGGTTTTTTTATCAGCATTTAGCAAATACTACATAAAACAGGAAATGGAACACAATAGGACGTTAGCATCGTTTACCTACAAATGCATATTTGCAGAAAAACAAAACAACGTTAAACAAACTAATATTTAACTTTTACTCGTTTACTAACAAATTGCCTTCTATATATAGATATTTTATATCCATAGCCAATTCCAAGGAAAAACATTTTCTTGACGCAAAAGTACCATATACATACATTTTACCACAACAATTTAGATATCAAATTAATATTTTTTCAAAAAGATATATTTGGAAAAAAATTGTCACAAGTTAAGAAAAAAAATACGAAAAATAATTTTTACAATTATTTATTCCAATTTCTCGTTATAAATATCAAATTAAACCATTATCGTATATTAAAGAACTACGAGGTGTGTTCAGAAAATAACGGGAATTGTTCAATTTCGCGGGTTCGGAGGGTCCGGTTGTCATAAAATTTTCTTTATTATGTTGGTAGGTATACATGCCCCCGAAGTATGATAAAAACTTTAGCTGTTTATATTGTTTACTTTGTCTGTGGCAGCCGCTAAGGTTAGACGTGTTTTATGAGCTCGGCGATTTTTCGTTCGTTAAAAGAAATGGATCAAGGAATTTGTATCCAATTTTGCTTAAAAAATGAAATAAATTCTGTGAAATGTTAACCAAGGCCTATAGCCCTAGTAGCAATGGAATTGGACAAGATTCTTTGTCAAGATACTTGGAAAAGCACTTTGTAAAGAATTGGACAATTCTTGACCAAGACTCTTGATCAAAATTCTTTATCCAGACTGGTGCCAGACTTGCGACAAGTCTGTGACCAGAATTCGACCAGATTCTTGGCCAAGAATTTTGACGTATACGTCAAAATTCTTGCCTATACAGGTTATCCCGAAATTGGGGGGCCAAACTTAAAAAGTGCATTCTTTATAGAAAAATAACACTTGTTTGTTTAATAAACATATATCAAAAAATGCCCCCTAACGGAGCTACGGCCCCCTGAATAGGAGCCTAAGAGGATCATTTTTTTAAAACTATTCCTAGAGGTTTGAACAGGAAGATATAAATTTTTGGTACTTTGGTAATATTGACATGCTGAATCTAGATCTTAGATCAAAACTGTTAAAATTGAATCAAAGGCGTTACATTTGGGGGGGGCAAAGTTACAAAAATAGCCCTAACTTTTTTCTAGGTTAATGTTTTAATTTTTGTTTATGAAATTATGAAAATTTATAGTTTTTTACGAAAAATAGGTACTCTTTATTTAGAGAGCTCAGATGCACCATTTTCGAGAAAAATGCATTTATAAATAAATTACTCTCATTATTATTATCTCATATTTTCATTAAAACGTTCATGAGCCATTCCACGCGTAACGGATAGGACAGTTGCCGTGTTTTTATTTACAAAATAATATTGTTCTATTATATTACAAATGTCAAATTTTTATAAATAGTTCTAAACAAAAGCTGTTTAACAAGGTTTTTATTTGGCAAAATTAGGTATCGTGATTGACTGTTTAATTCCTTAAAAATTAATAATTTAAAGCGTAACGGACGGGACTATTACAAAGTCCCGTCCGTTACGCTTTAAATTATTATTTTTTAAGGAATTAAACAGTCAACCACGATACCTAATTTTGCCAAATAAAAACCTTGTTAAACAGCTTTAGTTTAGAACTATTTATAAAAATTTGACATTGGTAATATAATAGAACAATATTATTTTGTAAATAAAAACACGGCAACTGTCCTATCCGTTACGCGTGGAATGGCTCTCATGAAGAAATATATTTTTGGTACTTTGGTAATTTTGACATGCTGAATCTAGATCTAAGATCAAAACTTTTAAAATTTCATCATAGGCGTAACATTTTGGGGGCAAAGTTACAAAAACATCCCCAATTTTTTTCAGAGTTAATATTTCAATTTTTTTTTATAAAATTATAAAAAATATAATTATTATAAATAACCCAAACGTCACTTTTGTCCTAAAGCCTACTAGAAAATTCTTGCCTATACAGGGTGTCCCGAAATTAGGGGTCCAAACTTAAAAAGTGCATTCTTTATAGAAAAATAACACTTGTTTGTTTAATAAACATGTATCAAAAAATGCCACCTAACGGAGCTACGGCCCCCTGAATAGGAGCCTAAGAGGATCATATTTTTAAACTATTCCTAGAGGTTTGAACAGGAAGATATAAATTTTTGGTACTTTGATAATTTTGACATGCTGAATCTAGATCTTAGATCAAAACTGTTAAAATTGAATCATAGGCGTTACATTTGGGGGGGCAAAGTTACAAAAATAGACCTAACTTTTACAAAACATATCGACCATTCCAAGCCCATGGACAGGACACATCAGAAACATGTCTAAATATATTCTTGTTACTTCCTTAAGTTTACTTATTTTTCTACGAGTATTTATGTATTTTATAATCGTTCATGTTCATAAAGAGTAAACTCTAGTTACGCGTCAGAGCTGACACACACTTTTTTTTTAATTTTTAGAAATAAGAATTTTTATTTTTGAAAAAATCAATTTTTTTCTTTGCTAGAAGCCGGGGTTTGAACTCCGATCTGTCGCTTGTCAAGCTTGTCAAGCGGATGTCATAACCAATCACTATCAGTCACTTTTATAAAAAATAATTTTATTTGTCTATAAATATTGTTCATAATATTAAACAAACGATTAAAGAAATTAGGTACTTTTAACTATTGGAAACAGTCAAAGATGGTGACTTATCTTAAATTAGTCAAACTTTAACTATTTAAGTAGTAAAATATAACCATTTTAAAGTGAAAACG